TAAACATATTTTGGTGATGAATTATTTATTTTATAAGCACACTTAAACAAAATTGAACCGAAATTAAGTTAAATTGAAATTTTTAATGATTTCCATATGATACCAATAATTGGAAAGATTGGTGGCCCGATAATTAATTATTCTCCAACACTTTTTAATGATTGGTCTACTAATCATTATTTTGAAGGATTATAGACAATTACATTTTTCTTTTAGTTGTATAATAATGGCATTATTTACACTATGAATAAGGTTCAACAAGTTAATTTAGGACTTTATTATATGTACAATTTTTTAATGAGTTAAATCTCTAAAGAACAATGAAAAATATAGCCTCAATATGCAATTCTCCTTTATATCTTTATTTGGGATCGGATGAATTTGCTATAGAATTGCTTCAGGCATCCCTTTATGATTTCAAATTTGAATACAATTATATGGATGATAAATAGATGCTATTTAATGGTATAATTTTACAATTAATATAAGTTTGTCATTACTCTTGTCAGACTTGCAATGGGCCTCTTGAAAATAATTGTATCAATTGTTAAGAAAACACTAATAGACATTATTTGATTGAACAAAAAAAATGCAAATGCAATCATGGATATATCGATATTCCAGATGAGAAGGTTTGTAGGGCATTTGAGGATGAGTATTCTTCTGTTTACTAATTAGAAGGAACTCGTTATGCTGAAGCTTAATGTGAATTTGGGTACTTTCTCTATCCAAATAAAAACAATTCTTTTGAATGTAAAATTTGGTAATATATTTAATTAATTTTAGTCCATAATCCAATACCTATGACATTCTATGTGTTGATTGCATTTATTATCCATTGACTTGGTATTTAAAACCTATATGTAAATATGACTTAATCTCTGAAAAATATACTGCTTAGAGTGCATTCGAATAAGTAAAGAGAGACAAATTTAACTATGACTTTTATCTGATTGATTTAAATAGTGTAATCACGCTTCATTCAGGATTTATGGATTTTTGTGATATTGAATTAGATTACAGTTGCTTTAGAACTAAATATTATCATTTAGGCAAATAAGTAAATGCAAAATGTAAGCCTAATTACTACTTTTAAAACGAAGACTGCATCTTCACAAATATCAATTGTTTATTAGCATCAAGTGATGGAAATTGTTTGCAAACTAAAATAGGAATGTATCAATATAACAGCAATTTTTATGAATGCCCATTCACTTGTTTAACTTGTGAGCATAACCTTGAATCAAACAGCTTACAATGTTAATCTTGTTTAAAGGGTTATGCTTTAGATGATGGGAAATGTGTCAGTTGTGGAAATTTCTGTGCGCTTTGCCAGAAATATCATGATTCTAATACAGATACAAAATATCTAAGATGTTTAAAATGCTTAGATGATTCAAAGTACTTTTTATCATTTGATGGTATAAATTGCTTTGAGAATAAAATCTAGAATTGTCATTATGCTTTTTAGGCCTTGTCAAATGATTTCTAGGTTAATACTCTTGATCTCAACTTTACCCCAAGAAATGATTGGCAAAATATTATTACAACATGTGGGAGATGTCATTTTAGTTATGTTCTAATTATGGAAACCAATAATTGTTTATTATAACCTGATGACAAATGTTTTTTCCTTTTTGCTGAACGTCTTAGCAATTCTACTTTTCTTGATGAATTTAAATTGAATAATTTGCTCTAAACATATTATGATACAAATGATTATGGTGAATTGATATCTCTTGCATTTGATCCAAATGATTTTAGCCTTTTTGTTACATCAATACAGTATTGTATGATTCATTAAGCGTATGATGAATAAATAAGATATAAAATTGTTCAATTCAATCTCTAATGTCCAGGATACATAGAAAATTGCGAAACTTGTTTAAGAGAAAAGGTAACATATACAGGTATAGTTCATATTTGTTTGATATGCAAACAGGGATATTATGCTGACAGAATATCAGGTAAATGCTTCCAATGTCCATCAGATTAGAACTGTTTATATTGTACTTAACAGTAGAAGTTACTGAAAGATTCTTGGAAAATATATATAAGAGCATTTTATTAACTTTTTATTAATTCAAATGATGATCATCCCTTTAAACTCTATGCGTAAAGTGAAGCGTAGGATGATTATGAAATTATATGCACTTTTTGTAAAAAAGGAGATGAATTAGTAAATGATAATTGTATAAAAGCTTGTCCAGATTCATGTTTAGAATGCTAGTATATAAATGGAAGGAATCAATGTATAAGATGCCAGCTTGAATATTAAGGAAGAAAATTAAGTTTATCAGAAAATGAATGTATAGAATGTCCTTAAAATTGTGCATTATGTAGGATACGATCATAAGAAGAGATTTACTTAATTAATCCTTTTTTTAATAATGAAAAATATATCACAAACACATACTAATGTTTATAAAGTTTTGAGGATTAAGAATATTATTTTGATTAGGAATTAGGAAGCTTCATTGATTGTATAAATATAGAATAATGTGAAAAATAACTCATAATTCCTATTAATTTATTTTGCTCTTAGTAAGATTTCATAACAGCATTAAATGAATAGTAGACTGATTACAACAAGGAGTAATTTAAAAAAAGCAATATAATGTTGGAGGATCTTTTTTCTGGATCAAGTTTTAAAGAAGTAATTAGTATTCTTTAATTAATTAGTTTGAGAATGATCATTTTTATTTCTAAGCTAATTCTAAATTGATTAAGACAATTTTTCTTCAAATTAAAAGTGTCAAACCTTAAACATGTAAAATTAATGGAAATGCAACAATTTAATAGATCTTTAGTTAGAATATCTTTTCAGCTATGTAAATAGTAACCTTTATCTTTCTAGAAATGTCGAATTGTAAATAAATTTTAATAAAAATACTATCATTTAATTTGAAAGAACAATAACATTTTAGAACTTTAATAAAATTACAATATTAGGAGGTATATTCTAACCTTAATCAAACAATTATTTAAAATAACTAATATTTTAAAGCTTATTGCCTTAAGTAATTGTTATAGATTCTTCCATATATTAACAAATCTCATAGAAAATAGATTAATCTTAATTAATTTTTTCAAATGTTACTTAATTAAATATCAATAATTTCAAAATAATAGATCTTATTCAAAATAATATTGATAAGTTTATTTAAATTACAAATACTTCCTTTAGTAAATTGATTAAACTTCAAAATTTTGAGATCTTAAATTCAATTTTAAACAATTAAATCACGCTTTTTTTTTGTCTAAACAATTAAGATATCGTCGAGCTATCAGATTTATATATAAATGCATAATTCACTAATTCAACTTTTGTAGAAACTGGAAATGAAAAGTAATATAGCAAACTTATAATTAAAAATATCAATTTTAAAATAGATTTACTTAATTGTTTGAAATTTATGAGCTGGCTTTATTTTAATGAAATTTGCCTATCTGGAATTTCATTTTTTAATTCGACAATTGAAAACTCAACTCTTATCATTCTTAATAGTTACAGTAATTTAAAAGATGTAATGATTAAAGACAACTAATTTAAATAATTTAGTTATGGAATTCTTAATTCTAATTAATCATTTGAAAATAATTTATTAATGGAGTTTACTAATATTATTTTAGAGCATAATGAATATCATTAAACTACAAAGTTGATATGTTTTAACAAATACAATTATGGATATTCTTATACTAGAATCAATAATTTAATAATATCTAATAATTTTGCTACATCAATTAATTCTAATTTTAATTTGAAAACCTAAAATCTTGCTCTAATGTACATTTAACTAGATGAAGTTTATTTAGCAAATATCAATATTTATAGGGGATATGGATTGAAAGAAATTAGTATACAAGATGCAAAAGTTTTAAGAATAGTATCTAGTATAATAACTTAAAGTGACGAACATAAATTTCTTGGACTTCATTAATACCTTGATTGCCAATTATAATAAGTCTAAGGTCAGTACTATTTATAATCACTCTTCATTACGTCAGTGCTTGATTTTGAAATAATTGATATGCAAATAAGAAACATTTAATCCTACAATTCTCCAGTCATATATTACAAATCCTCTGATAGCATAACATAATCATAACTAGAAAAAATACGTTTAATTAATTTCGTTGTTGAATAAAATTTATTGCTTCTATCAAATTCATAATTTTAAACGGCAATCATTTTTATAGAGTCAATACAATAGACAACTTTGGAAGTTAAGAATGTTTCATTTATTGGCAATATTTTACATGAATACGTTTAGAACAATCTTCAAATCTCGTCATTACTATTAAACTTCAATTGCATTTTGGGCTTAATAACAATAACCAACTCTCATTTTTCTTAAAATACCCTCTACAACAGCACAGATAATTTAATATTCATAAAAAGCCAATAGTTGAAAATGACAAACAATACTTTTTATTAAAATAGTTATTTTAATTATCAATACATGCAACCCTTTTTATTATGGGGGTTTGGAGAATCAGAAGAAGTATCATATCAACAAATAAACAGTATTTTTTAAGTCAAGTCGAATTCAGGAGTTGGTTAGTTTTTGGTGGAGAACCTAGAAATCAAGTTTTGTCATTTTGAATAATCAGTAGGTTTTTAAGGAGGAGCACTATATATACAAGCCTAAAGAAATAGTATAGTTACAATTTCTGAGACTTAGTTCAAGAATATTTCGACCTTATTTACTAAAGATTTAGGATAAGGCGGATCGATATATTTAGATGGAACTACATCAGAAACTCTCAACTTGTCAATATCTCAATTAAAAATTAATGATATCACTGCTAAAGAAGATGGAGGATTCATTTACATAAAATCAGATTCTCCAATTATTTCAATTTCAATTATTCAATTATATATTAGAAATATCTATTCCAAACTTGGATCCTTCATTTATGTTGTTTTTTCTAATGTACCATCGGTATAGTAAATAGTTAAACTAAATTCTATTTTTATTCAAAACACTTAAGATGGATTTATAAATTATCTAAATTAATATACTTAGTTATCTAATTCAGATCAATTAGCTTTGATAAATAATAGAGCCTTATTTTTCTTTGATTCTGTTATTAATCTTATCATTTATAATGTGGATATTGACAATATCTTTATGGAATCTGCCCTTATAATATAAAATGCTTAAATAGTTTCTATCAACAATTTTACAGCTTCTCATGGTCTTATTAATAATTGTTTACTAAAATTGAATCAAAATTTATGTATATATATGTAATGATATTTTTTAGATGAACCAAGCAAAATTTAAATAAATAATCTACAAGTTTAGAATATTTCAATAGTATTGTAGCTAAAGAGCTACAATTGTGAATAATCGACAGTATTAGACTAAAAAACATATTTTTAATGCATTTCTAATGATAGAAAGAAGACAGCACCACTCAATTTGCAATAATTGTCAACAAATTAACAGTTTTCTTATGGAAATTGTATCATATTACAAATTGAAGAATAATATGAATAGGAAGAGAATGTCATTCTAGTTAATGAAAATTCAGGATTGCTATTATTCTTAGATCTTACAGATTTAACTTACCTTAAATTAAACAACCTTATTTTTTCATCAATAAATTGTAAGTTCTGTTAAAACGGGTTGATATTTTAATAATTCTTGAGAGTCGAAGATTTATTATTAAAATAATAGATTTCTAACCTCAAAGTAACTCATTCTTAATGCGGACTGTCTGGTTGTTTTTAGATTAAAAAATAAAATAGTAGTAGATTACTAACACAAGCAGAAGTCAATATTCAAGAAATGAATTTAGAAGTCTTTATTGATAGTTATGTTTGTCAATATAACATTGCTCAAAATGGAACCTGCTTATTTATAGAGAATGTTAGAGTTTTGATATCTAATTCAATTTTTTAATATAATAAAGCATCTGAAACAGGAGGTGCCATATTTGTAAAAATGAAGCAAGACATCTTGATTACAAGTAGTGTAATATCTTTTAATTCTGCTTTTATAGGAGGAGGAATTTATCTATTTGATTAATAAGATATAGATTATTTTCATCTAAATACTATTGTGAATAACAATTAAGCTTAGTTTTTTGGAGAGAATATCATATCATCGCCCCAAAAATTGACAGTTACTTTATAAGATGAAAATACAAAATTAAGCACAAAATCTATTATTAAAAGTGAAGATCTTTTGATACAACAGGTTATTACTTAATAAAATGCTTCGGACTAATATTAGTATCTCCATTTGCCTAGTGGTCAATAGATTTCCCTCTATGAATATTTCTCTAAATCGAATCGTACTTACACTAGTTTGAATTAAAAATTTCGTGTTTTAGCTTTGGGCAAGGATAATAGCATAATTAAAAATCTTAAAAACTCATATTGCAATATCGATAGCAGAAGAATTAATCTATCAGAATATTAATATGAATAAATTCCTTTTAGTAACAACTTTACAAACTTGGATAGTGTATATTTTAATATATAGACAGAAGATTATAATCTTGATGATTTAATTGTTTATTTTGATAATGAATTGCCGCCTCACATAGTATTACAATTGTAATTTATATGCAATTCTGTTGTAGTTGCTAATTATAATTAAAAATACCCATATAATTTATTAAGCACGCATTAAAATTATAAATTAAGGATCAACATTAAAACCTTACCTTGTTAATTTGGAGAAATCAAAAATTATACGGATTATTCTTGTATTCCATGTGATAATAATTAAGGATTGTTTTCAACAACTCTTAATTCCTAGAAATGTGAACTTAAAGATGAGATTTCGACAATAAGTGTCAAATCAGCTCTACTAAACTTAAAATTTGGTTATTGGAGACCTTATTTTTAAAGTAATTTAGTAAGTTATTGTTTGAACTTACCTGAAAATTGTTTAGGTGGTTGGCTAGAGGGTGATGAATCCTGTTTTAAAGGACACATTGGAGCATTATGCGAATAATGTGATTTATATAATATTCGAGGTGGTGGACAATATTCTATTAGTTCGAAATACTCATGTGGACTTTGCGCAGAAAATAATAGAAATGTAATAATTATTACATCAGTTAGTATTTGGTATTTTATATTGTTAAATTAGGACTTTGATCTCTATTTTGATTTCAGTTCAAAGTACAATCAAAGCTATCCAAGAATTTGTTAGAAATTTCTGCTTTAAAAAAATGGGATTAGCAGTTAACTAGAGAATAAATTAATCAGCAATTCTAATTAAGATGCTTACCAATTATTTATAAATAATTTCATCAATAGTTACATTTTAATTAAAACTCCCGATTGCACTTGAAGGTACTGTAAATGCAATGGGATCTCCAATTTAAGCAATGACCTATTCTTTAGATTGCTTCCTATCATATGCTTTTCATATAGAAATTTAATATGCTAGAATGATTTGGTAAATAATTTTGCCATTAATTTATATCTCTGTTTTTCTTCAAGGTTATTTATTTTTAATTCTCAAGAAGCGTATTTCTTTTAATGTCTGTGTTATTACTACTACTTTTATTTACATGTACATCTATTTACAACCAAGTGTGATTGGAGGGTTCGTGTAATTAATCTCCTATAGAGAGATTTCAGGATATAAATGGATCTAATCAAATGTTTCATAGAGATACGACTCATCTTAACACGAGTAATGGATGCTTAGACTTTGCTTTCCGTTACTTTTCATTTTTGCAATTTTTGTTCCCATTTACTTTTTCTTAGGGCTTCATCGTAATTCTGAAAAACTTGACTAAAAGAAGGTTAGACTTTAATGGGGTTATTTGTATAATGAATATACGAAATCTGCTTATTTTTGGGAGGTGATCAAAATCGCTCAAAAAGAATTGATGATCATTTTCTTAACTTATTACGAAGATAGAATAATTATTAAAGCCACTATTGTTTTACTAATTACTGGATTATATTTAGAATTAAATAAAAAGTATAAACCTTACAAGTAAAGTTTGTTGAATCAATTAGATTGTTATTCTACGAATGTATGTCTAGCATCTATTGTTTTAGCAATTGGTATCTATATTTCATAATAATAAAATTCCATTGAAATTTAAATTCCGTATTAAATCATAATAATAGTACTTAACATTCATGTCGCCTATTTATTAATATCCAAAATAGTAGTGGAATACTTTAGAGAAAAAACAACTGATTATTAGGATAAACTTGATATAATAAGATAGGCTATTAGAAAACTATTCCCATCGTTTTAAAAAATAGCATTTTTAAGAAGAGTTCTAACAGATCGAAATTAGTAGCGAATTCGAGTTAGAAAATATTATTTGAAATTGAGAGGATTTTTGATCCCATTAGCTAAGGAAATGATACTTATAAAAAAATCGTAAGGCCACCATGTTTCTATTGAGAGAAACTTGGACTCGAATCTTAATACTAATCATTTAAGTCTAAGAAGTCCAAGCTTGATTAGAGAAGGGCAATAATTGATCAGAAATCCTCATTTGGCGTATTCTTTGAATTTCTCAAAGAACATGACAAATTCATATGCATTTGATAAGATGTAATTAATTTGACTTATAAAACATTATAGAAGAAGTCAATAACTCCATTAAATATAGTAGACCTTTGATACTAACCATAATACCAGAGCAGCTTTGAAAAATGACTAAAATAAAGATATTCAGGATGAATGATAGAAATTAGTTTCCATTATTTTACCTCTTATATTATTCTTTTCACAATATTTGTTTATAAAGTCCTTTTTTTGGCATTGAGATTAGTTTATGCCTTATGTTTTAAATTATTTAACTTAAAACTAGCAAGTGCCCCAAAACAATGATAAAGAAACACATAAATTTATTATTTTTTTTTATAATATTTAGAAATGCATTTAAAATTTAATTATGATCATCAAAAAGTATTCTAAAACTTTATGCTTGAATTCTCATTTTTATTGTTTCATTAATAATTTATTATTTTTTTATGATTTTATAGATTTCTGCTTATTTGTCTAAAATGATACATTTTGATTTCATAAAAAATGGAATAAGATCAAAATTATTTGAATGTTTTTATGACTAATTCACATTGTTATTAATTATGTTATTCTATAAAAGAGTCTATTATGTTCAATTTAATGAATTTCTTTAGTAGAACATTATGGCCAACAAGCACCTAATCTGAGGTGAAATAAAATATAATATCCACAATACTGTTAAAATAGATTATAATTTATCTAATACTAAACCTAAAATAAATATTTGTGGGTGATCAAACACTTAATAATTTATTTACAAAAATAGAATGATCAGATTATATTTATGTCAATTATTATTAATAAATTATGGAAACTCTTATTAATTTGGTAGGAAACCTTAAAATACATATTCTGATCAAATTATTTGCCATGTTTTGCATTCCTAGCTTATTATTGATGTATATAGTCTTTCTACCAATAACATTACCTATTTCTATTGTGTTATGTTGGAATTATAAATTTCAAGTATTGTGATTCACATTGTAGATCAAATAACATTTAAAAAAGTAATATTAATCTGCATGCACCTTTATGTTCAATACCTTCAATTCCTCACTTTTATTTGCATGTCAATATATGCTTAATGAAGTAATTGATCTCATATGAATAATAGCCACTGTTTGGATTATTACGAATGATCAAGGAATCTCGATTGATTTTACCTCCTGTTATTAAAATGAAGAGATTAATAGAAGTTAACTTGAACTATCTACTGAATTTGAGATTGATATAGATCTTGATTTAATTTCTCGCTCCATTTTTTTAATATGTCATAAGTATCATAAAAACAAACAGAATCTGGGTAATTTATATGATAACCATTTTAGAAAGATTTAGTTTAAATTTATGCAAATTACATTGTTCCTTTTTATATATGGATCAGAATTGATGGCTTTGTTCGAAATATTAATGATAAATTAGTAACAATTCCAATTTATGATCAGATAGTTATTATGTTTTAGTACTAAATATGATATATTAAGAAATTCCATCCTGAATGAGACAACGAAATTAAAAATAGATTAGGAATTGGATAAATTTAAAACGTAGTTACCTTAATATGCTATAACTTAATTTTGGAAAAACAAAACTTTAAAAGATTAAGTAATTTTAGAAATCGAATGTGGCTATGCTACTGGTCTATCTTACATTGCAGAAACTTACGGTCCTCAAAGATGCTTAGGAATTGATTCATCATAAAGTTAAATATTAAACAATCAAAAGGTCTTTAATCATTAGATTAATTTAAAATTTGAGAACATTTCTCCAAATGAAATCAAATCACTGTATCTACCAAGTCAAGTTGATATGATTATTGGAATTGAACTTAATAACAAACCTGCTTTTAAAAATATCAATATGAAAAGGTTGTAATTAAAACATATTTAGTTATTTGGAATCAGCTATAAATTTATTAAAGGAAGAAGGGTATTTAATTATCTCTAATTTTGACACTAAATAAAATCTTTCACAATTAGAAGAGTATCTTAACATTGAAGGATTAAGCATGATCGAAAAATAGGATTTCACAGTTGGATTGGCCTAAGCGATGCAACTGCAAATAGCACATATTAAATAACATTAGTAAATTTAAGGGAATTGGAGTAATTAATACCATAAATCTTTAGTTTCTACATTTATTGGGAAGAGAATATAACCTTATGAATAAAGGTTATAATTATTAAAAGATAGGCAACACATTTATATGGTTTATATAATGAGAAAGAGTAATTTTTGACTTTATTTAAAATAATATTAAAAAGAATATATATTTATGACTCTCATTTCTCAAGAGCATTGTTTTTTCATCATCTTTTATCTCTCTTGTTCCAAAACATTTAGTAATATGTCTGACATTTCTGTATTCAGATTGAATAATTTTGAAAAGTTCTTGACGACATCTTGAGGGTCTTAATCTTCATACAGAGCTAATCTTCCTTATTTTCCTGGGCAGATATTCACATCCATAATAACAATTGGTTTTTTTTTTAATTTTGGTCGATTTACCATTTATGGGGGATTGAATGGAGAATTTCTAAGTTTTTCTAATTATTCTCCAGTGGATACACTAAATATAATTTGATTTCATACTGATTTAATTTCTCTTTCTGTTCTCTTGCTCTATTATTGGCCTTTCTCATTCTATCTACCATTTTGTCATAGTCCTTTGGAGTGCTTGCATTTGTTGTTGATATAGGAATGCCATCATTAATTAGAGGAGTGAATGTGCATTAATTCAACTCTACTAATTCTTTTTATTCCTAAGTTTTTCTTACATTTTCTTCTTAATACAATCTTTTCTAATGAATTGATTCTTAAGTATATAATCTACTCACCACATCAATTGTAGAATTTTATGAGTAATTTTAATTAATCTTAGGCTGGAATGTGCATTCCTTCATCTTCTCTTCTTATTTTTAGAGCTATTATTTTTATATTTCTCTATTGAATTCTTACTTCTTTTTCAAGAGAACATCGATGCAGCTTTAACTTTGCGTACTTAATTATTTATCCATGTATTTTTGTCTGTTTTGATAAGCTAAAATTTAAGATTTCTAATTTATTGATGGAGCATGTTTCTCCTTGACATCCTCAATTTCTTTTTTTTTATCTGGGTAAGCGGAGAAAATCTAATTTTATGTAAGAGCTCTAAATTGAATGACTAATCTCTTTGCTTGATCAAATTTTTAATTGTAATTGGTGACTTCGTAGTTTAGGAAGTCTAAAACTAATTAAGCTGTTTCTTCGACTGTCAATTTGACTGGGTCCATCAAGATTCTAAATACACATAATACCATTTAGGTTTCAACTTATTCATGTTCACCATCTTGCGATACTAGATTCCACAACATTTCATGCATCAACATCTAAATATATAGAGATTAAAAAATACCTCCTGTTTACCTCTCAGATTAAGAGGTTAATCGCTATTTATTACTATATTACAAATATAAAATTACATTCGCAATTGCTATCAAAGATAATTTCTTGGAATATTTTTAAATCAGTGAATGCTGCCCCAATTTATGCAAAATCAAGTCTTTCGCTTTTGAATCTAGATAATGAATCCGAAATTCGTTATTGTAATTAATTGGCAATAATTGCATAGGAATTTTCAGTAATCTTCTTCTTGTTTGATAATGCCTTGATCTCTGCATTAATCTATGCATTATAAATATCTGTAAACCTAATCTTATAAAAGTTGATAACGTTGTTCCTATCTATAGAAACGATTGTAAAATTTGGTGTTCTTAATTATACAAATTTATACTTATAATTGTTCTTTCGTTATGGTTGGACTTTGAGACCTCGGTATTATGGTTACCAAATCTGAACGATTTGCGGGTGAAACAGAACGAGATGTTTTTTCTTTAGTTTGAAAAAACATTTATAATTAATAACAGAACTTAATCATGTAGCAAATTAAGTATTATGTACGAAGTATTAATTACTTATTTTAATCATTAATAATTTATGGATCACATAAACAAAGACAACCTCCATGATCTAAACAAAAAGTTAACAGAAGAAAACCAAAGACTTTCGCTTCTTGTCTATGGTTTATAACGACAATTACAAAATGCAGCAGTTCAGATAAATTATGTGCAATCAATTGAACAAAAGTTGGAGTTGCTGCAATTTGAGATAATTCAATTAAAAAAGGATAATTAATTATTACAGGAATAAGCATTCGTGCATTTTGAGTAGTAGATGCAAAGGGACTAGCTCTAATTGGAACTTGACTCTATGAAATCTTAATACGAGCAGAAGTTACAATTTCTGATTAAGGAAAATAAGAGATTAGGAAGGCTAAATAAAGAGATCTAAAATAAATAAACTAGTTCTATTGAAGCATCAGCATCAAAATTGATTGAATTAAGCAATGATTTAAAAATTAAACTGGAAAATTTCAATTCATAATCAAATAATCTAAACTAAACCGTGGTTGGTCCAAAAGGGATGACGAAGAAGATATATGACAATTTAATCTAACAATTGCAAACCACCGAGGAAAAGTCGTTCCAAATTACACAGTATTTTATTATTCTAATTTATTTTAGTGCTAAGAGGTTTCCAATGATACAAGTAAAGGAAGTAAAATAATAACAAAAAAGCATGGTAAGCATACCTATCGTTTCGAGTATTTCAAGTATAAAGTGAAAATGATTACATATTACTAAATTATTTAGATCTATATAATTAATATATATCAATTAATTAATAAACTTAATGTCTGTTGCACCTTCCTAATTTGAAAAATGCTACAAACATCCATCGAATGACATAGTCCTTTTTTGTATGTCATTGGAGTGCAGACAGGTTTTAAATATATTCTATCAGAAATTGAATAGCCCTTATGCAAAGATTGTTGTAAATTACACGTGCAATAACATAATTAAAATGGTACACAAGCACAATTAGATACAGTTGATAATGTAAGATAACAGCTTCTGAATAATGTTCATGAAATGAAAACTAAATTTGAAGAGTATAAATATATATTCTAATTTGAAAAGAGAGAGAGCAATTTTGCATCATTTTAATGTGGGTGAATCGCCGGAATTGATGAAATAAATACAAAATAAATTACAAAAAGTCAAATCAACTCTAATGGCAGCAGTCAATTAATATTGTGTTTAATTAGAAGAGTAAGTTAAATAGAAAATTCATTTGCAAAAAGTAATTTCAAAATTTTTGATTATTAGTAATCTCATCCAGGGGAGAAAAAAGATCTTCACCATAAACTCAATTAGATAATTCTTAGCTTAGATTAAAAGGAAAAGATGTTACTCTAACCAAAATATATAAGAGGTTGTTTGATGGTAATGAGTGACGAGTAGCATCACGATTTTGAATAGCTAACATTGGAAGTTGATGATGCTCTCAAGATGTATTTATCTAATGCGTTTGATGTGTTTGTTCATGAAGAGAAGCTCTAGAAAATTAGCTAAGCCTTTACAGAATACGTTGACATTTATTAGGCAAATTTGAATGAGGAATTAGAATTCTTATCGAAAAAGATTAGAGACAATAGTTAAGTTCCTCAAATGCCTAAGTAGAAAATTGTATCGAATCAAAAAATTGCATAACAAACTATACCAATTAAGGAGACCAAACAATTTCATTCCATTTATGATGAGAAATTCAGTGGATCTAATTTCGCTAATTAATCTCAATTCAAATGGAGTTATGGAGATAAAAAATAGGAATAATATTATTAAAACATATATTAATGATTTGTATTAGTTATTAATTTGCTCCAAGGGTTAGTATGGTTATTGTTTTTGAGGTTGATTTGAAGGATAAAATTATTATTCATTCTATTTCTGTTTTGGGGTGTGGATTAGCTAATAAAATTCATAAAATTTTATGAAAACAATAGTGAAATGATTAATATATTTAAATCTGACTTTGAAAGACATCTCTAGTAGAGTTCCATACTCAATAATGCAGTTTAGTTGAATGTGACTGATCTGAAATTCTTAATGAAAGGATTCCAAGAGTAGTAAACTCCAATCTCAATAAGAACTATATTTAAGAAGTTTATAAATGCACTTCCAATTAAGCCCTCGTATAGAGTAAAATTAAAGATTTTGGCTGCATGTCATGTATTGTTAGATGATTTGATACATGGTGCCATATTTGCAGAGTATGTCAGTGATTGGGATGGGTTCGTAGATGATTCTTATTCGATTGAAGATAAATTTGTAGTTTTTTATTTTCAAGTATTGCAAAGATTTGCTAATAGCATTGCTCTGATTAAGATGGTCAAAAATTAGAGATCATACACTATCAAATGTATTAATATTCATCTAAACTTAGAATTTGAAGAATTTTAAAATATGTATTATAAAGCGATAAACTTATTAAATTTTGTATTTTGCCAAACCCCACTATTTAAAGATATTTTGGCATAGAACAAGGAAGATATAATTTATGAGTTATTGTTACTTTTATGGAATGATGTCATTGCATTATACCTCTTTCTAGAAAAGTAATTTTAAATTTAAGCTTAGATTAATTAAAGAGTTTGAGTTGGAATATTCATCCCTCTAAACCTCAGTCTTCTTTTAAATTTACTAATTACTTCCAGACATATAGAAGGTTTAGAATTCTATAAAAGAATTTTATCAATTGCATTATTACCATAAAATTGAAAAGCACATTAAAGAACCTTATTGGAAAGAAATAAATGAAAAAAAATTGGATGAAATCCACAAATACAACCAAATTGTTAAAATATCTACAACTAGACACAAATTATAACAGCAAGCAAGAAGAAGGAATTTAACATTAACACCTCAAAATAACTGCCAATAATAATATTTTTCAAATACAACCCTTGGTTATCTAAAGAGACTCTCCACTTGTGAAGATCCGTTTGAAGTAAGTGTGCAGGATAACTTTGGATATCAATTCACATAATAGTGAAATTTTATTTTTATTTATGATATATGATGAATATAAATGTTCACTCCTGTCCTAAGATAATGAATTTGAGTTCTTGATTATTTAAATATAATTCTATTACAATATATTTGTCGATCTAAAATTTTCAAAATCTTATCTATTAATAAAGTATGAGTTATTCTTAGAAATATACAGATAATTAAAACCCTCTATTAGATCTAATTTCATATAAATTTCCAATGAAAGATAGCAGTTTCATAGCAGAATCTATGGTTGCAAATCTAAAGAAGCATTAATCCTTATATAATATAATTGTTATCTAAATGAATTATTCGTAAAGTGAAATAATGTATAATTGATTGATGATCTATATAAATAGAATTCTTTTGACTTGATCATATTATAAATTGAAATTATATAAAACATTAGTTTATAATGCAAATCTAGAAATTTATAAAATATAGAAACAGAATAAAATAAGGTTCTCTGCAATTGAATGATAATATTATTACTGAATTTATTGAAATTAATTTAAATGATTTATTATATTCAAACCTTTCTTAAGGCATAAATTAGGTAAAGTGTTTTTCTTTCACTTAATTCCTAAAATATACGAGAACTCTAAACACCACTAAATTTACTAAAGAAGCTTCTGAAGACTATAATTAATAATATGAATGCGATATACTTATTCCACAATGTCTCGTCATCCATTATTGTTTCCTCTTCTCATCCAATTTCAATGCTTAAAGGACATTGATAGTAATGTCTTCCTTAGTTTCCAATTTCTATTAATATAGTCATATCTTATACCAATCCTGTTGATTAGAGGTCTTATTCAAATTACTTAATATCTTAAATTGCTCTGAAATCTGTAATAACAAATAGCCCTCCAGTGCTTAGTAATTCTGTAACTTCCTAAACAAACTTTTAGAAATTGCCATAACAATGAGATGATTCAACGTTGATGATCAAATCAAATGTTTAGATCTTTAAACTTGTTAAATTTTCAGCATCGCCTTATTGAAAGCTTAATTTTTGATTTATTCCATAGGTGGTCTTACAAAAATCCACTTAATTCTAGGAGTAATCAACACCAACACACGATTCAGGTTTCAATGATGAATGAATATAATATAATCCTCCTCCTCTGCCGCTTCCAACCTCTAATACTCGTTTTCCTTGAAGATCCTTTAATTTCAAACAATTTGTTGCCACCATGTGATATAATTAGAGACAGAACCTTTCTTCTTCTTACTATTCATCCAAATTGTTGAGAATACGTCCATTTTCATTCAATAATGCATATCCATAATTCAAAGACCTCCATTTATTCAATGGGAAATATGCGCACATAAAGTCATAGATAAACCCCCATAATAATTTTCTAGGTTTTTCACTCTAATAGAACAAATAGTCATATATTTTATGATAAACCTTTGTAAAAATGTGTCGCACCTAATAATATGAATGTTACTTACAGGAGTATACTTAACAATTATAAATAACACTATTGTAATGGGGAAGAAGGCGATTGCAATAATAGCTAATATCAAACCAGCAACAACGGCAATTGCAGCAAATAGAAAGAATAGGATTAAACTTTTGTTTTGTGGTGAAAGCAAATTCATATTATTTATTTTAATTTAGTTTATTAACACTTTATATATATAAAAAATTGATCTGACTTGTTCAATTATTAATGTGCATGATTATTTATGTAAATTACCTTGATTGTATTGGGTAAATAATTTGTTTTTAACTTATGAAATTAATTCTTCCAGGAAATTTTAGTTTAATATTAACTTTATAAATATTTATAATATATTAATGATTCAATTATTGAATTCTGTTTTTGGAGTTGTTGTTGATATTTATCGAGCAACTAGACTTGTGTTCATTTTAGACTAAAATACTTATATATATTACTGTAGTTTCTAATTTTTATAATAATTAAGCTTCTTGTTTCCTTAGTTCTTCAATGATGCTTAGTTTGGTTTCGGCTTCAATCATGTGTTAAGATTTCGAGTGATAATGATCTTGTTAATGCTTAAGATATCTTTATTTGTGAAAATTGCTGATGCTTTATTAAGCTAGCTGTTCTTGAGTGAGAATCTATTGTTTTTGCTCATATTTTTATTATTTAAGGCTGTCGAGATTCTATCTAATAAGCTATTCATTTTTTTGAGATTGCTCTTTTATATTCTTGACTTCCTATTATTTCATTTGAAGGAAGTTTTATTAGATATAAATTTTCTCTTGTGACTATTGTCGTTTCAGGTTGCGTGTTCGAGATACCAAATTCTATATCTATACATTGACTTATTCTCTATGCATTTATTTCTATATTTATGTAATTCATATACAAATTCTTTAAATTATTCATGATCTTCGCGAATTCGGGTTAGTTGTTCACTCTTCTGCTATTATATTTAAGCTTTCTTCTCTCTAAGAAACGAATATCATATTTTAATGATACCTTATTTCATTCTCTAACTTTAGTAGTTAGACTCTTCTTTTTGCCTTTTCTAATTAGCGAGAAGCATCAAAAAATTCCTTTTTGGGACTCTGCTAAAAATTTTCTAGCTTGGGAGCTGATGAAGAAAAGTAATAGGAAGGACTTCCCAAATTCGTTCGGCTCATTTAATATAATAATTATTTAATAATCATAGTGATTGTATCTCTTCGAAATACCTTAGTATTGGATTCATAATCCACTAATAAATCTAAATAAATTAGTACTCTTTGTGGTTTCAATCCCGTGAACCATTCAACATGAGCTCCTTTATTCGTCAAAGCAACGATGATATTAGGGTTTTACTTGATTTGATCATATGGAACCAGGAATTACGGGACTATGGGATCATCCTTGGAGTGCATGATGAAGACAGGAACCTTGACGTCTTTGATGTAGTTGCCACATCCGATGTTTGAGTATAACTATTCAGGAGAATCAAAATCGAATAATCTTCTTGTGATAAGTTCATCAAACTCATAGGTATTTTTGGCCTTTAAAGCTTCTTAAATTTGAATTCCCTTGGTTTTTTCATTTTCTGCCAATGAACTCTGATGTTATTTGAGGAGCATTTTGAAATTACAAGTGATGGACCAGTCATATATTTTGTTCCTCAATTTCATGATGTTGTGTGAGCAATCCAAAAGATCGTAGGGATTGGCAACTGAGAATATTCTGTTGACCATACATTTGTAACCTTCTTCTCCTGCATATTTCAATAGTAGACTGCCTCCAATCGAAAAGCCTAATCCGAATATTTATTGACCCTTCTATTTATTCTCTTATAAATAATTGATCACTTCTCTGAGATCATTGGTACATCCATGAAAATGATATCTACTTGTCAATAATTCACAATTAGACACTCCCCTTTGATTAAAACACACTACTTGATAGCCAGCCTCAGCCAGAGTCTCAGCAGCATGTTTTATATAATTAGTTTCAGATCCACCTGTTAGCCCATGAGTAATTAAAATAAGTGGTTTATTTGTAACAACATGCTTATTCTTCCAATCTAGTGCCAGTTGTCCTCCATCTGACAATTTAAACAGCTATCTTTCAAATTCCGTGTCAAGTTTTTTTTCCCAACGAGTAGCATATGCTAGTTGCATCAATCGGTGAGGAATATAGAAAGTAGGCCTGTACTTGATCTTCAATAGACATAAAGCTTACATCTGCAAAGATGCTCAGAACGTGCTTCTCGATTGCTTCTGGATGGTGAATAAATTCCATGGAAGTATTCCAGAAGCATTCATAGCAATAATAGGCAGAAGCAGCCAAAGTTACAGCACCAGCCAAGGAAACTGTTCTAAGTCTTGTCAAATACTTGTTATAGCCAAGCTTTGGTTTCAGTTATAATAAGGTAGTGGATCTTAGGATTGTTACAAACATAATTTTAATAATTGTCATTTCCGAAAAATTATTCAACTTATATGATGCGTCACGTTATAAAATATAATATTTTCTATGTTTTAATCAACTCACGATTCCCTCATCAGTCATTCTATGCACTTTTTATTTAAATTCTCTGTTATCATTATAAAAATTCAAATTTAATACTATTTTTAGAATAATATATTATAATTCATTAAATTATTGTATTTCCAAAATTTTTATATTTTGTTAAGCACTATTTAATTTATTAGTCATAATGATTAGGCCCTGGAAAATTATTCTTCTTCTAAGGTGTAAATTTCATTCCGATTGAAAATAATGGTCCACCCAATCCCTCTGTGTCCTTATATTGACCAGGACCAGGCACTTCATTTAAAAATGGCTTTTCCTTGAAAACTGAAATTGATTTGCCTTTCTTCTTGTATTTCTCCGTTTCGAATACAGTAGGTATTGTATAAGATGCTGGAGATGGACGTAATACTTATTGAGGTTTGAAGCGCGAGTCAGTTCCAAATGGTTTTCTTTTATTCTCCTTTTTTGGTGGTAATGGTATTTCATTAAATCGTTCTTCCATTTTATATAATTAAAATAATAACAAAATGAAATAAATTACTTAAGTTTCATTCATTAGAAAAATCCAAGACTAATTAAATATTCAAACTGATAGTCATTAAAAGTCAGTTAAGATCATCAACTTAAGATGATATTAAGTACCTTAAAGATTGAATTAATTCTATAATATAATAAGAAATAAAAAATAGTTTAGACCTCATATATAAGCCTCAAATGTGATCAATTAAGTGTTCTTAATATCTATTCTAAAAAGGTTAGTTAAATAACTATTAATAATAAAATTGTAAATTTCGAAAACATTTAAGAAAGTCAGTCTTGTGAAAGAAAAATTTAAATAATAGTATTGTTGATTAGATTCTCTACAAATAAGTTCAAATGTTATTATTATATATTTTATATTTTTTCCAATGAAAAACAATTAAAAAGGGTATCTGGAGCTAAATTAGATTTGGCTCAGTAGACAGTAATTATTCCAAATAAGCTAAGAGAGTATGATGCTCATAAGAAGAGACTCCAACAAAACTCTAAGTTGAGTCCTCATAAGGATTTGAGAATCTATGAATAAGTCAAAAAAACTTAGTTTATTAATAATAGAAAAAGAGAATTAATGAAATGGTAGACAATTTAAGAATAAAATACATAAATTCTTGCGAGGCTGGCTAAAATAAGCAATCGGTCACCTACAGTATTAATAAAATAATATTGGAAAAGCCTCCTAGTTAATGTGGTACGCCTCGAGGTAGAAGATCATTAAAGGAATCAAAATTGCGTATTGAAAATGAAAACAACAGATTGTTATCCAAAATTAATGGAATGTAAGGTTTAATTAAAATTAGATAATCTAATCTAAAGTAGGAAAATTTTCAAGATTCTTATCTGAAGCATAAAAAGATATAACAGAACATGTAAAAATTTTATTTTGATAACAACCTACACAAAATTAAATTAAGGGTTGATGCTTATTTGGATAATTTGAATATGTAGAAATCGTATGAAAGATCTAAAAGCTAGCATGTTAATCCACGAACTAGTAAATTAAACTGAAACAGATATATTTATAAATACTTATGATGCAAATTAACCCAAAAATATCAATATCATTTATAGCTCACCTTTTCCTTTATTCTATCACTTAAAACATAACTTATAGTATATCTACTTTTGTTGGGAAGCAATTATTACCATTGCTTCAAATTATTATACTTTTTGATGACAAAGTCTGGATTGAAGAAAGGGTAATAGTAACAAAAATTATGTGCTTTATCAAATTCCTCGTCTTCTTAAAAAGAAAAGAAATTGTTGAAATTTTATTAATTGGCCAATGCAATAAGGATGTTCTCATCTTATTTCCCATTATTAGTTTATTGGCTTCTGCTTCTTTGTTGTTTTTGTTATTACTCTATGCGATTCTTATCAGTTTCATCCAAAAGCAGATTGGATCTATAAGATCCTTTAAAGTTCTCTAGCATTTTTGATACTTCAGGCTAGGTAGCGTAACTAAATGATTTTTTATTTTATCTACAATTTCTTGGACTGTTTTATTAGGTCAGCATCTATAAGTCAAAAATATACAAGTCGTTTAATCTATCTGGATTCTCACCAATATTTAATTTATTGGTTTAAATTTATTAAATAGATTATCCCTAAATTTATTAAATAGTTTATCCCTAACAAATATTTTAATTAATAATTGATATTGAATCTAGATCTTCTCGTTCAAGCTCTTTAACAACACCTTTTGTCTAAAATTGATTTTGTTAACCATATATTGGCGAATCTTTTCTAATTTTGTTGGTCTCAATTTCAAAACACGATTCTTTAACATCATCTAAATCACTATTAAGTAAGATGCTATTGCTAGGTCTTGTTCGATAAACTACAGGCATGTGACTGACTTACTTTTGAGATTGATTTTATTATATATAAGTAGATGACAAATAATTCTGATTATTAGTGAGATCCCTCAATATTTATGAATCAACATTGCAATTATTTTCTTGAAATTCCTGTCCAGCCATTCCAATTTAAAATAAAAAATCTCTGCTGTTTTGAGTTCTTTTAACTCTTCTTTAATCTAGGATTAAATAATAAATTTTACAGTATCTTCTGATTTGATTATGATTATAAGAACATTGACTTAAAACCTTTTCTTTATTGGGATGATAATGCAATTTGTCACAAGAAAAAAGTAAGTGATTTGGAGAATTGCAACAAAAGCATCTCAGTCCAATTTAATCGTAGAGATTCTCGAATGTGACTTAGTCTTTTAGAAATTAAGCTATTTCCTATGTTAATAGATATATAAATACGAAATCTGATCTATTGTTTTTTATGACATTTAAGAAATCATTTCTTGTGATTTTATATGTTTCTACTGGTCCTAAACAAATCACACTACTTGTTCTCGGCAAACCTGTGAAGAATGACACTTCTCCAAAAGTCTAAAACTTGGTTAGCTGTTTTATGCCAGTTTATGCATTATTTATACCAGTATAACAGATTTTAACACATCCTCTTTTAATCATATATAATGAATCATCATCTCTACTATTCTATTTCAATATCATTTCATTTGGTTAGAAAATTTGATATGTCATCTTCTCAATTAGTCTCTCTTGAGTGTCTTATGAGAACTTTTAGAAAACGGCTATTTTCTAGAAATACTTTGCATTGATGGTTTTATCAATTTTCTTATAAATCTCACTGTTAATAAATTAGATTGATTTTGTGTCAATAGCTGAACTCTATTGTAATTAATCACTTTTCATTTCAAATTTATAATTACTTAATGCCTTCTTTTTTAATTAAGAATCTATTTTATGATGGTTAAGAAAAGCCTTAAAATCGAAGTAGTGTTTTTTGAGTAAGTACGTATCAATGTTTTGATAAAAGTAGAATAGAATTTCCAAAATTGCTCCTATCCTATTACAAGTTTAAACTATTTACACGAAAATAGCAAATTACAACTCAAAATTAGTTTCTTGCGATAATGATCCGTAAATAGTCAAGTATTCATCTAAATACTTGTGCAGATAGATTAAATAGATTTTAAATTAATTACTGATTGATTCATTTACTATGTTGGAATGATTCATTGACATTTGAATGATAGCGAAAAGGTGACAATAACATATAGCAATGCTAAATCTATAGGCCAGCAATACTGCAAGTTATTTTGATAAAAGGCTATGCAACTTCACTTTCTGAATTGTTACAATATTCAAAACGATAACTGCTATGATGGTAATGTACAAGTGAGTCATACAAAACTGCAGTATGAATATGAAGGACAAATACGCTAGAACATCCTTAATTAGATATCTTCTTATGTAATTATGCTGAATCTATCTGAGATTAGTGATTTCTACGTCGTTTTAGTAGTAGCTAGTGTGTAGATTAAAAAGATTGTTTAAAGCAGTGAGAATCAATTAGGAAAACAACAGTATTATGCTTTCTGAGTTTTTGGGGTAAATCAATATTAATGGGGAGAATATAAGAGTTGTAATATAAGTAACTTACATAATTATTTTCCAAATTTCTCTAAATTTACTAGAACGTGGTATTGGAATTGTTATAGAATTCTTAATGGAATTAAATTTTGTTCTCTCCTTAAATTTTTCAGGGAAAACCTCATTTGATCCTGTTTGTAGTAGTTGATTGACACAATTACTTTCCGCAAATGGTTTGGAGCCTATTTTTAATTTATCGATAAATTTTTTAATCAACTGCTCAGTTCTGGCATCTTTGCTTTGTTATTTGTACATCGGTGACGTGATCCTTCCTCTTTCCTAAATGAAATAATGTCATACTAATAGCTTAATGGACTTTTAGTTGTTGGAATATTTGCCTTGATGAGAACAAGACACCATTTTATGTGGATCGCTACTTTCCATTTCTAAGCCATTCATGTCTAAACTATTGGAATCCTTTGGCTGAAACGGGTATTGCATGTTAAACTAATTTTGAGGCATCTATTAGCTCAATCTAGAATTCAGTCTAGAAGAACAATGAGAATAATTTCTAGAAGTGTTAGAGCTAGGAAGAATTATGAACTCTTTGCTTGGAGATTAATTCATATAAATTAATATAATATTTATGTATTTGCCAATCTTTAATAACCTTAAATAGATCTGTAATTAATATTAAATCAAGTATGAATTAATTAAGGAGATTACTGAGGTAGATATAAATCTTATCCATTACGTTGATAATATCTCACTTATTGAATGATAGTGTTGAGAATTCTGATCATCAATCCTATATACAAGCAGGGGTACTTTTATTTGAAGCGTAATTATTTACTGACATCAAAATATCAATATAATGATACGAGACATTCTTGGTTTTATCATCTTCGAAATAAACAACAAATACTTGATATGATAGTGTATCGATCCAATTTTGAAAATGAATCACAATATTATTATAAATTCATTTTCATTACGCACAAAACAATTATAATTTATTAATAAAAAAGATGGCTTACACGACAGCAAGATTATTCTCAACGTAATCATTTGAAATAAGTTTAGAGTTGTGACTTAGACATTTTTTAGGGATATCCAAGTAATTGGATAGGAAAACATTCCAAAAGTAATTCATCAATATGAATATGTAGGATGGACCCCTATTGCTATTTGGAAATCACAATAATCAATTTATTGATCCACTAGTACTATTATTTATAAAAGAAAGCTCATTATTTCAAACATCCCAAGGAAAGTTCATTTCATAGCAGCTGCAAAAGTGATTCAATTATGTTTATGCAATAGAGCATGAAGAGACCTATCATAGGTCACTTAGGAAAAGCCTTAGGAGGAATCCCAGTGGAGAGACCACAGGATCTGGCAAAACGAGGATTTGGAACCATCCAAAGGATTGATGGAAATATGGTATATGGTCTGAGAACAGAGTTTAAATCGCAATGCAAAGTCAATGACATCTTGGTGGCTGTAATTCAGTTGTCTTATTATCGATAGAATGAATAGGAATTTCAGATAACCGAGATAATCAGTGATACTTAGTTGAAAATTAATAATCATGGGTAAATAGATTCTCCCATCAGAAATCTTCAATATAAGATCTAACCCAAGATTGACTAATCGAATATGTTTGAATAAGTGTGGATTGAATTATCAAAGGGAGCGTGCATTGGAATATTCCCAGAAGGAGGAAGTCACGATCAAACCAGATTACTACCACTTAAACCAGGAATCTGTATCATGGCATTGGGAGCTAGTTAAAAATTCAACACTAAAGTCAAACTCCAACCAGTTGGTTTGAATTATTTCAAAGGCCATAAGTTTAGATCAAAAGTAATCATCGAATTTGGAGTTCCTTATGAAGTAAGTCAAGAATTAATAGATCTATATGCGAAGAATAAAAGAGAGGCCATTAGCAATTTGCTTTATGAAATCGAGAGTGTAACAAATCTAAATTTATAATAATTAGTAATTGAAGACTGTCACTATCTAAGCTCCTACATATTCAGATCTATCTGCCGTCATGATTGTAAGATCTCTCTATTTGCCAGATAAAGCAAGACTCTCTGCTTAAGACAATCTGGAATTGGTCAAAAGGTTTATTTATTATTTCTAAACAAGATTCTCTTCGGCCTTCTATAAACTAGAAAACCACCCTGAAGTTAAGGAAGTAGTCAGTTAAGTGAAGATGTACAATTACAAATTGAAAGCCTTGGGTGTCTACGATTACCAGGTTATGAGAATGGAGAAAAACACTTTTCAGGATATCTATAAAATAGCCTTCAACTTATTTATGGCATTGCTCAGTTTATCATTCGCTTTGCCTGGATACATTATGACTATTCCAATATCTCTTTTATTGAACACTTATACAGAGAGGGAGAGGTAAAAGGCTTTGGCCAATTCCAAGGTGAAGTTAAGTGGTAAGGATGTTATTGCCTCCTACAAAATTTTGGCTTCAATTTTGATTGTGCCAGGAGCTATTGCTATCTATACTATCTTATTTCATTATGCTCTGAAGAAGTGGAACTTTATAAGCAAAGAGAAATAATTAAAGTTGACTTTGATATTTTTCTTACTCTGGCCTTTGTACATTACTGCAATGATAAGATCAAATGATGGTTTGATCAGACATTCAAGAAAGGTTAAAAGCCAAATCTTATTTTATTTGTATTAAAGTAAATATAGAAAACTTAAAAAATCAAGAGAATTACTATAAGATAGAGTATTATATTATTTGAATATTAAGATACGAAAGATGGTTGATATGTTGGGAGAAAACGTAGTGGCCGATTTCAAAAAGAAAAGAGTGTTCTCTTTTGATGCTAAGAAGGACAATTTAGATATTGACAACGTATTTTGTTCATTAGAAGAACTCGGAATCTGAAAATCAACATATATAATAATATGATTAATATTTTATTAACATTTACTTACCTAGTTTTTGTATAAGGCTAAATTAAGCTAGAAAATCCAATTTAAGAATTGAAGATAATATAGGTGGATAACACTGATTCATAATCATCAATTGAAATGATTCCAGAATAAACAAAAAGAGTTGTACAATATAAGGATTCTAAAACAACAATTGGAATGAAGGTGACTTCAAGCAATGAGACATTGTTGAGATGCCTTTCATATGATAAAAATATTCTCTTTGAACCTTACATGGTTAATGAAATCAAATTGTTGTCCCCATCTATCAATTCAGGATATACTGATGAGTCCTTGAAAATAAATAGAACAGCAAATGTGAATGACCCTGACTTTATTATGAAGAATCCTGTTTTAGTTGGATTAGCCAATACAACATCTCAAGGATTTATGGTTTTAACTAGCAATCATTTACTACATTTATTTTAACTTGATTATTCCCAACTCTCTAATAAATTTGCAATCAAATCAAATCAAACATTCAATTTTAGTGATTTGAGACAAACCTAATATGAACCAGTTTCACCACAACTAATTTGGTTTGATCAGAAATCCTGTGCTCTAATAGTATTTCCATAATAAATTATCATTGGAAAATTGGTCGATGGCCAATTCTCATTCAAGAATAGCAACATCTCTATATCAAATGAAGAGGAATACATTGGAATTACCAAACTTCATAAAGGATTTGTTTTTGTTGCAAGAGGACGACTAGGAATCGATATCTATTCCCTCCATGATTAAGGACAACTAATTTTTATTTCAAATCTCCATAATCAAATATCTAATTATATACAAAATATGTATATCATAGATTTCTCTTTTGGGGGATTCGATAATAACTACATCTTCGTTCTAGATAAATTTTAAGGATTAATGATATTTTCAATTTCAGATCAAACCTTCACACTTACTAAATGGCTAGATTCCCTATAAGAAATCAAAGGAGCAAAACTAATTAAAACACACAGAAATGTAGTTATGATAATGGTGGAACACAACTCGTATAATCTTATATTAGAATATTGCATCTATTCATAAGATTAGAAGCTGTTTTATATAAAAACACATTATCTAGATGGGAAATACTTTGACATCGATATTGAAGAGCAATTTGCCATCGTCAGAGGCTACGATGGACATAAAATAATCTACCACTCAATACATGAAGGATTTCAAGTAAATTACAATTCACCTATTACTGATGAATCTTGGGAGGATGGAACAGAATTTCAAGAAGATATCGATTAGTATGCCATCATTCCTTAAATGCAATCCTTCTATTTGACTTAGCATTTACAATAGGTATGCATTATAATTGATTGTAGAACTTTTTGGTAGCCATTTCGTTTAGAAGTCTTATATTCGTCCGATTTATTAGGGTAGAACCATATGTAGAATGCAAATTGACTAATTTATCAACTAAAAATAGTCAAATAACAGTAAATGCTGTGTTGAACTCAACCTGGTGCAAAGAAAAATTTTAATAACAATTAGTATATAATTAATCGTTCTATTCCGATTTGGTGATGTGTAAAAAAGAGTTGAACTTTTCTATTAAAGTTATCAATACTTTAGAAGAGGAATAAAACAATTATTATTACATCGTTATAATAGTGATTACATCTTTAATTTTGTTATGCTTATTATTGGTTGCATTAAGGATATTCTTTACCAAATATAGATAGGATCAATAAAATCTTGTGAGTGTTATCGATTAATTAGGAAAGAGAGGATATACTGCAGAAAAATCATAAGATTAGATATCAGGTTTTTGATTTATTACATTTATGATATTTTTTAGTTCAATAATCAATTACAATAGGTTTTATTAAATATTGATAAATCTAAAATTCATTTTTAATACTATTGAACTTAATCCTTTAAATTCTTAATCTAGCTTTTAAGAGTCAAAATCATTTCATCCTTAGATTTCGCATTTGAACTCTCCTTCAATTTCTCAAACTCTCTTTCGTATAGCAAATCCCTTTAAGCAGAATCAAATTATGTATTTTCTTTTTTTTCATAATTCTTATGTTTTTGTGATTGTATTTAAGATAGAATGAGCTCGTCCTTATCATAATCCTTCTCTAAATAGCCATTAACAAATTCCTCTGCTTCTTGCAATTCGTTAACAGCCATTTGATTTGGTTAAGGCTTAATTTGATTGATATTGATCACTTTGGGTTTTCGAATAGGCATATCACTAGTTGATAGTTTGTATGGATTAGCAATATTACTTTACATTATTTATTCATCTCTCAAATCATCTTCATACAAAACTTGTTTTACATTCGGCATTTGGAATTGAGGAGCTTATTATTTTTGTCTTTTGTCCTTTTTAATTTTTGAATCCTCAACAGTCTATTCAAATTAATTCAACAAATCAGAAAGTATTGTAGTATGCTTTTGGGCCATCATTGCAGTCCTTTCTTCGATCTAATTACCTTAAATCTTATGGATGAAACATAACAACACTTCCAGTTGATCCTGCTTTGTTGATAAGTTCAAACCTTCAATAGAACATAATAGTTAGGAGATCTAATCAATATAAGTTAATAAATTCGAAATTTGTTCATCCAAATCTGAAAAGTATCTATAAATATAATCTCCAATGATATTATGTTCCATGACTTTCTATACTCTTTCTACAGTATCAATCTTAATTTAATCATTTATCAAGAATCTGATATTGCTTAGTAACTCCTTAATTAGGTCAAAATTGGTTTTATCCTTATTAGAAAGAATGTTAAAAGCATTAGAAATGAGTTCAAATGGTAAGAGCCTATCACCATCAATTTAGGCCTATTTTTCTTTATTTTACGAGACATTATAGATTTCCTTAGTTTTCTATATGAATTTCATAATCTATTCCACATCAGATCTTCGATATTTCTGTTCATATAAAAAATGAGCAATGTCTACTAATTTGAAATAATTCCCTTTTACTGTTTAAGAGAATTTCTTTATAAAGTTGCCTATAGTTTATAAGTATATTGAGTTCAAAGCCTATTAGTCTTTATATTTATTGACTAAATCTGGATATCCCACTGGAGTATAATTCTCATTTGAAAGTAGAGTCCCTAGATATCTGCAGACAACTCTCTTTTCATAAAAGGCGCTCTCCTTCTATAGAAAGAGTTCCTAAAGTGACTCTCTACACATTGCTGCGATTTGATCAGTCTCTTGATTTTTTACATAGATTCTTGTGTCCTCTTATTCAGCTATGTTTCTGAATGCTAATTCTTCAAATCTTTACAACATTCTCACTTCCTGAATTTTAGTTTACAACAGCATGGTTTTAATGTTTTTATAGCTATTCTAGATATGAAATATTAACTTACAAAATAATTTCTTAGATAGATACAAAGACTAATGTTTCTTTATTTCGCAGAGTTTTCACTAATCAAATTTCTGATTTTAGTTTTTTCTTTATAAAACTTTTTAAAGTTAAATATGAAGGCTTTCATAGAAATCATGGGTATTGTCTTCGATTACTGTTATTATTAATTCTTATCTATTAGATTTGAATTAAGATTTTTTTCATTCGCAGAGTTTGTTTTGCTGTTTTTTGTTTCCTTCAGAGTATTTTTTTTTGAAACAACCTCAACTTTACTCTGCTTGTTTTGATTATAAAAAAATTCAAGTTCATCATCGTTATGCATTTTAATTATATATATATATTATTAATATATTAATTAGTCATTCTTAAAACAATAAAAATTTGAAATCTTCCAATTCTTATTCCTTTTGTTAATTATTACTGAGAGCTCTTTTGATGTAGAATTTTTTCTTTTGATGCAACAAGTTTATTTATTACTCAATTGTGTTCCTGCACAAAAATCTCACTACTTTAACTTGATTCTGTTGTCCTATTCTATCGGCTCTTCCTATGGCTTGATCTTCAATAGCAGGCTAAATAACATCATATGATAATTTTACATTCCACCATGGATCCACCAAGAATACATTACTAGCCATAGTCAAATTTAACCCTGTAGACGTTGCTCTCAGAGACAGTATAAGTGCTGTGACATCTTGTTATTCTTTGAAATTTTTGATTATTTTTTCTCTCTTATCCACAGTCATTGAACCAGTAATACGATAAGCGATAATACCGCTGTCTTTAAATTAATTTTCCAATAATCCGATCATTTCAATCCATTAAGTGAAAATAAGTACTTTTTCCTTTTTTTGTTTAATCACTTTGGTCTCTTTAATTACAGCCTCCAATTTTGAACTAAGTCCAAATTACAAACTTTGTAATTCTTCAAATACATTTTCATTCTCTACGACAACATCAATTAAATCTTAGATTGTTAATTTTGTACGACAAGATGGACAATTCTTGAGTTTAACAACAGTCTCTCCAAAGCATCTAATTAATATTATCATAATATTACTCTTTGCAATAGATATGTCCGCATGAAGATAAACTAAAAACACTAATTTAACTTTTAGTGCATATTAGACATTCTGTAATGCTTCCGTTTTTTATGTTTTCAATCAAATTTTATTTGTATTCCTCTGTGATTTTATTTCCATTATGAGTTTTTTCCATAAAAAATTTGTCTATTTTATCCAATACCTTCTCTAAGGGTGTCTGCTATAAATTAATGTCTTTGAGAGCCAATTAAGGATGATTGCATGCAACTCTTAGTTTATTAATAATCTAAAAAATATGAACATAGCTTTGATTTGAAGTGTTCTTCACAAAACTTTTGAACAGATTCTATGAACCGGAAAGCAACTTTTTGTAAAGCATTCTTTCCTTCTAATCCAATTCGACCCAATGGATATTCTCAATTACTTATTGTAAACCTTCAAACTATTATGAATTCTTGGTTCTCCTCAAAATTATAGGTTGAAGGATTTAAGCCAAGATTCTTTGTTGATCATCCTCATTTTCTTCTTTGTTTATGTATGTATTCCACCAAAAGCTAAATAATAAGATTAAAATATTACTATTCCGAAAACGTTTCGACTTGCAAAAATTAGAGTAAACTGAATAAATCATCATGTTTGTTTTACATAGGCGTTCCTGTTAAACACCATCTAAACTGACTTTATAAAGATATGGCACTTCTAGTTTACAGTGTGGATCTAGTTTTAATGTTGTGAGCTTCATCCAAAATTACTCTATAATAATTCAGTTTAAACAAATTATTTTCATTTTTTGCCTTCTCCAATTATTTTTGAGTGAGTTTCTTTTTCTTTTATTAAGGCTTTCCTTCTTCCTTCTATTCCTCTGATATTTTATTAAGGCTTATTGAATATGAAATTGATTAATCAGAAATTGAATCACTCTACATAGAGTTAGAAGAATCTTCTTCTTATGAAATTGAATGTTTATGTTTTTAAGATTATTTTTTTAATGGCTACTTTTTTTGTTATTATTTTTGTTGTTATTATTTTGGTTATTATTACTATTGCTCTTATTATTCTAATTCTAATTCTTATTATGGTTAATCTAATTTTTATTATTATTCTTATTCCATCTCGTTTATTTATGTCCATATCGAATAATCAGACGCTAATATAGCATAAGTTGTCAAAATTATATCATAATCCTTTAATTTAATCTTTTAACTGCGAGATTATTATTTATAATATACCAATACCTAAAGACTTCTAGGCTTTGAATGAGTTTAAATTTCTTTCTCCCATTACAGCAACACCGATTTTGGTACGACTATCAAGGTTTATTACCCTTTTTTATGAGTCTCCAATATCAATGCCAATGCCATAATTGTTTTTCCCAATCCCATTTCATCTGCTAATATTCCACCCTTTGTTTCTTAGACCGGTATAAACTCTTTTGAAATCTTTCCTGTAAAAGTATTTACATAAATGGTATCTCCATTGAGGAGTTTGAGCTATTGCCACAAAGGAGATAACTTTTATTTTTAGTCTTAGGTCTGGTCTATTATATGGCCTTCTCTCAAAAGCATCCAATATAAAGCCTGCTTTTGATGTTATTTCAATTATGATAGCATTTGCTTAGGCGTGTTGTATTCTTGCAATTATATGTTAGCAACGAATATATTATTTAAGTCTTATTGCAAAATGTCTTCATTTTGTTTTTTCTATTGAAGTTTGGTCTCTTCGTAATAAGACTCTTGCTCTTGCTTTAATAAAGTTTCATAATCCCTTTAGTTTTTGTTTTTATCCACCTTTACAACATAATCAACATAGAAGTAATCTAGAATTTGATTTTTAGAATCCTCATAAATCTTTACTTTTTCATCACTCAATAATTCCACTCCACAATCTTCATTCAAATTATTTGAAATGGTTTCCCTCGCCTCAATAAAGTTTTAATGCTAATCTTAGTATAATTCATCATTCAGGTAATTATTTTGAACTGGAATCGTAGATAAAAATATGGTTTTAAGAACATAATCCGAATATGAGGGTTATTATTATTTGACAACTGAACTCATTGATCTTCGAATGAAACTAAGGATTGCTTAATAAAATGCTACTGCCACTCGTTGAAACTAAACATGAAAAAGAGGATGAATCTTCTCCATTTTGGGTTTATAGGGCTAATTATTTGACAGATATTTTGAGCTCCCTTGCTTTGATAAGGCCAGTTTCTTAATCAGTTCAAGAGAAAACAATTTATTATAAAAATGTTTATTGTTGATATAGGCTTTGAAGTAATCCTGGCTGTCAATAATAGGCCTATGATATGACTTCATTAACTAATTTACAGGCTGGGACTTGTATCTCTCATGAAAGTAGCAATATTGGGTGAAGAATATTTTGAATTGCTTGTCGGACTTGACAAGAGCTGGAGTTTCAACTTAAATGTTCATAAAGTCAAACATAAGCAATAAGGAAAGTCTGGCAAATCTTTGATGTTCCATCCTGATTTCCTCTTAATGGAATAGCTATTATTATTGGTATTTTTCATATTTTGGCATGTCATTTTTGATTCCAGTTTTTCTATTATACCTTAAAATTTTTAGTTCATAATTGTCATTTAATGCCTTATCAGTAATGAACACTTAAATTTCTGCTAAGGTTATGGTTTTTTTTTCAGGACCTAAGTCTACAAAATTCACCCTTAATTTAACATAGCCAGCATTGATTAAGAAATACCACAATTCATCGAAAACATGTTCAATGTACCCATATTTATTATACATTTTATAAATTTCCTCCTCTCCCTTTTTTACTTTGCATAACAAAGTTCTGCCCTCTTACAGAGCTCCTCCTCCAATTACAAATAGCCTTTTCTGATAAAACTTTATATCCTTAATCTTTTGTAATGGTATAGATAGAATGTTCAACTTATATTTCTGTTTTGGATTATTTCGTTTTGCAAATCCCTCATCAGTTGAAAATTTACATAAGAACTTCCCGACGTAATTAGGAGAATATTATTACATTTCCTATTGGTTTGATAATTTGTATATCATAAAATAATTAATGAAATTTTAATATTATGTATTACATTTTTTAGACTTATAAATAATTTTTACTATCCTGAATCAGATTCTTAAAGTAACTCAAAACTAATTCTATTGAATATTATATAATTTGATATTAATTAAATATTATTAATTTATTAAAGAATTCATTCTTCGGAGTAATGAACACACAAAAAGCACAACGTATCGATTTTGATAATCCTAGCTCGATTATATTCTAGTAAGGAATCGCTCTTAGCACTCAAGGCTCATTTATCAGCTAAAAATGCCAAATTACCTAAATCTCCCACAATAGAAGATTATATCACATATATTAAAAAATTATCTAATAGACTCAAATAGGGCCCTTTAGATTTTTGGATCCCTAATGTTTATAGGCGAGTAATTCAGGTGATCAGGTTGATGAGCTCTGAAGACGGATTCGTCTAAAATAAGGATAAAGAAAAGAATTTCAAAGCATTAGGACTCACAATTCAGAGAAGTTCAAGTAGATCAAAAACAACAATCGAAACAGGTGCTGAAACAGGTTCAAATGCTATTCAATAGTATGTGATCTTACCTGCAATTGATTAAGTCTTGGAAGAAATGGAATCCCATTCAGATGATATTAATACATTTGTAATCCACAATATTATATTAATAGGCATCAACACATTTTTTTACAAATGAAGTTCTTTTAGTTTACGAATATTCAACTACTGTGTTGAATTTCTTGTTATCAGCAAAGAAGACCAGAAACTTCGAGATTATAGTCTTGGAGAGCGAAACTGAAAACTTAGGGAAGTAGTTTGCCACCGACTTGGGAAAACATCAACTGAATGTCACCTTAACACCCTTTACCAATGCCTATGCCATTATGTAAAGAGTAAATAAAATCCTTTTGGGAGTCGATGCCATCCTTAAAAATGGAGGTCTTTTGATGCATCCAGGAACATATGCAATTTGTGTTTTAGCCAAACAGTTTGCTGTTCCAGTGATTGTATTGTCTGGAGCACACAAATTGACTCCAAAGTATGCCTTTGATCAAACCACTTTCAATGAACTTGTATCACCTTTGAAAATCAATCCAAATTCCACAATTGAACAGATGAGCATTGGAGTATTTTCTTATGTTTATGTTAGATTACATTTGACTATGTTCCTCCTGAATACATAAGCCTGTATATCACTAATTAAGGATAATACACACCCTAGAGTATCTACTAGTTGTTTAGTGATTTTTATAATGTCAAAGATGAAGACATTTGAATTTGTGAATAATATATTATGTAAAAGTAGAATAAGTAAATAACAATATTGGATGTATTATGAAATTCAAAATCCAGAATGATTAGAGTTTTTTTTATAATTAAGTACCGCTCTTGCTGGACAAATCTAAAGGGATTTGTCAACATAATCCAATTTTGTTATTGTTGAAAATTATCCATCAAATGTTGGCACACTTTGCAATTACGTGGTCGTTTTTGAAGGTCTCGTTTTCTTTGCCTTAAAGGGTCTGAATGCTCTTGAAGAGGTGGTGGACCCAAAAAATGGTAATCCTGGATTTATGGGATTCCTTAACATTCTTATTTTTGTAAATACCCAAAACTGCTATGAGCTCCAAAAATGAGGTTTTTTTCTCGAGTAATTGGTGTCCCGCTGAAATTCCTTTTGTACTCACTTGATCCCAAGAATTGGAGATCTTTCATAACTGTTGGATGGTTTTAAGGAATAATATTCACCTTCTCACCTAACAATATATACGCATTTTTTACCCTCAGGCATTTTGGTATGAGTCAATTAATAGGTAGAGCCAGCATGAAAAGGCTATACAAATCTAGGTTGTTCTGGCTTGTAGGAAGTTTATGGTCTCTATTTTGGATCTTTGAAATCCACCTAGGATAACTGTTTTCAATTACTCTTTGAGTCGTCTCAAATTTCATAGCATAATCGTCTTTGTAGGTCGGTAATTGTGATATTGATTTAATTCTGGATGGCTATTTTTCAACGTAGTCCTGTTGATACTATGATTTCAATGGCATTCCCTATTATTCTTTTAATCTTTCTAATCCACACTTGCACCCACCACAAACACAGAGTCCACAAACACATTGATCTATAATATATAAGTACACCAAACCTTTAACATGATCAAAATAGGTAGCATTTTTCTCTAACAATTTACTGATTTGTTATTGATCATTCTACGAAAATTTACCAGACAATAACTTTGATTTAGCAAAATTTGAATACCTCCTTTTATGACATGGAATAAGCAGTCTGAGGTCTAAGTCTATTGCTTATATTAAAGTTCATTTAATATTATTATTAAAAAATTATACTAATTTGGATATGATATGTGACAAAAATAAGATATGCTTTTGCAACACTTAGGGAATAAAACCAATTTCATATCCAAATTTCCCATAAATACTCATTTATTGGCATTTTCGATAGTTTATTTGGACAACCGATGATTGATATATTTGAAACATTTGGGGAGAACTTGAAAATTCAACTAATCTTAAGATATCTCACTATGGCAATCTTTCTAAAATTATGTAACTGAATCATATAGACTATGAATTTCAATTTCTCATTGATTACAAACTACCATAAATATACAAACAACTTGTATAGGTTAAGTCAGAATTATCTTAATCATTTCCTTTTTAAGAATAATTTAGAAATGCAGATATCACTAAATTGGAACTTCAAAATCAGAGCTTCATAAATCTCTTCTCTTGAATAAGCCACCTTTTGCTCTAGGTTTTTAATAATTCTATTTTTAAGATCTTTTATTCCATAATTCAATACTAAAACTTCAAATAAAGTGTTTCTATTATTGCTGAGATATGTATAACTTTATCAAAGGATTTTCCACCCAAAAATTTGAAGAAATCTAAAGTTCCCAATTCTGATTCCAGTTGAGGATGTTTGAAAAACTAGGTTCTTAGATGAATATCAAAAGGCCTAATTGATTTTATTGAGACTTTTCAAAAGAATTTTATTTTTTAATTTATTATGATGTGTTTGGATAGGATTTTGGTTTGCTCCAATTTGAATTGGGAACACATCAGTTATTGATGAATATAAGTTGAAATAGATTCAATATGAAGGAGCTGCTTGATGAATTAGCAATTATTGTTCTTCATTGTTTGTCCTAACGGTAAACTTGTCTCATAAATAATATTTATAATTGTTTTTGAAGTAAAAAAATATGTCAAACAATCAACTAACCTAATATCATAATAACAATAGTGTTCATCTTGTCCAAGGCTGAATATAATAAGTATATATATGAATACAGTCATCTGAATCTTCGTACTCTTCTAATTCCTATTTCTTTAAGACCATCCCATAATATTCTGATCTGGTATTGGTATTGGCACTCTCGAATTTGGATGAAAATTTTGAAGTTTTTTTTTAATTTGGTGTGCAAATATTCTTTTAGGCTTCATCTAGAAGTTAGTTCTAACAATTCTCGCAGTTGCAACCATAGCCACAACTTTTGCCAGAATGGAAGCACTCGCAATATTTTTTCAAACACATTGACTTTTTGCATGTGCACCCCTAGTATTAATGGATGATGGTACATCTTTGAATCTTTTGGATTTAATTTTCTTTAGGTTTTTGTTGAGATCAAGTTCTTTGATGACGTGTAGAACCTTCTTGTTTGAGGTTCTGTTTTGACAATTTTCGCATCTGCCTAGGAAATAGAAATGTGATTAATTTACAGGCAGAGGAACAGAGTCTCCCCTTGGCTAAACACTCGCAATACATTTTCCTGCATTCAGACTTACTGCAATTGCAAGGTTCATCAGAGGAAAGAAGAAGGGAATCATCCCTTTTGGATGGTTCAGGAGAGATTAAAATATTGTCATGAATAGTGTGTTACATCTTAATTAACTAACTCATGTCTAAGGAGGAGTCTTTGTGTTCATCCATTTCTTGGATGGATTGAGATTGTTGATCTAGCAATTGCCTTGCATATGAGAAGAACGAGTTGTTATCTTGCTCTTACATTAATTTAATTAAAATCACTTGTGTCTTCTAAATTAAAAATACCACAAACATTAATATAATTAGATGCTATCCTCTTTGAAGTAAATGCTACTAAAACAGAAAGAAATTCTGGTAGTGATTCCTGCCTTCTGTTCCTATTACCTGGTCACTCAACACCTGATTTCATTCGAACTCTCTGAAGGTTAGTCGATGCATCCGACAGTGAAGGACGGCGAATTGGTGGTGGTGCAGAGAGGATTCTACAGGATTAAATAGGGAGACATCATCATAGCAAAGTCGCCTGTGAGACCCGATTATACGGTTTGCAAGAGAATAATTCATTTGGAGGATGAGTTGGATCCGAATGGGAACAAGGTGCCTAAAAACCATGCGTGGATTGAAGGAGACAATGCGAAGGTGTCTTTCGATTCTAAGTTTCATGGTCCCATTCCAATCAACTTGATTCAGGGGAGGGTGATTTATTGAAATGGAGTTTGGATGTGAGTGAGTATATACTTTATCAGTCAGTATTATTAAATTAATTTACTAATGCAATAAACCTCAGCGTACAAAGGTAAGAGTTGAGTTAGATTCAAGTCGTGCTTGCTGGAGACAGCAAAGTTGGGAAGACAAGTTTCTTTTTGAGAGCCACGAAGAACATTACGCCTTAGCAACCTAAATCTACGATTGGAGTTGAATATGCCTCGAAGCAGATTGTTTATAAGGAGTAGTTGGTGACATTGAAAATCTGGGATACAGGTACGATAATATTGATTTAGCTGGATCAGAAAAATATAAGTCTGTGACATCAAAGTACTATTCCAACTATTTAGTCATTTTCGTTAATCCTAAGGAGCCTTGATATTTTTTGATCTAACCGATCTGTACACTTATGAGAATATATAAAATTGGCTAAAAGGTACGTAGTATTGAAAAATTAACCAAAAGATATACAAAATTATGCTGATGATTCCGTAACTATAATAATAGTAGGCAATAAATTGGATCTTGTGAATGAGGCTTAGAATCTGCGTTGCATTCCTTTAGAAAAGGCACAGCAGATGTGTAAGGATTAAAATTTGTTATACGTGGAAATATCGACTAAGACTGGAGAGGGAATCAACGAATTAATTGAATTACTAGTTAAGAATTTGCAGGCAAGGAAAATTGAGAATGTGCCCGAATAAGAAAGACCAAGATAAAATTGTTGTCACTGAGGTTTCTGAGGTTTCTTGATTATATTTGTATTGCCAAAGTAATTGTCATTTTATTGAACTGCTCACATTATCAGAATATATGTGATATACATTTATAAGTGATGATACTTCTTATATATATATAAAATTAAGTAGCAAAAAGAAATGAAGTCGTTTTTTAATTAATATAATAAATGAGAATAGCAATTTTATTGGTATTGATTGCAATATCAGCTGCAACAGAAACTCATCTCACTGCTATAAAGCAATTAAGAGAAGTAATAAATGTTTAAGTATATTCCAGAAAACAAGAATCACTCCATTTAGCGATTATTTTTACGGCATGCTTGAATTGCATTAATCAAGTAAATTAGGTGAAGTAGTCACCATTGTTCAATCAATGTTAGACAAACTCATCGCTGCCTCTGGGGCTAATGAAGCTGAACATTCCGCTGTAACTCCATATTTCTAATTATTTAGCAACAAGCCAATTTCGAATAACAAATTTCCAAATTCGAAAATACCCTAGAAACAACCGAAAGCGAACTGAGTTCAGTTAATCAACAAATAAATGATTTGACTTCAGATCTATCCTCACTTACTCAATCGTTGAGTTTCCAAGGCCAATAACTCTTATTGTTATCCAATCAAATTACACAATTGAGTGATAACCATTCAGAAGAAGTCAGAGCAGCAGAAGAGAAATTCAACAATAACTCCAGATATTTGGCAGCAGTCTAGGAAGTCTTAAGATTTTTAGGTGATGCTCTTTTGGGAAACACTAGCTTAATCGAGAGAGAAAGAGCTATCGAAGCAGCCAAACAAGCCTTGGGAGACAAACATCCCATTGCTATTATGATTCAAATGACATCCCAATACGATGACAACACCATCAGAAGAGTTATCAGCAAATTAGAAGGAATCGCAACAAATGTCCAAGAAAGATTGGATGCTATCAATACATCCTCCACCAATTCAGAGCAACAATACCTAACCTTACGAAGTCAATTTGAAACCACCTACAGCAATTTGGATAAGGACAAACAATTCAATCAAAGACAAGCAACTGCTAAGGACAACGATCTAGTATATTAATTCATATTATCATAGGCATCAAACAAGAGAAGATAGGAAGAATTACAGGAACTCATCACCACCACCAAGGAGTTGCTTGATTAAACCAGAGTTGCTTCAGACAATGAAAATACAAGCTATACAAGCAAAAGATCACACATTTCAGAAGAAATTAGCATCGTATAGAGTGCTTTGGATTTATTATCACAATTACCAGCTTAATGATATGAATGAGAATAATCAAATAAAATAAAATTTTATTATATTTTATTATGTTTATTGTGTACCCACAACCTCAAGTTTATATTGTCTAACAAACTGTCCCCATTTATCAGAGCTTACCTCTCATCAGAGTAAGACTTACTTTTCAATTAGCCACCTACATCAGTTCAACCTCAAATTAGATCGCAAATCCCAGCTCAAATTGCTAGTCCCGATAAATCAAGAGTCACAGATGATATGATCGAGACTATTAACAAAAAAATTGAAATGATTGATAGCAGAATAAGCCAGATTCAAAAGTCATTACCTCCTAAATAGAATCAAAACGGCAATCATACCAAGAAATAATATACCAACACCTCCCAAGATGAATTTAATAGTCCAGTTACACCAAAAAGAACTGGAAATTTCAAAAGTTATTTCCTGAACAAATATGACAATTCCTAAGAGAGAATTCGAATCAGTAAAAAGATCTTAGAAGAACATGAGAGAAATACCAAAGCCAGCAAAAACACTCAATCGTCTAATAAACGAGATCAGAGTTTCCAATCTCAAACCAATAATAAATAGACTACTTATGACATTAATAAAAAAACAACCATCACCAAAAAGATCATCTATATGGGCGAAGAAGCCTTGTATGAGGGATAAACAGATGAAAGGGGCAGAAAACAAGGAATCGGAACACTCTTTGACAAAGATGGAAAGATTATATACACTGGCCAATGGAAGGATGATGTGTTCTGGGGCAAGGGTAAACTCATGTTCAGAGAATCGAAATCATAGAAATTGCTATTGAAGAACTTTATGAATTTCTCCAATGTTGCCAGAAATAGGGAAACATATAGCGGCAACTTTGTAAACGGAGAAATTGATGGAATAGGTTAAATGCAATTTATAGATTGCTTCGATTCTTATTTTGTATTTTATGGTACTTTTAGGAAAGGAGTATTTCATGGAAAAGGATGCGTTTTATCAAATTAAGGTAAAGAGAGTTTAGAAGGAGAATGGATTAATGGCAGACATACTTGATTAATAATTCATATTTTCATTAGACATATTATATAATTAAGGGTCTCTGTCTATTTTCGTTGCCAAATTTGTTAAATTTTATTTTGAAAATCACCTTAATAAAATTCTAATGTAAACTAGTTTATACAAATATATTTTATATTCGAAAACTCTTTAATTTTATTAAACAATTTAAATGTATTTTAATAAAAATAAGTCTTGATCCAGCAGAACAGAGAACTACCCATTCATGAAGATCCAAAAGAGGAAATAATTCCATATATTAGGTCAACAAAAGTATTGCCTGTTGTAATCAAAACAAGATAATAGGATTTTTAATATATTGGAACCATCAAATTATAAGTTATATCTTTAGAAACGATGAAATTGAAAGTAAAGTTTTATTCAATTGACTTAAAGTAACGGGGTAAAGACATCCTAAAGTTCTTAAAATGTAAAGAAACCTAGAATTGTAGGATACTTATGGGATGGGGTGCTACCTTTATCAGGGCTAATCATATTGTTTAAGTAAATATAGCTAAGAGTATGTTCATCAATTTATATATGAGTGTATTGGGTAGGATCATAGTAATGGGATGATAAGGTTAGAATAATTTTATATAAAATTGGAAAGTAAGCAAAATTTTATTAATTCTATCAGTATCATGAGGGATGCTGTACTTTCGATAAGGAGGTCTAATTATTTTATTAACTATTTAAATCATTAAAATTTAGAAAATTTATAAACAGTAAGAGAAGACTATGAAAAAATTCTAGATAAAATGAAATATTAATTCAATCTCAAAGTACTGGTTAAGATTGATTAAGAAAATAAAGATTAATATTATTAGACTTGCATGAATTTATAGAATTTCAGAAAGATACTAATAAAATATCATAGGTAAATGGACTGGAGTGTTATAGAATAAATAAACTAAAAACTATCGAAAAATGAAAGAAACAAGATAAAATGAATGAGGACATTTTCAACTAGAAAGTTAGAATTTAAGATTTAATACTTTGCACTATTGACTCAATTAAAGGTGCTAATACTTTATCTATGATACTTAATTCGAATATCCTTGGTTTTGGCAATCATTCATATGGTTAATTAGCAAGGAGGAAGCAGAAAGACTAAAATAATGAGTTTAAAAGAGCGTATTATATGGATTAGATCAGGTGCTGTATAGGAGTGAAGAAGCATGAATCATTATTAATAATTACAATTTATATATTTTTAATGAATTCTCTGAATTTTGGTTCAACTATTGAAATACCTTAATTGATAATTACGGAGTTAAACAAATTAAACAAGGAAGTAGTTGTACATTCCATAGTCACGAAGACGAATAGCAGTGCACAAAATTTATATTCCCAATTAAATCCGAATCACAATATTCAATTAAATGGGTTAACTTTTATGAAGACCGAATAGTTTGTGATTTTTGTGGTATCAATTGAGGAATGTCAAAAGCAAATTACAACTATCTTACTATTCTTATATGTGGTTTCCCAATACATGCATTTTGTAGAAAATGAATAAGATTCAATATTGAAATTGTTTGATCAATTGCCCATTTAATCAATACAGAAGTAGGCCCCTAAAGTAAGCAAACAATATTAGAGTTTATTGAAACACTTCAACATGTCTAAAAAGCATTGTAAATTGAGTGGAAAGCCGAAAATGATTGTCCGATTTAAAATGACAGGCATCATACTCCTGAATCTCATGTTGGATTTTTGTGAGTATGTGAATTCAAATAGAAAAATTAATGGCAATTTGTTCGTAGGGGTCTTCAATAGAGAATGCTATAGATAATATGAGGACGTGAGGAATAAGTACTATCAATAAGTGGTGAAAATCCAATCGGATCAAAGGATTTAGGATATGGCCACATTGTTTCACAATTTGGTGGATATTTAACAGGATGTTTTGCTTAAGTTATTGGATAGTTCAGCCTGTTCAGAAATGAAATTGACTTTCGTTGAATTCTTGTCATATTGTAAGGACAATCAGAAGAAAATAATGGAGGACAATAGTACGGAAAGTGAGAAATATTGCAATGCCCTATTGCAGTCATATTTGAATCTATTTATAACTGAATGCCAAAATGTGGAGGAGGTAATTTAATAGAAGGATATCTTTATCAAATAAAAGTGGGCTTCGTTCGAGGAAATCTTGGATGGGTATCTAAAAGATGCCTAGGGACCAAACAAGCATATGATCAACGAATAGATCACTAACATCATATTTTAGGAGTGCGATAAGTGGTTTGAATCACTTAATAGTCATTACATGTTTGAACTAAACAAGTCGAAAGTAATTTAGACATCTTATAATAATAGGCGCAACTTATGCAAACAGTGGAGAACTATTAAGAATTGCAGAATAGATTGGCTGAAGTGGAATCAAAGAAATTTGAATTAGAAGACATGAATTAAGGATTGATGTTTGAATTGGAGAGTCAAAAGAGAGAAACTGAGAAGATCACCAGATTGAAGGAGTTGGCAGAAGAACTATGTTAGAATCAATCCTAAGAATTGAAGCTCAAGTTGAGTAAATCAAAGGACAAAAACAAGAAGTATAAGGAACAATTAGAGAAGATTCAGGAGGATAACAGAAGAATCAGTTATGAGTTGAATGAGAAGAAGAAGGAACAAATCAACATCTTAGTTAAAGTGCAGAACTTAGAGAAGGCATTGGACTAAACCATTTAGAAATAGGAGCAGGATAAGTTTGAGAAGGAACTCATTTCCCTAATCCAATTGTTCAAAGAGAGATTGGAAATAGCTTCAAGGGACAGCATAAGTAGTAATTCACGAGCTTCTACGGATCAGAGTTCATTCAGAGTGTTGGAGAAATTGCAATAAAAATACGACAAGGCTAAGGAGAAGTGCAGGTAATTAGAAGATGAATTGTAAAAAACCAAGCATCTAAATGAGACTCTGTAGAAGAAGAATTAGGATAATGAATTCCAGATTGAACAAATGAAAAATGAGTTATCGACTAGATTGAGCAAGGAGGAGGGAGACAAGTTGGTCAAGGAGTAAAAGCAGAGAGACGACGATTTGTATTCGGTTCTGAAGAGTCACAAAGCAACTATAGAGAAAATGAATGAATAACATTCCCAATTACAACAATAGTTTTACGAGAAGTCAATACAATTCTCCAATCTGGAATTTTAAAGGGGCAACACTCTAACCATTTTGAGAGTATGAGATTTATTATATTCTCTTAGGAAGCATTGAAGTTTTAAATGAAAATCAAGAATAATACTTTGGTTTCAATATTGAAATCTATGCCTCCAGAACAATCGTAGGAAATTAAGGAAATATTGCATTCTGTTGGTTTGAAATTATGATTTGATCATTATAAATGAAATCACAATGTTTGAGTAATTTCTTCAAGAGGTCTACTGTAATTCTTAGATTTTGATATTTTCTTATTAAGTATTTTTAAAGGTTGATGACCCATCAACAAAAATTGATAAATTAAAATGAAGACTTAATTTGATAAAAGCAGAATTGTCAATGTCTACTCTCCAAACCTCCCTCCATTTAAATTGACTCTCACTTTTAAAACTACTTTTAATGATGTTCGCAACCAAATTATATAAGGCTGGAGTGTCATTCCTAAGCGAGTCAGAATCTTTAATTAAAATGGTCATGAATTGATAGAGCAAGATTTACAATTTGTTCTAGATGGAAATAAATTATATATCACTCTCTTCGGTTAGGACTTGGATGCAAGCATCATATTCTAGGAGTACGAGATTGTTTCAGAAATTGGTAAGGGAGGCCAAGGAACTGTCTTATTGGCGAGACATAAGTTCATTGGATCCTTTGTGGCTGTAAAAATAACGAGGGATATCGAAGAAGAGGACTCAATTATAAAAAGGGAATCCAAAATCTTGAAAGAATTACAACATCGTAATATTGTTAAGGTCTTTCAAACTCTCTATTTTTCCAAGACCAAGGAGTGCATTATCATTATGGAATACTTGGATGGTGGATCCTTGCTACAACTAATTCGAAGTATGTGTCCTCTTTATGTTATTAGACAAAGGAACAGTATCTGAATAGGAAGCCAAGATCTACATCAAGTAGATTGTAGAGGCCTTGCTCTTCTGTCATTCTAAGACATTTGTTCACAGGGATTTAAAATTAGAAAATATCATGTTAGTTAATTAAGGCAATACTTGGGTATTAATCATTTTTAATTAAGGTCAAATTAATAGATTTTGGATTGGCAGGAGTGGCTGGTACTTAGAGGGAAACTGAAACTATGAATGTCGGAACTCTGCCATACATGCCTCCTGAAGTCCTTAATGGGAAACTCAAGTTTGTTAGTCCTTGTGTAGATGTATGGGGAATAGGTGTCATTATGTATAGTCTGCTATATGGTAAATTACCTTTTAAAGGAAGAACGAATGAAGAAAAAGTCAGCAACATTCTTCTATGCAATTTCTAACATGAACTAAGTGTCTCAGAGGAAGCTAAGGATCTTATTAATCGAATATTTGTACCCAAAAATAATCAAAGAATATCAATCCAAGAGATATTAGCTCATAAATGGATAGGAGGAAATGGATTCACACAATTTCGAAGATTGCTTAAAAAATAGGAAAACCCATATATCAAAAATAGCAAAAGGAAAAATGATTTCGAAATCAGAAAAAAAAGTGTCTATGATGAATAAAAAGTTAGAATTTCTCTTCCTCTTATCCGTTATCGAGCAAACTCTTAAGAAACTATCATTGATATTTCTAAGTGATGTTAATTATTTGTATTTTTTCAAAAGCAATTAAGTAAAATAGTAATAAAGGCTTCTTTTAAAATTAAATGTATCTTATATGATTATATAATTTATTGATTTTAATGACCATTTAGTTCAATAGTTTAAAATTTATATAATTAATAAACTTTACACTATGCATAATAAGAATGATCTTATTTAATATAGTAATTATAGAAGATGTATATGATGGAATGTAAACACGAAAGTTATCTGAAGTAAATGTAATTTCAGAAAGGATGTGTAAATTCATAGTAGTCAGAAATTTGGATTAGAAAGAAGAAGGTGGGTTTTCTCAAATTAAAAACAAGGTGGCAATTTAGTTAACCTTACTTGTTTTTAGAATTTTCTTAAATTTTAAGTTTGAATAAGAAAACTTTTATTTCTCAGGATATGAAATTAATTCCATTGTTAGCAGATATATCAATTCAATTTCTTGTAATTTTAGCATAATGAATTAGACAATAAAATTGTAATTATTTTCTTTAAAAGAATTTAAATAGATCAAATATCGATCCCTATTACTGTTCCATTTCTTATTTTAGTTTCTACAATTTTATTTGTTTAAGATAAAATCAATTTAATTATTTATGAATGAGAGACTATTCCAATTTTGGAATTTGTCTAATTGTTTTTGAATTTCTCTAAAAATACCTTTACTCTTTTCTCTGCATGTTTTGTTTTTTCCAAAGTTATATTTTAACCTTTTTTGACAAATTTATTAACTAAAAATTGTTCTTAATCTTCTTTGCATGGTTTTAAACCTTAAATTTTTTCTTACTTTCCAATTAAAACAAATTACCAAAATTCTTTTTCAAATGGTAATTCACTTATGTCGAATTTGATAGGACTATTATTCTAATTAAATGATTCAGATTATACGTCTTATAGGATATTGGTCAGATTCCCCCATTTATATATCGAATATTAACTGCTGATTTTCTCGCTTATATGAGGACACAAGATGAACTTTATTTAATCCTTTTGAGGGTGATCTTAGAACAATAACTAGGCTGTTTGAATGGTTCTGAATTGAAATAAGATTAGATGAATACCTTAATAGAGGTGAAATATAAACCCTATCAAATTCAATCTGATTGATTTCTGGTCTCATCTTCTCGCACTATTTTTTGCCTAAGTAATGAAGTGGAGGATCCATCAATTCGTAACTATAAATATTCCTATCCCTAAATTCTGTGGCTCTCTTAAAGTAATTATGCCAAGCCAAAGCATGTCTGACTAAATTGATTTTTCAAAATTGTACCAATGATGTATTTGCTATTCTTAATGTTATGAGGTGTGCAATCCAATTGTATTTGCAGTTTATCCCATTCATGATCCTCATCATTCATATGGTGCAATTTATCCTCGAAGTCCTTTGCCTCTTATAATTTCTAGCCTAATAGTATGTAGCTTTCCCTCTACTCTACTGGACATCTCAATAAGGATCAACATTTACATCTGAGACAAACTGTTGGTATCAAACACAATTTTTTATTACATTAAATTTTGATATTTCAATAAAAAGATTAGAATTATGGGAAATGGAATGTTATTATACTTCTTAAATTAGAGTGAAATAAAAGTTAATTTTTATTTGTTTAATCTAACCAGTTTTATATTGATTATTAATATTAATATAAAATGTCTTTGAATGCATAGTTTCCTAAGCAAGTGCCATTTCTTCCTGGACACGTATTTTCAGACCCTTACAAAGAGAGTCATCACAAAACCTAATAATTTTCGAATATCAATGGAACTGTGCAAGAAAAAACAAACTTCATTCATGAAGAGTTTGATCCAAATTTATTGGACTCAATGAAAATGGGAACACCTCCGAATCTCACTTACGGCAGTAGATAACCACCTGAAAATGACTATATCCCACGAATTCAACCACCTTGGTTGAAATATGATCGAGCTGTTTTACGATTTTATTCATACTTCCAAGAATCAGTAGTTGAAAATCCCAACGAAAACTATAGAATTAGACAAGTCATCATCTATTATTACCTTTCTGATGGAACAATCCATGTTACCGAAGTAATAAATTAAATAACTGTAGCCTCGAGTATAAAATTCAGGCATCCCTCAAGGACTCTTCATCAAGAGATAGAAGATACCAAAGAAACTAGGGAAATAAGACTTTTATACATGGGACGATCTCCAATTATGCTCGAACATCAATTTCTATGATAGAGTATGATTTCAACTTCAATTAGGTGTATCGAATTTGTGACTGTGACACATACACTCGAGAGTTCTATGAGTATATGGGCAAGCCCTTGTCTTTGCCTGAGCAATTGCCAAGAGATAATTTTAAAGCCCAAAAGGAAACAAAAGACTTGAAAATCAATCCCCCAGACACCAAAGAGTATAAAGAGTACTTCGAAGTTAAATTGGGAGGAGGACATCCCAATGGAGGATTGAATAAATACCTCAGCAATGACAGAAAGGTGTTGTCTTTTGATATTATTTGGGATGATGCTTCCATTGAAGGCTAATTAAATTATTACACACTCAATTATTACTTGGCAGATGACACATGTGAAGTTAAGGAAGTTAGAAAGCAGAATTCAGGAAAAGACCCATATCCCCTTATGTTGAGAAGGTAAAAGATCCCAAAATAACCAATCCTAACTCATTATCCAGGAATGACACTCAAAAAGGAGGAATTTTATAGTCCCCAAGATCTTATTTGTGGAAACTAAGTCAGGATCTATGGAAGAGATTGCTTTATCTATGGCTGTGATGATTTCACTAAAGAATATTACCTAACAGTCTTGGGAATCTAATAAAAGTAATATTCTCAAATATTATAAATAGACCAGCCACCTTGAAACAAGAAAGAGGCAAGAAGTTCTATCAGCCAGTGCCTCCTTATAATGGATATGGATATGAGGAGGATTCTTTGGGTTCAGTTTATTCCTTGTAGCCCAAACCTCCTAAGAAGGATGTGAGGAAGAATTTTACCTAGGATTAATTTATTTTAAGATTTGAATCAAGATTAATTAGTGAAGTGAGAGAAGAGAATTCCAGAAGATTTATCATTTCCTTCTATTGTGGAGATGATACTGTATAGGTATATCAAACTTCAGAAAGAAATAGTGGAATTTGGGTATTTTGATTATGTGATATAATTCAAGGGAGGCAAGTTCTAAGAACGATCTAGGTAGAAAAACCCATTGACTAATGATTATTACACTGAGAAAGTACTATTTTATTGAGATTAATAAAGGATTTCCAATTGGGAGCTATTGTGCAATTCAATGTTTATAAGTTTTAATTGATGAGGGCTGATGAGTTTACTGTAAATTACATGAAACAGAAGTCTGATGTCTTCAAAGAGGCAGATATTAAACAAATAATTGCCAAGTTGAGGTTGTTTGCAGACAATTATCCTAATTTTGACTCTTTCCTATTGGATCTAATGAAGTAATTGGTGTTTCGATTAATATTCTCTTAGGAAATTAGATAAGCAATTGAAGGGTCAGATTGAGTTTGAGGAACTTGCTGCTGGTTTGCAAGAGCTAGGGTTCAATTTAACATTACAAGAGCAATATTATTTGATGAGGGAATTCGATGTCAGTGGAGAATGGAAATTGAACATGCAGGCATTTTGGGAAGGAATCGGAGGCAAAAGATCTTGAAAATAAATTTATTAGAAAATAATATAACATTAACTTATGCAAATTAAAAAAAGACATTCAGTAAACCCTGAATTATAAGTCAAAAATCTAAATGGCTAGTACAAATCAGTTTGCAAATCATAGCATATGATAGTTACGAAGGATATATTGCCATCTCCTATTAAATTGATCAGAAAGTAAGGGAGACATACCCAAAGTTTTATCAACACTCATTAGTCTCTGCATATTTGTAATAATCCTACTTATTAACTTATTCAATAATGTATTGCTGCTGCAGAAATGATTAAGGAGAAACATAAAACCAAGACTACTCATAAATTTTTTCATATTCGATCCTGTTCTGTTCCTTGTCCTAAGATACAGGCTATCAACCAATTATTTGACTCCTTATTGGATGATGCTGATTCCTAAAACATTAAGGAATAAAAGAATTTAGAGTAAATTAAAATGCTTATATTAAGAGTAGAAATTTAAACTGTTATGAATTAATTAATTGAAGAAAAAAAATAGAAGTAAAAAGCGATATCCCAAGGAGAAAGCCTATTTAAATAGCAAGATCTCTCAATATAATATCTAGTAATCATTTAAATATATTGTATAGAAATCTAGAATTTAATAATATAAATAATTAGTTTGAATGACAAAAGCTTAATACATATAGTTTTATTAACTTATTTAGTCGTTAGACTTGATCTCCCATCTAAAAATTAACTAATTCATCCTAAATCATATAGTTTTTATTAAAAAATAATTATAAAAATTCAAAGTGATATTTACGTATTAGTAAAATATCAAGAATATTTAATTTATTAATGATCAAAAGATTATCAAAGCAGATATTGAAAATGCCTTAATTGTATTTGACAACAAGAATGATTGCTCCATTTTCTTAGCATAATCACAATCATTCTCACGATCATGATCATAATCATAATCATGATCATTCTCATCCAGATTTCTAACCATAACAAAAGGCCTAACCATAATTCACACAAGAATAGATTCAATAGAAACATAAGGAAATCGATAATGTAAATTCATATATATATCATTGAAAGATCATAAAGTCTAATCAAGTGGTGTTATTTATGAAGGGAACACCTGCTCAACCAATGTGTGGATATTCAAATTATGCTGTTTAGGTTCTGTAATTTTACAAAGTCTAAAATTATCACTCCGTTGATATTCTTTCAGATCCTTTGATGAGAGAAGAAATCAAGAAATATTCAAACTGGCCCACCTTCCCACAATTAGTATTACTTTATTATTATTATAAAAGTATGTCAAACAAGAGTTAATTGGTGGATGTGATATCATGATGGAAATGCACAAGGAGGGTACATTAAAAGAATTATTCAATAAAATATGATTATTAATAATATATATAATATATATTGAATGTTAAAAATAGAGGAATAAAACTATTCAAGACAACTAATAAAACAAGACAAAGAACTCTCATAATTTATAAAGTACCTCGAGATGCAAAATGATGTAGCTGAAAAAAACAAAGAGAAAGAATTTAGAATGAAACAGAAAGAATCACTCATACTTGGATAAAGGTAGGAAAAGAAACAAGAGCGTGACTTCCAAGCTAGATTAAAGTAATTAGAATTGTCGACAATCAGAGAAAAATATGATGAATCATAAATGATGAAGAATCAAGTAAATGATTAATTATTATTCAGAGTCTTGAACAAAAATTGAAGAATTAAGAATCCATACATAATTAAATATTACAAGCGGCTAAACTTAATAGAGAAGATAAAGCTAACATAAGAAATCTGCACTTAAGAGACTCTGTAGATCAAGCAATTGCAAAGGCCAATTAAATTCAGTAAGACAAGGTAGATCACTTTAACTATTAATAAATACGTAAAGACTAATATTTATCGTAAATAAAAAGTGAAAAGAATTTAAAACAATTAGAAAAATCAATGAATTTTTAGATTAAGCAAGAGCTAAATGATTCCAATTATAAAAAAGCCTAAGATCTATTAAATGAAAGAATTTATAAGACTTTGAATAAATTGGACTAAAAGGATTCCTTGTCATAACAAATCCAAATAGAAAATTAAAGAAAATTAAATAATAAATTATTTTCTCAAAAAGCTTCTTTAGAAAATGGATTAACTAATGCTGATTATGCAAAGGGAAGATTTGAATAAAATTTGAATATGAAGAAATCGATGACAGAATATAAAATGAACAAATTAGATTAAATGATGTAAAATAGTTAATCATTAATGTTTATTAGGAGGGAGAAGCAGTTGCTGTAGTAGTAAGAAAGAGAAACAAGAGTTATGGTGGAAAAAAAGAAGTATTAATTGAAAGAAGAATTTGAGAGAAAAATGAACTTGCTTTAAAAATAAAAGTATTGAGAACTTTTTGGAATTTACTATATATGCTATATTATTAAATCGAATTTTCAATGATATTTTGCACCAAATTTGAACTTTTTGTAATCTTGGATATAGTTTTCAGTCCATTAGCTTAAGAAATCGTATGGTTTTTTCTAAGGAAGCTCCTATTATTACACATTGCTTTAGAGGGAAGGCTATTCAACTTCTGCAATTTCACATTCAGTTGATATTGTAGATGAAAGTGGATTTAATGGATTTAAAGTTATTGTATAAATTGCAGTTACTTTTTTTAATTTTCTAATTCTTCTTTCTTTTTTCCCAATCCTACCTTCCTTGATGTATGTATTAATAATTGATTTGCAAGTTGAGGGTAAAACTTTGAATTCCCTTGCAACCTATGATAATTAAAAAGATTTACTTCAAGTATTAATCTCTTATTTACTAGTACTTCATGTATGATTTATCTTCTATCCTATTTTGAAATTTTGCAATATTATTTATGTTGCTCCATTTAAAATTTAATATTAATATTAATAATTATTATAAATTAGAATGGCAATAGTTTCTTTACTCATTAGTTGCAACAATCAAACTTAGAATTATTTCTGCATATCCTAATTCTCTGATATGAATAATGAATTAACTCTTTTCCTAAGCATATTGTAATTCTTAATAAATTCTTCATTTCATTATTTAATTAATATATTGACTCTATAATAATTTCTTTTTTATTTATTTTTTTTCTTATTTCTAAATTGTATTTTAATCAATTGAAATGGAACTAACTCTTTTAATTATTTAAAAGACACTTTGATTTTGAAGAATTTTACATCAGTAAACACAGGTTTGATAGGTCTTAAACATTCAAATTTTAAGAAATATTACACCTAATATGTATTAGCATTAAAAAGAGGGAAGAAGTAACCAATTCTTATAAATACTTTTATTTATTATTTCAATTGAATTAATCCAAGTAATTCCTTGTCAGAAATTTTTTAATACAATTTAATCAAAACTTGGTCTCGCAATATTTTTTAATAAATACTTAATCCAATGTAAGAGAGGAACTGCCCTTGTTGTTGTTGTACATAGAATGAGAATGAATTTGTGACAAGCAAAGATTGCCAATGCATTTATTGTTATTCATGTTTGGTTGAATAAATAAAAGTAAAAAGAGAAGAAAAATGTTTGGCATGTCAGCAAGATCTAGATTTTCTTAAAATATTCCATGACACTAAATATGAACCTTAAATATAGGAAATTTTATGCATCAAATACTTATAGAACTCATTGGACGTTTTACCATGTCCAAAGGCTGATTGCAAATATTATGGTATAATTCCAGATGATTGCGATGGTAATTACGAATGTGAAAAGTGTCACACAATTTGGCGTGAACAAAATATTACATTTTTTAATAAGCAGAAGCTGTTTACTAGAGTTATGCAATTTTTTTTGACGAAACAGTGTCCCTAATGTAATGTCCTAATCTAAAAGAATGGAGGGTGTCCACAAATGAAATGTCAACATTGCAGATTTTAATTTTGTTGGGATTGTAATTAAGATACCGTAAAACATATACAATTCAACTGCATGTTAATAAAATCATTTCACATAATGATATTTCTCAGTTGGGGACTCTAATTACTATATACAATGGGATTTTTCGATATTTTCACTTAAATATTTGGCTTCATAGTGCACTATTTGCTTATTTGTATTACATGTCCTTTGCTTATAATTCTACCAGTCTACTCAATCTATTTAGCATTTTATAAAAAGAAATTTAAGGAATTCGCAATGGTATTTGTAGCAATACTACCTACTTTGCATTTTAAAGATTTCTTGGAACTGGACTGGGACACAATATTGAGTGTGAGTGTTTTTGAGATTGCAGTGATGGTGTTGGTAATAATAAAGAAATACAATAAATGATTATATTTTGTATTATAAATAATTATACTATAATTATAATAATGGATAATTGGAGGTAAAATAATTAAAGGCGCTTTGTTCTTGATAATGGCTCATATTAAATTAGATATGGAAATGATGTTTAGAAACACAAGCAATTGAATCTAATAGCTCATCTAAAAAAGACTGGGTAAATGATCTATGAATTTGATTCATTATTTGATGAATCTCAAGTGATGACATATTACAAGCCTCACGTAAGAGGAGTCCTCGTAGATTTTGATAAATAAATCAATATATGGTATTAAACTGCTCAATCGATTATAGGGATAAATTTCTGAATCCAAAGCTTCTTAAGGATTGCTCAATCACTTATCCATTTTAACCTTTTACTCCCGATTAAGTAGTTAACAAACTTTTCGATGTGATGTTCGAGTATTATAATGTTGATGCATTTTGCCCGATAAACACTTAGAAAATGCTCTATTATAACGTTTTGGCCAGAGAAGGAGTATCCAGAAAACAATTCACATATATAATTGACTCAAGTCACAGTGCTACTTATCTGGTACCGATATTTGATGGTGAAATCATGTATAGTGGTTTGAGAAGAATCGACATTGGTGGGAGATTGCTAACAAACTAATTGAAGGATAACATCTCCTTCAAATAGTTTGATTTAAAAAACTATTTCCTATTAAGCAGTAAAATCAAAGAACTTTTATGTTTTGTTTCCATGAATTACTTTCAAGATATGAAAAAGCCAAAAAATCATTTTCGTAAATACTATATTTTGCCTGATTTTGAGATTAGAAGGGAAGGATATGCAGTCGATCTATTGAATGTTGGATTTCTAGATGAGAAATTAACTCTTGACAAAGAAAGGATCACTATACCTGAGATTTTATTTAGACCAACTGAAATCGGTTTGGCTTAAAAAGGGCCTACTGAAACATTCTTTGATAGTTTGTCAACCATACACAAAGATATACAAGGATATTTTGCAGAGAATATTTATATAAGTGGAGGAAACAGCTTTTTTAGTTCTTTTCATAATAGACTATCTAATGAAATAAGGCAGAATTGTTCAGTTGATTGGAATGTTAATTTGACACATCTTGATGATATTGACTCTGTGTTTTAAGGATCGTTGCATTTCAATAGAAGTACTGAATTTTAGAATGCTTGCTTTACTAAGGCTGAATATTAAGAGAAGGGTTTTGAAAATATCAAATAATATATAATATGAAATGATTTTGTATATATATCTATGATTTTTACAATTATAATAAAGTCAAAATTGAATTTGGATATTCCTTGGTAATCACTTTTCATTTTCATTCTTTGGATTTCCTTATTATTGAGTTATCAATTGCTACTCCTAAGGCTATTATAAATCAGTTTATATGTTTGATAGCTATTAATTGGTTACTGGAACGACTGAATAACCGAATTTATTATGATAAGCTGCAATTAATTATTCCGTTGTTTTTCCTCTGCCATCGATCAAAAAGAAGTGACAATAGATAAAATATAAAAAGTCAATTATAGCAAAGAATAAAAAGGCACCAAATATTTTAAGATTCTTTTCCATAAAAGGAAAACAGAATACAACAATGGCTTAAAATGCCCATCTAAATTCTGTAGCGATAAAGGTTCCATCACTATCATTTAGTTATGGTACAATACTCTAAAAAGATATAAATTGATTATTCATACCCAAGCAGCTGGACCTAAAGTGGATCCAAATGTCATCACCAAAAGTAGTAACAAAATAAAAATAGCAAATTCATTTCCAGCTGTTACCTGTCTAGAAATAATTGAAACAGCTAAATTAAGTGATCCAATTAAAAAAGATCCAATCACTTTATTAATATTAAAATTAAATACTTAAAATGTATTTGTTTCCCAATTTATTGACCATATAGATTGTAAAAAACTGAGAAACGAATCCTGACAATCCTAAACAGAAAGTATATATAGTCTTCTAAACAACATCATCATCAGCCATATCAGAGAATATTTAAGCACTATAATAAAATACTGCAAACACTCCACACCATATTTATACTAACATCTAATTGTTAAATTATTGAATACCGATATTATTCCAGTCTATAAAGTAACAAGTTTCTTTCTTTCAAAAACACTCAAGAATGATTTATTACTTTATTTCTATTAATCAGTGGCCATTTTCTGGTACCTTTCAAATTGTTCATCAACATATTGATCTTTATAAATTGAGCAAATGACCTAAATGATTAGCTGTTTTAATACATATTTTGCCTTTTCCATGTTTCCCCTTTGTATCAATTATTCAGGACTGTCATAATTAAATACAAACTGCATTATACATGAACGTAGAATGCAGATGACTGTTGGGAACAAGAACACCACTCTCCACCAATTAGAAGATGGCCCAGAATAACTATAAAGAATATTTCAGTTAATACTCTATATATCCTATTCCCATCAACTATCCAATTGCATAGCCTGTATTTATTCCATATCCAACGAACATACTAAATTAACCGAAATATTATTGTGGACAGATCGATTTTATATACACTGGCATCAAATAACTGGATATTCCATTGGAAACTCCGAGAAAGAATCTGACAACAACAATTAGATAATAGTCAGCTATAACAGCTAACAGACTAGTTATTCCTATTAGATCAGCTATGTGAAGGCACTATTTGTTTGTAAATTTTTATTTCAACAAGTAACCAACAAATACTCCAACTACATTTCCTAATGGAAGGATTCCAGCAAGTAAACTTAATCTCTCTGTCTTTTCCTCTTCACCTATACCCCTAGATGGATAGATAACATTCTTACAGCACTGCGAAAAGGGTATCAATTGATAATGTTAAGTATGTAACTACATACCCGATATTTAATGATCCTAAAGCAATATTTAAGCTGATCATTAAGGTTTAAGCTTTAGATCGCACCATTTATTCTTGGCTTTATGACATAAATAAGCAAAATGTAAATTGTGAAATAAATTATTAATCTTGAGATATGTTGCTATTCGATTTTTAAATTCAAGAATCTTCTTCTTCCGGTAATTTATATACATTAATATATATTATAAATTAATGAGAATTCTCGATAATAATTACAATTAATGATTAATAATTACAAAGCTAGATGCAATATTTATGTTTAACACTAATCCATTGACATTTGGGCTGAGTAGGCTTTACAGTTCATTCATTTGATTACAAAAGTAATAACATAATCAAATCCACACTCGTCATCAAACATTCTGTAGCAAACCCACTCCTTGGACTCTATAAATAACGATACATAATAACCCAAATAAGCAAGACTGTTCTAGTTCTACAAGTACCGCCATAGCTTGCCCCATAATACTATTACAAAATGAAAGACAAAAAATATATTAAAAACCATCAATCGTTTGTTTTGTCTGTTAGAGTTTTTCTTTTAAATAGTCAAATATGAAATTAACTGTTTCTTCAATGTTAAAACTTCACATGTCTCTAACATTAAATAATATACCTGTTATTCTCGGGTTAATGATATTACCCATAATATTTTATGTAAAGTCAAAAATTCTGATAAATTTTTCTTTAGAGAATGATAATCAAAAAGAATTGATCACTTAACTCTTTTAATCATAGACATCATATAAATGATAAACTAATAGATATAAACTATTGGGGCATTTAATAAAGATAGATCAATTTGTAAATATAATGATATTTGTATGAAATCCTTATAATTTATGATCCCAAAATTTTAAATCTAATGAAAAGGCTGATCAAGAATTCATAATAATCACGCTTCAAATGTTGAAACTACCCATGCAAGAGCTAGATTTATATAACAGCCAATAATTAAATTGAAATTCATTAATGATAAAATAAATTAGTTAAGATTTATATTTCTTTTTTTAGATTTATATATCAAATCTTTAATCTATAATATATAAAATGATTTACTCCTAATCTTAATTTGTTTCATTTTAATCTCCAATTTCTTCTAGACATTAATCTTAAAATTATGACTTAATTCTACCTTTGTAACTCTAAGCAGCTTTGTGATGGGGATCAGCTTCTAAAATAGTATTAAATATCGTCAAAGCTTCCTTTGGTTATTTAATTTTCAGTAAGCAAACGCCTAATTATTATGCAAACTTACCCTTAAAAATTTGGGCATATTAATTTTCAGGTGTAGAATCTAGAATCTTATCTAATAATTTGATTGCACTATTATATTATTCTAAACTCAGTAAACATAAACCTAAATCAGATCAAATATTATACTCCTAAAAAATCCTATGAATAAATCCTAGGTTTATATCTATTCAAGGAATTCCAGTGATAAATTATATTTCTCTTTACCAAATAACAAGAAACCTAACATATTCGTATAAATAAACTTTTTAACAAAAGGGCTTCATAATTTTATGGTGAAGTTTTTACGACCTCTTCAATCATTTTCATAGCATCCTCAAAGTAACCGTCTAGACTTAAGAACAAAGCTAAATTATTTAGAGGGTTTACCATTGGATAAAGTTTTATAAGTACCATCATAGCCTAATGTAGAAATTCGTTTAAAATATGAAAAAAGTTCTTTTTGTATTGGTTCTCCATCTTCCCCATTAAATTATACTTTCCATATTCCTTAGTAAATGTGACAAATCCCTTAAGATATTATTTGTATTAACCTAAATAAAATGCAGCTTCATCATAGTTTTCGTCAATTTATACTGCTAAATCGTATTCAATTATTGCTTTATCAATTCTCATCTGTTATCTTAAACATTCGCCTTGAATATTTTATTTATTTACCAAAATCAAATAAAAGGACTTTATCATTTTTATTGTATTATTTTGCTTTTATGTAAATCTACTCTGCTTCCATATATTTTTGAGTAGCCCTTAAGGAGTTGGCTAAATTATTAATAAGAAATACCCTTTCCCAAAATTGCTTAAATGTTTTCTGGATTAATTTAGAGTGTCTAATCATAAAAATCTATGGCTCTTATAAAATCCCCTTTTTTAAATAATTCATCTCCTGAAAAATGATTAAAATTTAAAACTATACCCATTTAAGGCAACAAATATTCATCAACATTTATTTTATCATATAAGGAGTAATTATTATAAATTCCATCAAGGGTTTTCTAAATGTTACTTGCAAATCCATCAATCGAGGTTTTTAATAATTTCTCGAGTTCATCATATTTGAAAGAGTAATTAATAAGTTACTCTAATTAAAGTGTGCTCATAGTTTTAAGTGCTAACTCTATACTAGATATCTTATTTCTATTTTAGAAAGGAAGATATCTAAAGCGGATTTTATGCTTTCAAATTGTTGTTTAGCACTTGAGATCACACCTTTTACATTTTTTGAAGAAATAAAAATAAATTCTTACAATGTATCTAAGCTTAGTATCTCATTTAGATGATATTAATGGTATTATTCCGATAAACATTTCTGACAACACACTCTATTATCAGAGCAATTTTTATTGTGACAAAAAAATCGCACATACTCTTCTCTGTGATTAGAACAAAACAAATTTTATTTCGAATCAAACGGAGGATTTTATTACATTATTTTTAATTAATTAATCTAGATACGCAGCCAAGAAATTAAATAGGATAAAAATATAATCAATTTTATTTTATTAGTCTCTGGCATAAAATATTCATTATTTTTCTGAATATAATTAGTATTCTTGTAAAATTCCTTTTGATGTCTGAAAAATCAGTGGAGTTATAAGCAGAAGGAATTTTATTAATTTGTTTCTTCTGCTCACTTTCAATTATTAAGATTAAGTACAAGGTTTATTTTAACCTTGGCCTCTTTATCTCATAATTATTGATATTATTGATTCATTATAAGGATGGTGCAATTGCATATTATACTATTTTTTAGAGTTGCATGACATTTATAGTTCAATATCATTTTTTTTGCTAGGATTTAGGTATTATAAAACGCTTATAAATTATATATAATTAGAGATTGTTATGTTGCATTTGGTATTGTAGATGTTACATAAAGAAATCCAGCTTAAGAAGCTAAAAATTTTGTTGATGACATGATTTCTAATAAATTGGAGTCTAATGGAGGAAGAGGAAATGTATAAGTCTCTGAAGAAACTAAGTAATTACTAGAAAAATCATATCCAGATCATCTCTTATCAAATATTTAATATAAATTTATTAATGTCTTATAAGATTTATTTGAATATTATTTTAAGATCTATTTTTTAAGATTATTTTGACTTTCTTTATCACTTATAAAAATTATATATATATAAAAATAATCTTGAAAATATCCAGAAATAATTTATCACAAAAATACTAAAACAATTCTAATTAATAAATATTATAAGTAATTAAAAAAAAAGATTCAAGCTGATACAACGTTAACTTAATCTAAAAATTCTTACCTGAAATAATAAAAGAAAAATCAACAAATTTTTTTTTTTAATTATTTATTGTATTTACTTCTCTTTTAAAGACTAATTGCAAGTTTAAAAATTATATAGAAAGAATTGTCAGTAAATCTCTTTATATTTTACAAATAATAATGATATTATTTTTATATTGTTATTAAAACTCACTTTCTTGTTTTCTCTAAAATTGATATATATTTTTGCTGAATGTTTAACATTTTCATTTTCTCTTATTTTTCTTTTTCTTTTTATGTCACAAAAATGCTGTTATTAAATAGGTAATTAATTGTTGTTATTAATATAAATGGTAAAATAGTGTATTAAAAGATACTAGTATAATCTATGCCTATAAAAAGGCTTTTAAGGACTCTTAACTAAATTTGAAAATATTAAAAATCAACTTTTTAAGGATCCTAATCCCAATGATCATATTTTAGTATGATATTATTAAATTGATTAAGTTCATTAATCTAATCTTATATATTCTGATTAATTAGTTCTTTTGGTATATCTGAAAGTCTGTTCATTTTTATCTTTAATGTTTGAAATATTTCACTCTCTTTATCGTTTAAACTTATTGAATTATCAAAAAGCATTTTAGTAATAAATTCATTTGTTATATTGTTTAAGAGATGTTGATAAAATTTTTATCGATAAGTTAATAACTTTTCTATATGATACTTCAATTCAGGAGTTAGCTTGAGTTCAAAATTCAAAACAATATCTTATTTTTCTTTCAATATTTTTTCCTTCCTTTCTAATAAATTTTTACATTTCCCTAAAACATCTTCCTTAATATTTTGTATTTTTTTTTAGAATAAACCTTCCTAATTCAACTTATCTAACTCCTCTTATTTAAGTTAAATCTACTCCTCTAACACCTAGCGTTCTTTATCATCCTTTTTTTTCTTAAAATATTATGTTTACATCCTTTAAATTTCTGATTCCAGTTACTGCATTTCTTCATGGATTTCATAGCGTTCTGCAGAATAAATTTTGATATAATTTTCTTGATCTATTGCATTTTTAATGATTTTCAAAATATTTAATTACTTTTGATCTGTAATATCTTTCATGGTCTCAGTTTACCATTTTTTAATTATTTATTCCATAGTAGAAGCATTTCTAATTTTAGTGAATACAGGAATGATAAAATTTTCAAGATATTTATCGTCTTGTTAATCTCCTAGCATATTATTAATTAGAGTTATTGAATCGATTAAATCGTTTTTCGTTGTCTAAAGCTGTTCTCCATCAATCATCAACAATAAAATTTGTTAACTTACTCTAGTTATTGAATTAAAGATATTGATATGATTAATACATCTATTAGTATCATCAGTATCGTGTAATCCAGGAGAATCAACAAATATAAAATTACCAATCTCCAAATATTCCATCTAAAAAGTTGAACTACTATTTGAATGAGACAACAGAATTTTATTATTCTTTTATTTTACATCAAACTTCTTATCCTAATTAATAATAATATTCTCTGGATTATTTAAAATGTTGAGTAATGTACTTTTTCCAACTCTTGTCATACCTAATACAAAAACATAAGGTTTATCTAAATTGACATTTTATTGTTGAGGGATTATTCTCTTAACATATGCTAAACTTTATGGAAGATATAAGTCAAACTACTTAAACTATTAATTTATATCCGAAATAATCATTTACAAAGTTTTCTTTATAACATCTTCATTGTATTAATACATTTTTAATTTTTCTATAATTTAAATGTCAGATTCATCAAATTTAAATTGAAATTGAAGTAGTTAATTGAATACTTCATTAGGTGGTTTATCTTTTGAATTTATTTTCAAATAAATTTCAAATTAGCTATTTTCTTAAACAATATTGTTTAAATATTATATCATTTTCTCTCTATTTTTAAATATGAGTTTTTAAAATTCTATTGCCATTTTGTAAAAATCCTTTTCACTTAATATTATGCATATCTCAGAAATAAGAGCCTTCAAACTTTTTAAATATTGTGAAACATTTTAAATAGATTCTATTTCATTATTCAGATTGACTGGGAATTCAATTATTTACAATATGTCTTTATAAAGTTGTAAAAGTTCTTTCTCAAATTCTTTTAATACTATATCAACTTAAGATTATAAATACTGATAGCATATAAATCCTATCTAATTAGGAACATCCTATTTATATTAAACGTAATTCAAAAATTCATCCAATAAAATAATATAAGAAATGTCAAATTTCTACTATTAATTATTTTTATTAAAGTGTATTTTTTTAGATGAAATCTTACAATAGTTCATTTCTTCTTTATTCTATATATTATACACACATATGATATCTGATAACTTATCGAAAGTTCCATCAAGAATTTAATAAATAAAATTTATTATAAGTTCTTCAAATTCCTTATCATTTTAGTTCTTTCTTAGAAAGTGAAACACAAATTTTATCTAAAAGTTTTTTTAAGTTTTTATGAATTCTTACAAAAATATTCTAAATCTAAATAAATTTTAAATGTTGATTTGTTCATCATCTTATATTAAATTATTGAAGTAATAGCAGAAAATAGATTATTATTCTCTTTTTTTATTATTAAATTAAAACTAGAATATTTACCCACCTTGCCATTATCTTTCTTTGCTATTATTAATCGATAAGTTTGACATTAAATCATAGTATTTTTGAGTATTTGTTAGATCGAAATAAAATATAAACTTTTGGATATGATTTTATTAAATGACTGATGGTTTTGGAATCGGTATTTTAATATCGTAGATTTGTTTCAATTCTTAGAAGAATCCCTCGTGTTACTCCATTAGATTGTTTCAATTTTTTAGTTAATTTTATTAATATCATAAGTATTTTTATAATTCTATTACATTTAATAATTTGAATATGAAAAAAATAATTCATTCAAAAGTTATTGGAAACATATAAAATATATTGAATCTATGTAATTTTTTAATTATATATATAGTTTATCTTAAACGATATGACTTTTAAGAATATAAGTTTGTTAAAAATTCTATAAAATAACTAAATTTAACTTAAAAATAATGATCAACAACAACTTGATTAGTTTTAATTTTTATCTATATTTGGAGAGTGTCCTTCAAATGATTAAGTTTCAGAAAATGATTTAATTATATTAATTGGATCACCTGACTTTTTATTTACTCTTGTAGCTTATCTAAATGATTCACTACTAAAATACTTTAGTAGTACTAACTTAGCTGATTATACAAATGCCTAAAGAAGCAATATGGTTTATATATACTTCCTCTACATTTTCCCCAGTTTTTGCAGATGTTTCAAAAAATAAACTAAATTTATTATTATTCATAAAAGACTCACCCTCCTCTATTTAAACTTCTCTTGTTAAATCGCATTTGTTCCCTACTAAAACTTTTATAATCTCAGGATGTGCATGTTATTCTATTTCATTCATCCAAATTGACAATTAATCAAATGATTCTTTTTAGTTGACATTATAATATATAGTATTTTTAAAGACAGATAAAAAGTATTGGCATAAGAATTCATTGATTAGATGGAGGGTATAAACATGGTATTTATGCTTTCTCTACATTTCATTTAGTTCATATCAAAGACTATTACTCTATTGTATTTGCAACATTAATTGTATTTGGTTCTAGTGTTTGTAATTCGATTTAAAGTTTCCATCTTGCTACAATAGCCTATATATATTTTTCAATTATAACAAGCAAAAATGAAAGAATAATATTTTTAATTTGTGATTAGAAGAATAAATGGAAAATGAATTGATGAGAGTTTCTGGGGCTAGGAAGATTAGAAATTTCTACAAAAAAATGGCTTTTTTCAAATCATCATTAGATTTAATCTCTTGATTAATAAGGGATAAATAATTCTAATGTCTATTATTTAATATAATTTGGAAAATTAACATTCACCACTCATATTGATTAAAAGGATGAAGAATTAAAAAAGTTTTGCTTAATATTTCAAAAATCTAAATAGTGAAATATTGATACTAATTTTAATTTTATTAATTGGTTCTTATTACAAAATAATCTTATTTATATCCCGCCTTTTAACCTTAAAATTAAATATTATATATTCTTATTAAAACCATAACTTCCATAATTTGAATTTAACTAAAAAATATGGATTCCAACATAATATTATTATTATCAATCTTATCTGTAATATTAAGGTCAATTTTCTAATATAGGCGGAAATCAAAATTTATCATTTAAGAAAGGTGGTTAAGGAATACGAAAATAAAGTAGAAAGTAATTTTCAATGAAGAAAATCAGAAAGTCTCACATATTCAATGATATTTTTGCCATGTGTGCTTTTTATAATTTACTAATAATTATTATCAAAATAATTAAATCAAATGGGGAATAAATCATCTAAAAGCAAGAAAGACTGTTTCATGACTATGTAAGTTGGAAAAAGATAGCCTGTTTAAGTGATAATAAGATTATTCGATTAATAATGTCCAAAAACTTGTGAAAATTTCAGAAAATTGTGTTAAACTAAATACGGGGGAACAAACTTTCATAGATGTTCTGAAAATTTCATTGCTCAAGGAGGAGATTATGAAAGAGGAGATGGAACAGGAGGTACTAGTATATGGGGAAATTATTTCAAGGATGAAAACTTTAATATTAGACATGATAAAAGAGGAATTGTTTCAATGGCAAATAGAGGGGCTAATACAAATGGATCATAATTCTTCTTTACTTTAACTGCTTGTCCATAACTTGATGGCAAACATGTTGCATTTGGAGAAATAATCTCTGGTTTTGAAATTTTAGATTAGATATCTGAAATATCTACTTATGGAGGAGATCCTAAAGAACTAGTTCAAATACTAACAGCAGGGGTTTGTTGATAAAAATAATAATAAATTAGAATATTATAGATCAGAATCATGATAATTAGTTTTGAATAATTTTTGTATTCTTTTCGAAGCATTCATCCACATTGTTTTTATTTTTTAATATTTCTTTGTATCAACATTGAATCGTGGTTTATAATTTATTTTTTTGACATCAATATTATATTATATAAGCTAATTTTCTAGTTCAAAGACTTAAATTTTACATCTTATAATGAGAGTGAGCATAATCAATAGTGAAAACAATAATTGTTAGATAGACAGAATCATTTTAATTTAGATGATTGATCATGTAACAATTAAAAATAATTTCTAATAAACTGCATCTAAAACATTATGAATTCAATGATATTGACAACCTTATCACTAAGATAAGGTCAATAATTATCTATCATAATCTATGTTTTAATCTTAGAAATTATATTTCATTGATTAATGGAGTTTTGAGTTATTCAATAACTTAGATTGAATATGCCAACTTATTTTATATTTTTATTAAACAATAATAAGTTAAATGCAAGGAAAAGCCAAAAAAGGATAAAGGAAAGCAAAAGCAGGTCATTCATTCCGTTAAGAGCTTAGTGAAAAGTAAAAGAAGGATATCAAAGAAGCTTTTGACTTATTCGATGTGGATGGATCAGGTTGTTACGAAAATTTAATTATTTATAGGTACGATTGATGAAAAAGAATTAAAAGTTGCTTTACGTGCATTAGGCTTTGAACCAGGAAAAGAAGAGATTTAAAACTTAAAATAAAATCTTAATAATAACAACGATTCAAAGGAAAATAAAAATACAATTGATTTCAATGAGTTTCTTCAAATCATGACAGAGAAAATGGTATACATTTATGTTGACTGATAATTAGAATGCAAAAGAATCACAGGAAGAAATAGAAAGGGCTTTTCATTTATTTTCTTAAGGTAATGATAATTTCATCACTTTTGAAAACTTAAAAAAGGTAGCTCTTGAATTAGGAGAGACAATGTCAGATGATGAATTAAAGCTGATGATTTAGGAGGCTAATAGCAAAAACCCAAGGTAAATTATTGAAATACATTTGTTAGTTAAGGGTATGTGACGAAGGATTAATTTTACGATGTTTTATCCAGAGCGACTAATTAATGAATAATAATTAGAAATTCAATAATCTTATATCATCTACGCTATTAAAGATATTCTTGCTGAAAGAATTCCTTTACTTCCTCATTCGGTGGACTGAAATTAGAGAAAGTATCACTGGCTTCGATATCTTCATTTCTCTCATCGTCATTAATTTCCTACACTGGAGAAAACTAACATTTTTTCTAATCCTAAATATATTACTGGATATCAAAGAAGGTGTCCGTTTCAGCGCTATTCTACTATTGTAAGGAATTATTATTAAATTTTTTTACAGTGCCCTATTGTTATTTATTACTTTCCCGATCTCTTTAGGTCTCCCTATATTAGAGCTTATCTTAATCAACCAGCGGTTTGATTTTAGATTCCACATTCTATAGATAGGCAGGCAATTTCTTAGGTGAAGTATTCTATTTCTATTTATCCGTTTAATGATGAATGACTTACCCAGGATATTGCCTATAAGAAAGACCACCACTAGTTTGAGAGGAGTAAACTAATTATTAAGGAGAAGGACCTTTACCAAAGTATCGACCTCTGTCTGAGTTTTTGGAATCTCCATACATCAATTTTTTGCTAGAATATGATGGAAGTAATGATTACATCTATCGATCATCAAATTATGGTTTGATATCGAATTTGTTATGCATATTGTTGATGTATACGATTTAAGGGGGAGGAGGTGATTCAGTAATTTTTGGAGTTAGATTTCTTTAGGATTGAGATCTGGAATGCTTTAATTGATGAGGAGTACGATCACTTAAGTGGACTGGAGACTTTGATTGCGATCTCTGTGTGTTATATGTTTAATGTTTATTTTGGTAATGATGCCGATGAACATAATTATCCTCACACTATTCATATTATTCGTATCGATTTGAATTAATCTAGGTAGGTTGAATGTATTTTTTGAGTGTTCCTTAAGCATTTTTATTTTCTCTTTAAGAAATTTAGATTAGATCATTTAAGTCTCTGATTTGTTTTTGAATTGTTTTTATTTCATTTTTTATATCCCCTGAAGTTTGTTCCTTAATATTTTCTGTGATTTATAATGTAATATTGATACTTGATAGTTGTTTTAATTAATAGTATAATTCTTTTGGGTTTCTAGCTCCTATCTTATTTGCCAAATCTATTCCCATAGTTATCAAGAATTCAACCACCTAATTTTGTTTCTATAGACCAAATTGAGTGAGAAAGCTCTCAATTAAAGAAGAATGTTGTAAATGAAATTGCATTATAAATATATACTTTTAATTTAACAATAAAAATTATTTTCTCACTTGTCTGATAAACTTTAAGTTTTAAATTTTGATATCTTATCAATTTTTGCTACTCTTTTAGAGTGTATATTGAGTTAATTAATAATATAGATTTTCTAATGAATCAAAATTAACAATTAGAATTGAGTAAAGAGAAAGTCCCTTTATTCAAATTCATTCTCATTGGAGATTAATGTATTAAGAATTTTCAACTTAGCTGTTGGAAAAAGCTGTATTGTGTAACGCTATCAAAATGAGGAGTTTAAGCATAACATAAAGGCAACAATAGGGGTGGAATTCATCAAAAAATTGGTTTAGGTTGATAAAGGTTTGGTGGAACTCTAAATATGGGATACAGTATATATTCAAATCTCATTGTTTTCATTAGGCTGGTTAGGAATAATTTCGTAGCGTGATTAGAGGATTTTATCGTGGATCGGCCCGCCGTCTTCATTGTATATAGTGTCAACTAAAAAGAATCATTTGATTAATTGTCAATTTGGATGAATGAAATAGAATAACATGCACATCCTGAGATTATAAAAGTTTTAGTAGGGAACAAATGCGATTTAACAAGAGAAGTTTAAATAGAAGAGGGTGAGTCTTTTATGAATAATAATAAATTTAGTTTATTTTTTGAAACATCTGCAAAAACTGGGGAAAATGTAGAGGAAGTATATATAAACCATATTGCTTCTTTAGGCATTTGTATAATCAGCTAAGTTAGTACTACTAAAGTATTTTAGTAGTGAATCATTTAGATAAGCTACAAGAGTAAATAAAAAGTCAGGTGATCCAATTAATATAATTAAATCATTTTCTGAAACTTAATCATTTGAAGGACACTCTCCAAATATAGATAAAAATTAAAACTAATCAAGTTGTTGTTGATCATTATTTTTAAGTTAAATTTAGTTATTTTTATATAATTTTTAACAAACTTATATTCTTAAAAGTCATATCGTTTAAGATAAACTATATATATAATTAAAAAATTACATAGATTCAATATATTTTATATGTTTCCAAAAACTTCTGAATTAATTATTTTTTTCGTATTCAAGTTTTTAAATGTAATAGAATTACAAAAACTCTAATGATATTAATAAAATTAACTAAAAATTGACAAAATCTAATGGAGTAGCACGAGGGATTCTTCGAGGAATTTAAACAAATCTACGATATTAAAATACCAATTCCAGAACCATCAGTCATTTAATAAAATCATATCCAAAAGTTTATATTTTATTTCGATCTAACAAATACTCAAAAATACTATGATTTAATGTCAAACTTATCGATTATTCATAGGTAAGAAAGAATATGGAATGGTGGATAATTATGTTAATTTTAATTTAATAATAAAAAAAAAGAATAATAATCTATTTTCTGCTATCACTTCAATAAGTTAATATAGGATGATGAACAAATCAATATCTAAAATTTATTTAGATTTAGAATATTTTTCAAGGAATTCATATAAACTTAATAAAACTTTTAGATAAAATTTGTGTTTCACTTTCTACAAAAGAACTAAAATTGTTTGGAATTTTTAGAAAATATAATAAATTGTATTTATTAAATTCTTGAGGGGTCTTTCAAAAAGCTATAAGATATCATATGTGTGTAAAATATATAGAATAAAGAAGAAATGAATTATTGTAAGATTTCATCTAAAAAAATACATATGAAAAAAATTAATTAATAGAATAAATTTGACATTTCATTTATTGAGAAATTGGATGAATTTTTGAATTACGTTTAATTTAATTAGGATGTTCCTAATTAGATAGGATTTATATGCTATCAGTATGTATAATATTAGGTTGATGTAGTATTAATAGAATTTGAGAAGGAACTTTTACAACTTTATAAAGACATATTGCTAATGATTGAATTCCCAATCAATCTGAATAATGAAATAGAAGTTAATTAAAATGTTTCATTATATTTAGAAAGTTTGAAGACTTTTATTGCTGATATATGCATAATCTTAAGTGAAAAGGATTTCTACAAAATGGCAGAATAATTTAAATAGATCATATATAAAAATAGATAGAAAATGATATAATGTTTAAACAATATTGTTTAAGAAAATACCGAATTTGAAATTTATTTGAGAATAAAGTCAAAAGATAAACCACATAATGAAGTATTCAATTAACTACTTCAATTTAAATTTCAATTACATGAATCTGATATTGAAATTTTAGAAAAATTAAAAATGTATTAATACAATGAAGATGTTATAAAGAAAACTTTGTACATGATTATTTTGGATATAAATTAATAGTTTAAGTAGTTTGACTTATATCTTCCATAAAGTTTAGCATATGTTAAGAGAATAATCCCTCAACAATAAAATGCCAATTTAGATAAACCTTATGTTTTTGTGTTAGGTATGACAAAAGTGGGGAAAAGTACATTACTCAACATATTAAATAATCCAGAGAATATTATTATTACTTAGGATAAGAAGTTCGATGTAAAATAAAAGAATAATAAAATTCTGTTGTCTCATAAAAATAGTAGTTCAACATTTTAGACAGAAAATTTGGAGATTGGTAATTTTTTATTTGTTGATACTCCTGGGATACGTGATACTTATGATATTAATCGAGGTATTAATCATTTCAATATCTTTAATTCAATAACTAGAGTAAGTTAACAAATTTTATTGTTGATGATTGATGGAGAACAGCTTTAGACAACGAAAAACGATTTAATCGATTCAATAACTCTAATTAATAATATGCTAGGAGATTAAAATGACGATAAATATCTTGAAAATTTTATCATTCCTGTATTCACTAAAATTAGAAATGCTTCTACTATGGAATAAATAATTAGAAAATGGTAAACAGAGACCATGAAAGATATTACAGATCAAAAGTAATTAAACATTTTGAAAATCATTAAAAATGCAATAGATCAAGAAAATTATATCAAAATTTATTCGGCAGAACGCTATGAAATCCATGAAAAAGTGTAGTAGCTGAAATTAGAAATTAAATCATTAAAAGATTAAATCTGTGAATTTGATATAGAAAGAGTGGATGAATTCATGGCATTATAGGCATGTTTAAAAACAAAAATTTAGGAATAAAAATTAGTAGATTGTGAGGGATTATTCTAACAAAAAATAAAATAAATTAAAGAGGATGTTTTAAGGAAATGTGAAAATATATTAAAAATGAAGGAAAAAACATAGCTAGAAAATTCAGATATTAATTAATCTTTGAATTTTGAACTCTAATTAACTCCTGAATTGAAGCATCATATAGAAAAGTTATTACCTCATCGAAATAATTTTTATTAACATCTTTCAAATCTTATAACAAATAATTTTATTGCTAAGATGCTTTTTGATGGTTCCATAAGTATAAACGAAAAATTTCTCATTTTATACAAGATAAAAAATAAAAAAATGAACACATTTTCTGATATATCATAATACCTAATTAATCAATAGATATAAGATTAGATTAATGAACTTAATCATGTTAATAACATTATATCTAAATTTGACGATTAAAATTAGGATCCTTAAAAGGTTAACTTTGAAAATTTTTAATTTCAATTAAAAATCCTTCTTAACCTTTTTAGAGAATAAACTTCTACTCTTATTAACGGAATAGCCTTATGTAATGAAAAATTTGACTTACCTTTTACATTTCAAAAAAAATTAAATATGTTATATAATGCTATTATAATATCTAAAGTGTGTGAAAAAATTTTTATTAATAGCGTTTTAGTGACATAAAAAGAAATTTAAAAATAAGCGACAATTAATTTATTAAAGGTTCAGCAAAACTATATATCATTTTTAGAGAAAACAAGAAAGTGAGTTTTAATAACAATATAAAAATAATACAATTATTATTTATAAAATATAAAGAGATTTAATGACAATTCTTTCTATATAATTTTTAAACTTGCAATTAGTCTTTAAAAAGAGAATTAAATACAATAAATAATTTAAAAAAAATTTGTTGATTTTTCTTTTATTAGATAAGAATTGCTTTAATATATGAGTAGGTAATAGATACTTTACTAGATTTTAAGTTTATAGTTTTTTTAATTCTAAAGATCTTCTATTATTGAATGTACCTAATCCTAAAAAAATAAATGATATTGAACTATAAATGTCATGCAACTTTAAAAGATAGTATAATATGCGATTGTCACTGTACATGAGTAAATAATATATAGAAAGTGATTGAGAAGAAAAATAGATTAAATGTTTATTATTATAATTATTGTAAAGCAACTAAAATTGAATTTAAATATCTAAGGATCTGAAAATTGAAATCAATAAATGTCAATAGTAAGAATAGTCTATATATATTCAGAATACCTGGTGATGTAATGAGCATATCAAAACCAGAAAATATCTAATCTCATCAAAACCAAAACTAAGATAAATTGTAATATGTTCGAAATATTATAGTACCTACATCTTATTTAAATTAGAATTTTACCCTAGTCAACAAGAAGGAGACATAATCTCTTTTACGGAAGTAATAAAATGCTTTTGTCTCTGATTTTATACTTAATTTCAATTGTTTGATGATCCATAAACTAATAAAATTAGTTAATATATCAAAATTTTAAACATCCAATTATTATAATTATATATTTTCTTATGTTATATCTAAATTAAATGTAGATAATATTGTATTGATATAAATTCTTGAAAGTTGTCATCGTTTAGAGTATATTTGATTACATTTCTTTAATTAATTTGTCTCTTGTCATTTAAAGTGTGCAATTTAAGTTTGAAAATACCAATAAAATATTATGAAATCTCTTTCACTTTTAATTTTTGAATATTTGAAAAGCAAATACTAAAATGTGACAACCAAGCAGATTAAGTACAAATACCATGTAAATAAGAGTACATATCACAGTTAGAAATGGAACAAGGGGAATGCGTGAACATGCTAAATAAAAGTGACAACAAAGTTAAAAGTACTTTGATCAATTTTACAATCCTGAGCTTGTTTCTCAAGTAATTTGAGAGAATTGGCGTTGTTATTTATTTCATAGTCATGATACTTCATTACGCAGTTTTTGGGGCAACCGAAGAAGATGTTGTTGTTTACGTGCTTCCGCTAACAATGCATTTCGTCCTATAGATATCAAAAGCACTCTACTTTGACCATATAAAGAGGACACAAGATGATGTAGTTAATAATAGAAGAGTCACGCGCTTTCGTAAACTAAGAAAAGATAAACCGAAATACCTAGTAACATAATAATAACAGCAGTAATCTTCATTTAAAAAACCTAAAATATCATTATATGAGAATTGTTTTTGGGGATGCGTCGAACAAGGTGATATAATATATCTAAAACGCAACGAAGTGTGTCCAGCAGATATGCTTTTGCTTGATGTTTCAGACGAAATTCTATAAGTACAAACCCAAAACTTCTAGGGACTAACTTTAGATTAAACCAGATAACCAACGTAATTAACTATGTTAAAAAATGGGAGAAACAGAATTCAGGGCTTCGATTACAAAAAGTTGCTCACAGGATCAATTTAATATAATATTACTGAATCATAGATAAATGGATTTATAAAATTAAAAAAGGATCCTAAGGGGGAATATTTTGATAACAAAAACATTATTTTCAGAGAGGAACAAATCAGAACCTGTTAATATGTAATTGGAATAGTCTTGTAAACAGGGAATAACTGTTTTTGTTATTTGAACATGAAGAAATCTGAGAAGAAATCATTTTTTGTTTAAAAGTCTAGTATGTTCTTTGCCCTGACTCTGGGCATTTCATTAATAGTTTCTCTGATCAGTTGGTTTTTGGCATCGTTTGCTGCTTGTTTACCTTATAATTAAGCGGATTTTAATACTCCAACTCTAATATTCTATCTATTGCAGTATTTAAAAACAACACCAATCTATTTCTATAACTGTATAGATTTGATTGAAGTTATTAATGCTCACATAAAATATACAAATTACACAGGGTACAAGAGTACTAATATAGATTATTTATAACTAAATCCTGTGTCTGTAGGAGACATGGTAATGACAGAGTTTGTATGTTTTGATAAGACAGGCACAATTACTAATGGGGAGTAGAGGATTCATGCAATAATAGTTGAAGATACGATGTATAAGTTTAATCACAATAACATGATTAAGAATCAGTGGAATACATTTAAGGATCAATTGTAGAATTAAATAAAAAATGATCCGAACTTTTAGATTGAAGAAATAGATGAATCAGATGCAGATGTACAATCGAAAAAGGTAAGACATACTGGAATATTTAAATTAACGTTGTAGCACTGGAATTCTAAGAAGATGTCTAGTTGTGATTTTAATAAATCAGAACTAGCATCAAGTAGGAGCATAGCAAATCCATTAGATGAGATGGAGGTAGAAATAGAAAATATGAGAGTAGAAGAGTTTGATGACACTCATTATAAAGTTACACCTGAATTATGCAATGTAAAACCAAGACCTTTTTTCAATAAGAAGGCTATCGTAACAGCACCTGTACAAGTGGTTGGAGTTAGTTAAGGAGGGATAAGTTAGTCATAGGAGGAAGAATTACTGATTAAACAGCAATCTTATAAGGAAGACCAGAAATCTTTTGAAAACAGCAGATCAATTAGGAGTAAGAAATTTTTAGAGCATTCTTAATCCGATATGAAAAGATAATATAGTGCAAAAAAATCATTTTAATTGGACAAAGCCATTGAAGAAGAGGTCGAAATAGTTTATCATGGAGAGAATGAATTCTATAAGCATCTTATTCACGGATAGAATAAGTTAATGTATTAAGAATCCGTTTTGTCGCTTTTACTTTGTTAAGAAATAGTATCAAGATATTCTCCTAGTGAAGATTAATTTATGCATGATTCATCATCATACTCATTTGATTAAGAAGTACTGAGATTTGTAGGTCTGCTAGATATTAAGTTTTTATGTTGTAATGAATACAATGGGAAGGTTATTTACATTGTGGATTTCTTTGGAGAAGTATTGGAATTTTAAGTTATGGCTGTATATCATAATGGAAGCAATTAGTTAGGAATACTGGTGCTCTATCCAGATAAACTATAAGAGAAGTTCATGTTAATAAATGAGCAGGATCCAATGGAAAGTCTTTAATATATATTTATTTTGAGAGAAGAAACAAACCAATTACCTGTAAATATTGATGTGGATAAATCCAGCAGAGAATACTGGGATAAAGTATTCCAAAAGTTGCATATGAGTGGAATGAGATCAGTCATTTACTCAAAGGTGTATCTGAAGGAGAAGGATGCTAGCATTTTTATGTCTCGATTCTAAGGTGAAGAAGGAATGTCTGCATTTCAATAAATCTCAAAAGATATGCAAATTGTTTAAGTCATTGGAGTCAAAGAATTAATAAGAAAAGACACCAAAATGTTAATAAATCAAATGAAATCTGCCGAACTCAGTCTTTATATGTTGAGTGGAGATGAATTAACAAGAGTCTTACCAGTAGCATTCAAATCCAAAATACTCAATCAAAACGATATTCTGTTATATCTAGACAATGAGAATGCTAGAGTGGTTATCAAGAATCATTTAACCATCCTTTCACAGTCCTTAAAATTAGATGAATCATGGGGTTCAAGACCAATGAGAATGAGTACTCTTGATAGACATCATCGAACACTAACCTTGGAGGAAAAGTAAGCTGTCTATCCTGAAGTCAAATCATATAGTATCATATTGAGTGGAGAATATTTCAACACTATTTTATAGGACAGTTCCTTATTAAGTCATTTCTAATTTCTTCTTTATTTTAGCAACTCTTTAATAGCTTATAAAATGGATTAAAAGTAAAAAGCTACTATCATTCAAATCATATAGACTCAATTCATAGGCAATAAAAGAGTTCTGGCTGTTGGTGATTCATACAATGATAACTATATGTTCTGCTAATCAAATATAGGAGTTCAATATTGTCACTATCCAATTTAAATCCAATAATATCAAAGAGGAAGTACCAAGTTGAAACTCAATCGTAAAGTTACTTCAAATAAATCACTGGATAATCCTTTGAATCGAAAATTCCTATTAAATGAAATGTGGGTTGTTCCTACATCAGATATTTGTCTCAAAGATTATCTAGATTTGAGTGGCTTGATGTTCTTTGAAAGTCGAATTTTCGCAGAAGTCTACGATGATTTATTAGTCTTTTCTTTCTATAGATCCTTGCTCATAATTTACATTTTATTTTTTCTATATGCAACTTATTGTAGTTAGAATCAAACTATATTTACAGGGGCTTGGTTGACTGTTTATTAGAGTATTTTACTGTTTATCTAATAAATAGTGAGTCTAAAATCAAAGTTAGATCGATAATATGACAAGGATTCAATCACTTATATAGAACAATTCAAACACAATATTAAGATTTTCAAAAAGAAGAAAATTTTGTCATTCATCTTGAAAATTAATGGAAATGCCATGTTGGATGCTGCATTATTCTATTAATCATTACAAATAGTAGATGAAATCTAATTTGACACCTTGAAATAAATGGTATTAATACTCTTGATCTTAAGTGACATTGTAAAATTAGTGGTATCTACGGCTTATTCCAAATATACATGGATAACTTTTATTGCAACTTACTTAATATGTTGGTTGATGACTTCAATCTTATCTGCTTATTTTCAAAATATGGAGAGCTTTTTAGAATTGTTTACAGTGTCTTCAACATGGTTGGCTTTCATTTATTATGGTTTTACTTAATTTTGCCTAAGCAATGTAATTGAATACATTCAACCATTATTTTGTTCATCTCTAATTGATAAGGCTTAATTTTAAGAAGTGTAGATCTATCTGTAAAAGGCATAGAAAAATGGAGCAAAGAGATATCACAATCTTATAAAAAGATTCGCTTAGTTGGCTGGGAAAGTATTTAAGAAAAACAAAGATGAAATGGATATATCTATATAAGACATAATTTGTGAGTTGAAAGTAAATCAAGATAGAATCAATAAATTTACTTTAAGATTCTTAAATAAAGATACTGAAATGAAGTTTAAAAGACTATCAAAATTAATTTGGATTCAATTTGAAAGAATCAAACTAGGATTGTCTCTTATATTTTTGGAAGTCTTTGCTTTGATGATCTATTCACTCACTTATAGATATGAAATTCAATCTTAAACCTATTTTATAATCTACATTTTAAGTATAAGCAGTTAAGTAATAATGCAAATAATAATCTGTTCAGGAATTTACTTGAAACATTTTTTTTAAATTAATCTAATCATTGCATGCATCAGATTGCTTACAAAGATGATTTCAGACTTTTAATAAGAAGGAAACTATGATATCCTATTAAGTTAATGTTATATCTTAATCATTATATTCTCAAGGTTGCACATCCCACTATTAAATTTTATCATAGCTACTTTGTCTGTTGTCGGGTTCCTAAGAAAGTTTAGTTTTGGAACTGATTACTACAAAATAATAAACGGAGATTTAATAGTTTTAGTCACATTGATCTTATTTATATCACTTTAGTATAAATTGCATATGATGGAAAAGTAAGATTTTATGTTGGCTGCAACTCTTAATCAAGAAACTACGTCAATGACTAATGTGTTATCAATTTTATTACCGAAATTTATTAGAGATAGAATCAATGCAAGTATATTTATAGTTCTAATTAATTTTAGAGGGAGTGTTTGAGATATAAGAAAATTAAGGGGAAGTTTCAATTTTATTTTGTGACATTTGTGGATTTGATGATCTCATTGCTGTCGAAAAAGAAAACATTGTTAATTTATTAGATAGCTTATTTAGAGGATTTGATGGCTTATGTGTCTCAAATGGAATGCAAAAAATAGAAACAGTTGGAAAGACATTTATGGCAGCTGGAGGTTTAAAGGCCGTCGATTAGGGAACTAAATTCATCAATCAAAGTGCAGTAAAGAGAGTATAAATATGTAATATTTAAAGGCTGTTTAATTATCTTTAGAAATGATGGAATATGCTAAAAAATTCAAGTTTGGATAATCTGGCAACGTCAAAATCAAAATTGGAGTTCATTATGGCCGTGTCATTGCTGGTGTGATTGGTCATCATAAACCACAATTTTCATTAATAGGTGACACTGTTAATACAACAAGTAGAGTGTGTTCAACTGGTTAAGATGGAGAAATTACCCTCTCTAATGAAGCTTACATGGAACTAAATATGCCAGATTTGTAATTCAACTAGCTTAAAGTAAATGCGAAGGGAAAAGGAGAATTGATTACTTGGCAAATTGTAACCTCCATAAAACGAAACACTGATAAAAAAGTAAAAAAAAAGAAAGGGCTTGTTCCAAAATTTGATGCTTCTTAATAAGATATGCCCACTCTAACCAAAATGGATCCTGTCACTCCTAAAACTGATTTCAGATAATTGAAAGTCCCTTAATAGATTAAACAATTTGATGTATATCCTAAAGAGAACAATGTAAAAATGGAAAAAGAATAGAATGTAAAAATGGAAAAAGAATAGAATGTAGAGAATAATACAACTAGTTTCAGTTTACTTAAAGAATCTATGTAATCAAAGGATATTCAACCTTTAAGAAAAAGGGGTCAAAGAGGACCTACATTGATTATGAAAGCTTAAGATGGTTAAAAGATTGCAGGTGCAATACAATTATAACACTCTGGTAGTCAAAATAATATTCAAAATTAAAGCAATAGAAATTTACCACCTATTGTTGTTTATTAAGCAGAAGAAAGCGTTCATTCTAATAATTTAAAAGATGAATCATTTTTTGAGAAAATTTAAACAAATCTTCTTCATGATTTATCCTAAAAATTAAGAAGAGATCTTTATATAGAAATATTAGATGAAGCACCAGATTATGAAATTGAAATAGAAAAAATATCATTTGATGAAGATGAACAATTTAAAAGTGAAGATTTATAGTTAGAGAGGACTAAATTCTATTTGGATTTCAAAGATAGTTAAAAAGAATTAGCATAAGAATTCATGGATTAGAAGGAGGGTATAAATATTGTATTTATGCTTTCTTTACATTTCATTTAGTTCATATCAAAGACTATTACACTATTGTATTTGTAACATTTATAGAATTGGCTTCTAGTCTTTGTAATTCGATTTATAGTTTCCATCTTGCTATTGATCTTGGCTATTTTGTAACACAAAAAATTAAAGCATACATTTTACAAATATTAATACTTCTTAATAACTTACTTTGGCATATTAATAAGTATTCTTGTAGAATTCCTTTTGATGCCTGAAAAATCAGTGGAATTATAAGCAGCAGAAGGAATTTTATTAATTTGTTTCTTCTGCTCACTTTCAATTATTAAGATTAAGTACAAGGTTTATTTTAACCTTTGCCTCTTTATCTCATAATTATTGATAGTATTGATTCATTATAAGGATGGTGCAATTGCATATTATACTATTTTTTAGAGTTGTATGACATTTATAGTTCAATATCATTTATTTTTTTAGGATTTAGGTACATTCAATAATAAAAGATCTTTAGAATTAAAAAAACTATAAACTTAAAATTTAGTTAAATATCTATTACCTACTCATATATTAAAGCAATTCTTATCTAATAGTAATTAAAGAATGGTTTTAGTAGATTAATTTGAAGATGCTACTCTATTATTTGCAGATATAGCTGGTTTTACTGAATATTCAAGTAGAGTAGAACCAGAATAAGTTGTGAATATGTTAAGGAATTTGTTTACTGAGTTTGATAAAATATGTTTAACATAAAATGCTTATAAATTATATACAATTGGAGATTGTTATGTTGCATTTGGTATTGTAGATGTTACATAAAGAAATCCAGCTTAAGAAGCTAAAAATGTTGTTGAATTAGGATTTAAAATGATAGATATTATTAGATAAGTTAGATCAATTATTGGATTTGATGGATTAGATATGAGAATTGGAATACATACAGTAATTATTATATTATATCATAGGGTAAAGTCATTGGAGGAATCTTGGGAACTGAAATTGTTAGATATGATGTTTATGGGGCTGATGTTATGATTTCTAATAAAATGGAATCTAATGGAGAAAGAGGAAAAGTGTAAGTCTCTGAAGAAACTAAATAATTACTAGAACAATCATATCCAGATCAGTTTTTGTTTACATTCAATAAAGAAGTAGAATTTAAGTCCATTAATCGAAAAACTAAAGGATATTTTATTGATCCAATCAAAAATGATAGCAATCAAGATTTTGATGATATGAATCACTTTTAATTTGTTAAAGATTTAGAATAATATGAAAATAGTGCACAAAAATGAGTATTTCATCTCCTATCAAATATATAATATTTAAATTATTAATGTCTGATAACATTTATTTCAATATCCTTTTAAGATCTATTTTTTAAGTTTAATTTGACTTTCTTTATCATTTATAAATTTTATATATATAAACATCATAATCTTGAAAATATCCAAAAATAAGTTATCACAAAAATACTAAAACTATTCTAATCAATAGGTAATCTAAAAAATGAAATCTAGAACTAATTTCAAAAATAATTTTTCTGGAAGAATTTATATATTGATTTATAAATCTTAATAAAATTTAAAAAACTTAAAAATAAGAATTAAAGTAGAGCCTTTATACAGAAATGTTGTATAATTTTAAATAAATAACTATTCATTTACTTTTATTCTCAAATTATGTGAAATACGTTTGCTGAATCTTGATTAACTATAGTTTCTCTTCTTTTTCTTTTTCTGTCTATTTCACAAAAAGGCTATTTTTAAATAATTCATTCCCTGCAGATATCGCCATAAGAAGAACTAAAGGTACTGTAATTAATATATTGGGTATGCTTAAGGAGATTTTATGGAATTAAATTACTTCATTCCACTTATATATTAAAATTTGATGCTTAGAAGCAGCATTTTTAAAAGCTTCACATATGAATTAGAATTTTTTCTTAAATTCCATAAAATCAACTTTTGTTGGATCCTCATTTTTATCATGCTCCTTTATATTATTATTAAAACGATCAAGCTTCTCAATCTAACTTTATATTTTCTCACTAATTAGTACTTTAGGTATATCTTCTATTCTTTCCAAATTTATATCATCTATTTGATATCTTACACTAAACTTTTCATCTATACTCATTGAATTATCAAAAAGCATCTTAGCAATAAATTCATTTGTTATTATGTTTACGATTTGTTGATAAAATTTGTCTCGATGTGCTAATAACTTATTTAATAGTGGCTACTCTTCATCAGATAACTTGAATTCAAACTTCTAATTAATATCTGATTTTCCTTGCAATGCTATTTTTTTCCTCTCTAAGATATTTTCGCATTTCCCCAAAATATCCTATTTAATTTAAATCATTTTATCTTCGAATAAACTAGCTTTGTTTAATTATTCTAACTCTTTTTTTTTTTGTCTTAATTTTGCCTATTGTTCCTTGCTTTCTTCTCCTTTTTCAACCAACTCACAAATTTCATCTTTTAACTATTAAATTTCTAATTCCAATTTATTTAGTTCTTGATGTACTTCGTAGTGTTCTGCCTAATAAATTTTAACATAATGTTATTCATCAATTGCTTTTTTAATTATATTCAATATTTTTAGTTATTTCTAATCTGTAATATCTTTCATTGTCTCGGTTTGCCATTTTGTAATTATTTATTCCATAGTAAAATCATCTCTTATTTTAGTGAAAGTAGGAATGATAATATTTTCAAGATATTAATCATCTAATTAATCTCCTAAAATCAAATTAATTTGAACTATTGAATCGATTAAATCGTTTTTATTTGTTGAGAGCAGTTCTCCATCAATCATAAATAGAAAAAACTAGTCTCTTACTTAATTTATCTAATTAAAGATATTTAAATGATTGAAAACTCTATTATCACCATGAGTATCACGTAAGCCAGGAGTATCAACAAATATAAATTGACCAATATCCACATTTTCTGTGTAAAATGTTTAACTAGTATTTTTATGAGATAATAGAATTTTACTATTCTTTTATTTTACATCGAACTTCTTATCCTAAGTAATAATAATATTCTCTGGATTATTTAATATATTGAGTAATGTACTTTTCCCAACTTTTGTCATACCTAAAACAATAACATAATGTTTATTTAAATTTATATTGTCTTTTTGATGATGTATTCTTCCGAAATATGCTAAGCTTTATGGAAGATACAAATCAAATTACTCAAACCATTATTTTAAGTTAATAGACATTATAAGCATAGTTTTCTTTATTACATCATAATTGTATTAATATTTGCTTATTTCTTGCAAAACTTTAAAATCAGATTCATCTAATTTAAATTAAAATTGAAGCAATTATTAAACTACTTCATTAGGTAATTTACCTTTATAATTTATTTTTAAATAGTGTTCAAATTAACTATTTTCTTCAAAAATTTGATTTAAACATTTTAACATTTTCTATCTTTAATCATTTAAAGCTTTTAATAATCCTATTACCATTTTATCCAAACTTTCATCGACATTAACTACTGTGCAAATTTCAGAAATAAGAGTCTTCAAACTTTCTAAATATTATGAAACATTTTATTTAACTTCTATTTCATTATTCAGATTGACAGGGAATTCAATCATTTGCTTAATGTCATCTTAAAGTTGTAAAAGTTCTTTCTCAAATTCTTTTAATACTACATCAACTTAAGATTATAAATACTGATAGCATATAAACCCTATCTAATTAAAATCATCCTATTTTTATTAAACGTAATCCAAAAATTCATCCAATAAAATAATATAAGAAATGTCAAATTTCTACTATTAATTATTTTTATTAAAGTGTATTTTTTTAGATGAAATCTTACGATAGTTCATTTCCTCATTATTTTATGTACTATACACACATATCATATCTTATAGCTCGTCGAAAGACCCATCGAGAATTTAATAAATATAATTTATTATAAGATCCTAAAATTCCTTATCATTTTAGTTCTTTTGTAGAAAGTGAAACACAAATTTTATCTAATAGTTTTATTAAGTTTTTATGAATTCTTACAAAAATATTCTAAATCTAAATAAATTTTAGATGTTGATTTGTTCATCATCTTATAGTAACTTATTGAAGTAATAGCAGAAAATAGATTATTATTCTTTTTTTTTATTATTAAATTAAAATTAACATAATTATCCACCATTCCATATTCTTTCTTACCTATGAATAATCGATAAGTTTGACATTAAATCATAGTATTTTTGAGTATTTGTTAGATCGAAATAAAATATTAACTTTTAAATATGATTTTATTAAAAGACAGATGGTTCTGGAATCGGTATTTTAATATCGTAGATTTGTTTCAATTCCTTGAAGAATCCCTCGTGTTACTCCATTGGATTTTTTCAATTTTTTAGTTATTTTAATTAATATCACCAGAGTATTTGTAATTCTATTACATTTAATAATTTGATGATATTTAATGACAAAAAATAATTAATTTGAGAAATTTTGAAAACATGTTAAATAATATATTCAATCAATTTAATTGTTAATTACAGAGTTTACAGAAAATATGTTTGTTAAAATTTTATAAAATAACTAAATTAAACTTAAAAATAATGATCAACAACAACTTGATTAGTTTTAATTTCTCTATATTTGGAGACAGTCCTTTAAATGATTAAGTTTCAGAAAATGATTTAGTTATATTAATGAGATCACCTGACTTTTTATACTTTCTTATTCAAGGTTTCTCAGAAAAATTATTTTTGAGCAAGCTTCAAGTTTTCTTTTATTTCATCTTTGACTTGTAAAAACTCGAATTTCTAACATTCAACCATTTTCTTATTCCTTAATACTATTCATTTATGAATGCATCGTCAAAAGTTTGTTCTCCTAATCAATATGCATGACTACTCTATTAAATTCACATTAAAATCAGACCTTGTTAAGCTGAAATATTCTCCTATTCCTTCATTTTCATGTTTAATAGTTCAATTCATTTAAATTATGAGTTATTCAACCTTTTTCACATACCATCTTCCTTACTTAATTTATTATTCTATTTGAACTGAATTTTGCTTAAACCCTTTAAATCAAAATCTTATGATTATGATTTTTTTTAAAATTAAAATATTATTATGACCTCTTAAGAATCTGATACCATCCTCAACTTCTTCTTTACTTTCTACCTTCTTATTAGTTACTATGAATTATAACATAACAACAACACTATTTATACGAATTTCTTGTTTCTTGAATAGGATAAGGAGGGGTTGTGCCAGTGGTGGCATTTATTAGTCCAAAGAATAAAAAAGAAAGTTCAACTCTTTCCGACCCCTTTTTATTTTTCTGCTTTTCGATTAATTAACTCTCAATCAACAATATATCTTGATAAGATATTAACATAAATGAATATAATAATAACAAATTGAATTTTATCTCAAAACTCTCAGAATCAACTTAAAATCTATTCACACAATCTATGATTTTCTGCTAATTGAGTAATCATATATGCAATCATATATAATAAATCAAATACATTTTATCAGCTCTGAAGTAGTAAACATATTTCTACATTCAATTACTTCAGATAATTATAGAACCATCAGTAACACAATTTCATCAGTCTTTATCTACTTATCTGGCTTGTTTTCTCATGATTTATTCCATTCTCTAGAGATTTATTTATAATTATTCCCTGATCAGAAGAAACCAGAAAATAAATTATTCTTATTTTCTTCAATTCGATGAATTTTCAACTTAATATTCAAATACACTCAAAATGGTTTTTTTTGCTATTATGCTAACATTCTAAAATGAGATGGAGTTGCACATATTTAATTTATTAATATGACATCAAAATAAAGAAAACAATTATTGGGTGATTCTCGAAACAACATTTAATGCAAGAAAGAATATTAGCAACATTTAACTTATATAATGCTTAAGTTAAGACTTCTGTAGTAAAATAATAATAAATTTGCGTTTTACCCTAACTTTGATGAATATTCTCGAAAAATGAAGATGCATTTGCGACATTCATTTTCTAAATAAGAATTATATTCTTTTCAATCACTTTTATTACTAAAAGGTTTTTTTATTACAGATTTGATATACTTTTCTAGCAATAATAAACCTCTTGCTTATTTTTTGAATTCATATAAAAATTTACTTTATATTATAAAACATTTCCAAAAAATCAATAATAGATTAATTATTTTATTGTTGATATGGTAGAGAGTATTATTTTATGAATAATCATAAATTATAATGATGTTTATTTAATAAAAGAAATATAGAATGGCTTAGTATCACAATAATTTATTGAATCATAATTATTTTTGAACACCAAGAGCTCTTAATAATAATAATAAAATTTAATGATTATATCTTTTTATTGAGGCTTCAATATTATAGTTTCCCATTTCTTTGTAATTTTTAATTAATTTACAAATATATATTGAATAATTTAATACTGATATCTAATTTAAAGGCTGGACCAAATCAATAAAATTAGTCCGAGGATTACTTAATATTTTTATGATAATTTGGTATTATTAATTATCAAAAGTCATGCAGTATTCTAATGGATGTTATTTTTACCAATTCTGTCAAGAGCATTTTGATTTTCAATTAATATTTTATTAAAAATATATTGAAGCAAAAAATATTGAATTTATATCCAATTAAAGAACATTTATACCCATTGATAGAATTATTTACAAATACCTACTTAAAGTAAAATTGAAGATATGAAGATTAATCTAATTTGGTTTTTATTATCTTGTCTTAATATCCCATAAATGGATAGAGTTATCCTTACTACCAGATACTAATTTAATAGATTTTTATTGAAATCAATGATATTGGATAATTTATTATTACTATAATTTAAAATGTGTTATAATAAATTGTAGATTTCTAAATTTATTTTTTCCATAAAAATGAAAATTTTAAGAAAATATTTTGCATTAAAAGAGATGAAACACATTTAATTGAATATAATATTAATTGATCAGAATCTTTCTCCTCTGATTCTTCTGGCCAATTAGATATCTCTTGACATAATTGTGACTCTTCTTGCATGAATAGCACACAAGTTGGTGTCTTCAAATAATCCAACGAGGTAAGCTTCAGCTGCTTCTTAAAGTGCCAAGACAGCTGAGCTTTAGAATCTGAGTTCCTTTTAGAATTCATGTGCGATTTCTCTGACCAATCTTTAGAATGGAAGTTTTCTGATCAACAATTCAGTTGACTTTTAGTATTTTCTGATTTCTCTGAGGGCGACAGTTCCTGGTCTGAATTTGTGGGGCTTCTTCAAACCTCCAGTTGCTCCAACAGCTGGTGCAGTCTTTCTTGCAGCCTTGGTAGCCAAATGTTTAGTTGGTTTTTTATTACCAGCAGTGCTCTTTCTTGCAGTTTACTTAGTTCTAGCCATTTTTATTGATTATTTAATTTAATTTTTGAATTTATATTTAGGGGGTTTTAAGTTTATTAAAATAAGTAATTCTGTATTATGATTGGTTGATTAAGAATATTGGTTCAAAATAGTAAATTTTAATAAAATCGAAATAATCTCACGTCGAATTCCAAGTGATTAAATCACTTTAACATAGAATCAACCAATGAAAATAAAAGACAATGTAAAATCAGATCTTACATTATCAGAAACCATCAGTACATTATAAATTAGTAGTATATTAATATATAAAAATTTAATATTAATGTAGCAATAAAGTATAAATTTTATATATATATTACTATTATTTATTAAAGCTATACAGAATTATTGGAATGTCTTTTAAAATTATATATTATATACATAATCGTTTAAACATGTTAGAAATTAAAAAATTGATTGAAGAAGTACGATAAACTCATTTAAGTTTATATATATTAATAAATTGTATTATTTCATCTGACTAAACCCTTGACAGTCAACCTATCTAGTTAGTTAGTCCATGTTTGCATAATAATTAAATTAGTTAATTAATTCAAAAATAATTATCAAGAAAACTTTTCTAAATTATTAAGATCTGGATATTTGGATTTGAATGTGTTAATCAACTCAGCAATTTGCTTCTAGCATTCATTGTACGTATTAAAGTCTATTTTGGCAATTTTAACAATCGAATCTTGCTAAAACAAATAAGTACAAAATTATTACAGATTATTTATTTAATTTTAAATTATCGGCCTTTTTATTTTCTTATTTTGTATCGATGTATTCTCTAACTGCATAACCTACAATAGCTGCAGATAGGAGATTCGGTGTAAAGTTGAGCATGTGTAAATCATGCATACACATTTTTAATATATATATGCATGTCTCATAGATGTTCTACAATGTCTAACTATAGATAAATTTCGAAATATTACTTATCATTTAGACTAAAGCACTTGTAAAATAGATTTTATAAATAATCTAAAGGAGTTGGAAAATAGACATTGAATTATAAAGTTTCCAAAATGGTTTATTCCATATTTTTAACCTTAAGAGTATTGAATTTATTATGTCCAACTCTAGTAACAATGTCACTTAATGGAATGTGATAGATATCTTCAAGTTTCGATGCTATGAACATGCAACTGATGCCCATAAGATGCACATCTCCATCGTAATAATACATCGAAGTTTTTTTGAGAAAAGCATCTAATAGACCAACAGCTCTGAAGTAGGTCTATGATGTGGTAGTAGTAGGGTAGTTTCCAAATACTTCAATCATCCAATCGATCATCTTGGCTCTCAACATCTCTTTGATTCCATGCTTCTTAATTGAGAAACTAAAGGAAACTGTATCTTAACATAGATGTTGTTGATGGTCATTATGATAATGCCAATTATAAGTGATGTTTCTTCTCAATTAGGGGTTGTTGACATCATCTGAGAGGGCATCTATATCAATTTAAGGTATGAGATATATACATCTTTACTAGACAGACTCATCATTATGAATTTAAAATGAACTCATTTGGAGATGATAAATCTGAGATTTCTATAGGTTTTCATTTTCTGATAACAGATCTAAGAGTTTTCCGTCTTCTGGATGTGTCTTATCTTCAAATTACTATTATAATAGGAGATTTGTTTTACAAAAAATTTGGAGGAATTACTGGTATTTAAACTAGAAATAGAGGATTTATTGGTAGAGCATGCTCTCTATTAATACATTAATCAAAATGATTTACCTTGATTACAAAGTTCTTCTAAGTATCATTCAATTTTAATCTGGAACCATTTCGACGAGCAAACATTTTTTGTAAATTAAACTGAAAAGTTGTCAAATCCTAAATTTTAGTAGTTTTGGTCGATTGTTAGTAAAATATTCTCCTTTTTCACTCTAATATATATTTTATATTTATATAATATTAAATTCAAATTTAAAAGAAGTCATTTTGCTCTATAGTTTATTGAATGTTTTCAATCGATTTTATACTCAGCTGCAAAGTAGACTATTGATCAAGTGCTTTTTCTAAAATATCTAAGAATTCTTGTTTGTCATGTAAATCTTAGAAGAATAGAATGAGAATTAATTACTTTATTCCAGTTACTGTTCTTCTCCATCTGTCTCTAACTCTTCCTCTATGTCTTGCATCAACAAGTTTTGGCACGCCATAACAATCTAAAGATCGTGGTTGATGCCAATGTCGTGTAGTATTCGATTGCCTTTAAAGGGTACCTTTTTATTGTTGAAATAAATGTAAGCTTCATTGGTGAACTAGATTGTATCAGTTCCCAAATTGTACATGGCAAAGAGAAAAGTGCGAAGTTTCATTAAATCCATCCAAGGACTTATGGGCGTTAAGATGGCTTGCATTACTGAGATGTTTCTTGGAAATATAATGACAAAGATGATATTGATGATTTCTTTGCAAACACACAACCCTTCATCTAAATTGTCGCATTGGATATAGTTGTTGATTTGAGGATGCAGTTTAGTGACAAAAACAATCACGTCGTAGTCTAAATTAATCTCTATCAGTAGAAATACCTGCACCGTAATACTGTTTAAAAAAGTGCCACACATCGATAGAGACAACGCGGAAATCCACAAGATGTTAAGCATCTGGTTTCAACCCATAAACATGCGAATAGTTTATTTGCTAATAAGTAGGGAGAGAATATTATTTTAAGGAGACTGACTTATTCATGGATCTCTATACTATATTAGCATTTTGAATTTTGTTAAATCTTGAAACATCAACACCTGATGGATTTTATAAGAATCTCTCAAATTGTCTATACCTAATATTGACATCCATTAATACCAATTTGTAGATATGGCATAGGCATATCCCTCAGAAATCCTATGATTCCTAGACATATACCCGTTTAAAAAGTCTTCCTCTGTCATCATTGCTCTTTGTTAAAAATTATTTTTATTATGTATCGAATCAATTACCCATTATTGATCTTGTTTACATAAGACTACTGATTTATATATAATAATAATCCTCTTCGATTTTATACACTCACATCAATAAATATTATTATCAACTCTAATGCTCTTTAAAATAGTTCGGAATGCTTTAATCACATTTCAAAAATCCACTCCCAGATTTTATTTCAATCAGACTATTGAGCCAAAACAATAGCAATCACAGCAGGATGAAATGTATTCAACAGTGTTAGCTACAGAACAATACAAGTACAAACTTAATTATATTTGTGGTTGATATGGTCTTGAACAAATGCAACATGGTAAATATAGAGTGGCCCTTCAATTCTTTGGAAGATTTAAGAATTTCTTAGAAACCAACAACCTAAAAGAAAAGGAATGGGTTGATGTTTCAAGAAGGTACATCTGCACATCTAAATTAATAGAATTGTCTATTCTAATCTATAACTAAGAAGATATGAGGATGCAGAAGCTCAACTAGAAGAAATAATCAGGCAATTTTTAAGACAAAAAGCTAATTACGCCCTCGTCTATTCTGCATACAGTGATCTCTTAACTCATTGTTTGAAGTACAATTTAAATAAGGCCATCCTCTTGGGCAAAGCTTTATTAAGTGAAATGCAGAGAGAAAATGTGCCCTTAGGTTATTAGAAACAATATCTGTATTTTTTGGGAGTATCAAATTTATATCCTATTGCAAGACTGCTTATTTATTAAAGGAAAACTATACTGATGCCAAGTCAAGAATGAGAGAGTGTCTGGCTTCAGATCCATCTAATCAATTGAAAGGATGGGCTTATAATAGTTTTGGCTGTGGCTTCATGGTGGCATAAATTTCCAAGTCTTAGAGAATTTGTAAGTGATGATGAAGAAGAAACAGGACCTCTACAAAGTGATATTCCTGTTGAAAATATAGATGCTGATTTCGAAAATGTGATACCTCTTTTTAAGAAGTCAATTTATTACATTGAGCATTCAAACAATCAAATTAAAACTGGATTGGAATGGTTACTGAATGATGATCTTCTACCATAGGATAAAACTAATCTAACAAAAACCTAATTCAAAAGTATACATGTAGGAAAACCATTGCTCAATTTAAGTGAATTTGTTCTAAATAAAGCACCCTCTAAAAGAACTGAATTATAATTTTGGTTGAAAACTACGATCAATTTTTACGAAGAGTAAGATCCAACCAATATGGACAGATCCCTCTTATTTTTGGCATGGACTTGCAGTACAAATAAATATGTAAAATATCAATGAAGAGTTTTTTAGTTTGATAGAGCAGAGAGCATGTATAGGATAGTTTTATAAATGCTTGAAAATTCAGATTCATACAATAAAGTGCTGTGTATGCAATTGCTTGGAAGTATGTTGAAGAAGATGCCTAATAGGAGCAGTGAAGGAGAATGTAAATTATTATTTATTCTTTAGAACTGATCATTAAGGCCTAGTAGATTGCTGAAGAATTACCCTATTGGTCAAATAGGTAGGTGCATATTATTATACCTGATTTTGAAATCTGATTAATAAATTAACTATTTATAATTTAAAATTGAAGATCCAGTTTATATTAGCGTTGAGAAATAATTTCTATTTGTAGGAAGTCTTATGTTTTATTTATATTTTTAAGTTGATTCAGATTACAAACATTTCCTTTAAACTCTTTTAAATAATTAAAATAAAACAGAAATTCACCATCTCTATTATGTTTAAGAATTTATAAGATGTCTATATAAAATATGAATGAAAACTATATAAATTAATGAGTTAATAGTAATTTGCTAAAAATTGATGAATATAGATTGATATTTTTAATGTTGTTTATATAATTATAAATATAAAAATAATAAAAATCATTTCTATATTCTAATATTTAAATACATTCATTTAATGATTTTTTTTGTTTTTTCATTCTACTTGGACATTTAGACAGTTTGCTTGTCAGCCTTTTAGTTTATTCTATCTAATTAGGTATTCTGATTAGTTATGGCTTGATTTGTTAAGAGCTATTAGTATTTCATTTAATTTGTTTAATTAATCATCTCATCATAGATATCATCGACCTACCTTTAGGGTGGTTATTGTATTTGTTGTTTTTAATCATCTTTCTTTTTATCTTCGACCTTCTCTTCTTTAGGTTTAGTGAAGAGTGCTTTAAATTAGCCCCAGGGAGATTTGATGACATCCAAAATGTAATCGATCTTATGTAATTTCTATTGATTTTGATCTAAGTTTTGTTCAAATTGATCAATTTTTTCGCCTTGATTGTGAAGCTAATATAAATGATTAAATGCATACAGTCACGAGTGAATTGGCAGATTATTGATTTATTTAGTACATGTTGCTCAGGATTTCTTATTGTTGTTGTTTGAGTTTGAGTTCTTGTTCTTAATTTAATGCGGCTTAATTCTGTTTTTATATTTGTTATTATTGCATAAAAATTTTAATAGAGATTTTTGTGTGATTAAAATAAATTCCATTTATTATTTTGATGCAAAGAGACTTGACTCCATAAGATGTGTTACCCTTGATAGTAGAATACTTGAGATCCATTGGATTGAAGAAATCTGCAAAGCAAATTGATTCTTTGTACGAACACGATGAAACTCCAATGACGAACAAGGATTTATAAAAAATAATAAAATATTATGTCGAAGGACATCCGTAATTCGCAATCACATATTGATTAGTAAGCTCGCTGCCAAATTTGTTGCTGAGGCTGAACATGACGAATAAGAAGAACAAGAGGAGGAGGAAACTGATTAACCAAAGGAGGAGGCGAAGAACAACAAGTAATCTGCAAAGTAATTGACAGATAAGAGAACATTCATTCAAATGAGTAATATTGAGATGTTAAATATAAGACATACCAATTACTGAGGAGGTTGAGGAGAAAAAGGAGAAGAAGAGATTTTTCCAGAAATGTGATGAGACAGTGTATGAGAAATTGCCTGATCATTTGAGAGACAACACTTTTGAGGCCAAAAAGAAGTTTGGAGAGGGGGATTAATATGGGGAGTTTGGAAATGAGAAGTTGAAGTTCACAAGGGGAGACAACTTTAAGAAAGAGAAGGGAAAATTAAAGAATAGATAATTTTAAGGTATGGGTAGCATTAATTTGAATTCAATAAACTCAATTAAGTTATGAAAATTTAAAATATTTAATATTTGTTCATTATCATCTTTAAATTACATGGTTACATAATTGTATTTTGTGAGAATTCAAATTTCGTTATAACTAGTATTTTTTATAAGTTTTATGATGATGATGAGTTGATTAAATAGTTAATATAAAAAATAGTTTATTAACGAATGCTAGGAAGTAGAAGAGTTCGTTCACACGAATCATCACTTACTAATTTAGACGCTTACAATCCTAATTCACCAGTTAGGATTCAACAATATATTGATCCTCATCAATTTAAAACTTAAAAATGCTAGATTCAACATCAAATTAACCAAAAAAAGTTTTGTCCATTTTTCCATGACGAAACTGATCGTAGAAGAGATCTCAAATCTCATTCATACAAGTAAATAAAATCTGGAATATTTATTTCAGATGCCAATTATGCCCGCAAGCTGATAATTGTCCATAAGGGGATGAATGTCAATTTGCTCACAATAAAGTGGAGCAAGTGTACCATCCCAATAGATACAAGACTAAATATTGCACTCACATTAAGGATTGTGATTATGGAGTCTATTGTTCATTTGCTCATAATGATTAGGAATTAATCATTCCGATTAAATTAGATGGGATGGTGCAAGACAAAAACTTCTGGATGTATCAATATAAAACTGTTTGGTGTCCCCTAACAACCAAGTAAGATTATCAACTAATATTAAACTTAGTCATGATAGAGCATCCTGCGTCTATGCCCATAATGCCTAAGACTTTAGAAGAGATCCAAAGAAGTTGCAACCAAAGGAGTGTCCACATTGGAACAAAACCAATTAGATATTGAATTACGATAAAGGAGGATGTCCAGATTAAGAAGAATGTCAATATTGTCATGGTTGGAAAGAATTCGAATATCATCCACTAATCTACAAGACCAAACCATGCACTTAAACCAATTGCAACAAGAAATTAGCCGAATGTGCATTCTATCACTCAGATTAAGAGAAAAGGTACAACTTTCAGTTAAACTTTATTAGAGTTCGTAAATAATTAGCAGATAATTAATGGATTATAGAAGAACCTAACATACATGTTGAGGCAAAAAGACAACCATATAAACCAACATCAAATTATCTTGGTCCAATAATCCCCAATTATATTCCCCAAGATTATATGAGCAAAGAGAAAATGGAAATTGGGCAACCATTTTGTTAATAATCCATCACTAATACTAAGACGTCTGATTCTCATTCAAGAAGAGGCTCTGATTTTTCGGATGGCTCGAAAATGCAAAAAAAAAAGCATAATATACAATAACAGTTTTAACCCTAGAAAAAACATCGAACTGCCCCCACTACTCCAGATCAAAAATAATTACATATCATGGGCAACAATTACACTATTAAGGCCTAACAAAATGTATAAAGTAATTCTTATCTTTCTTACTCAAAAAAACTTTATGAAGAAATTCTTAAATTAAACGAGGTAATAATAAAATATATATTTCTAGGGAGAATGTATTTATAAAATCTTACAAGGATTAAAAATACCTGAATATAAGTTGATGTAAATGGGAGATCAGGAAATTAAACAACTGAAACTCAATGAATAATAAATTATTTAACTTACATCAGCCTTAGCAGCAATTAAAATAGAGAAAAAATATGATGAACACTGTGGTGATGAACTTCTTAGTTTGATATCAAACTAAGGCAAATTTTGAAATTTTCAATATGCATTAAATAACATTAAAATAAATTTTCCATTTGAATAGAAATTTGATAACATGATTAATTATTTCTTTTGAGAATACACATCTATATTATTCACAACTCTCCACATTCTTCAATAATGATTATTTATTTTGGTTTATTTTGAGGACCAACTGGAGTAGTTTCAATTCTTCTTATCACTTACATTGATCCTGCATCAATTACTTTACCAAATACAACATGTTTGCCATCTAACCAATCGCATTTGGTACAAGTAATGAAAAACTAACAACCATTACTATTTGGACCAGAATTTGCCATTGACAATAATCCAGGTTCATCATGTCTCAATTAAAAATTCTCATCTTCAAATTTATCCCCGTAAATTGAAACACATCCAGTGCCATCTCCCTATTATAATAAACAATAGATACCATCACAAAATCGCCTCCTTAAATCATGAAATCCTTTATTACTCTATGGAATTAACAACCCTTGAAACCAGAAGGCTTATCAAATTTCTTATATTCTCCTGTGCACAATTGTCTGAAATTTTCAGCTGTTTTTGGAACTACATCAGCATACAATTCCATTCTAATCCTACCTACTTTTTGACCTGCAATAGCCACATCAAAAAATACTATTGGATTCTATGGATTTCTAATCATTTATTAATTAATTATATTTCAGTTTTATTCATTTTTGTTTGAATCCATTCTAAAGATGCTTTACATTTTTCATTCTATATATATCTTTATATTTACGATTATACTTTACTATAGTTAACTGGCCTATTAAATCATGTTATCAACAACAGAATGCTAAGAAATTATTTGATCTTTTTGAAAATATCCTTACATTATCCGAAGCTTATTCGCATTTTCAATACATTCAATATGTATCGACTTGAGAATAATATTTTATATATAGTTCATTTCATGAATTTTATAATTAACCTCATATCTTAATATAATAGTTAGCTCTAGAATTAAGTATTAATTAATTTATTTAATATAAGAATAAGTTATTTAATAATACGAATCTGAAAATATAAAAATTTTGTAATATAAACGAAGATCAAATCTTTTTTCCTTTTTTGATTGAAATGATCTTTTATATCCATTCAATTCCCAATTTAAGTAAGTAAAGGTTTTGATTCTTCGTTGTTCAATCTTATTTTCTATATCTAAGTAATCTATAGATATACTGTTTAACAATCTAAATTTGGTATTCATTTTTTTAATAATTAGAATATCAGAATGAGCTCCTTGAATATTTAAAAGAACAGATTCATGAAGAAAGCATAAGAGAAGCAATAAAAAAAGGAAATATCTACAAGTCCCCTTTTAATAATATTGAATAAGGATGAAGAAATCGATGATCTAAATTCTCCCACTTCTCCTCACTTATCAATACCTATCTTTAGTCCAACAAAATTTATATTTCCAAACTTGAAATACTAGAAACAAATCAAATGATGTGATTACTTATATATATATTCTTATTTTCATCTTCAAATTTAGTCACCCAGCATTTGCATCACAGTTGGGTTATCTATTCAAGCCTATTTCAATACCTTATAAGCTATCTGACTCAAAGTAATTGACCTTTGCTCTTTTTAAGAATTTTCTATTCTTATTTAAGTAATCAAATATTTGAACCTTGTTTGAACTCTTTTGCATCAAATTATTGAGCGTATAGACTGAAGATATTATTCTTTAATATATATTGATATGAAGTCAGAGTATGAGAAACAAAATTAAGATGAAAAGTTTAAATAAAATTTTTTTTAGATAATAAAACAAAAATTATTTTGACAAAAGTATTGAAAATAATTCCCATTTCCAATATTTATAAGAAATAATTAAACTTTCTGAAATTAGACTCGAATAGGCTCGAATAGAGATTAAAGTCAAAATTATATTGGATAATCAGATTTATTCAATACTCGATACTTTCGAAAATATTATTTAAACATATCATCATATACATTCATACATTATATTTTACTTTTATAAAATCTGTCTAATTAATTGAAATATTTTTGAAAAAATTGAAATCAATATAATATCATCAGAAATGCACTCATTTTATGTATTAATTTTTGTAAATCCTATACAAAATTTATATATATATAAAATTTAAATTTGAAAATCCCTCTCAAATGATGTAACTCAGAAGTGGAACACTCAAGAAGCCCCCTACTAGGATATGTGTGAATTCCTATCAGGCTTATTATGCTGAAAAAGCTGCTTAAATGAAAAAAGATGGGAAAATGAAAGGTAAAGAAATCCAAAGCAAGATCAGGGATATGTGGAAGCAAATGGATGAGGAGGAAAAGGAAAAGTATGAAGATGATTTTGAAAAAATGGAGGCTAAATACAAAGAGGATTTACTATTATATTATGGAGGGTCTGCATAAGATTTGAAAAAGTACAAAGCTTTAATGGAAGTACCTGAGAAGCCAAAGAAGCCAGTGTCAGGATGCTTAGTGTACATAGCAGAGAACAGAAGGGCATATTCTGAAGAAAACCCTGATTCATCCTTTGGTTAAGTAACGAAGGCATTAGTGGATCAATATAACAGACTTTCAAATAAAGAAAGAAAGAAGTATGATGATGAGTTTGAGAAGAAATTAGAACTATATCACAAATAAATGGATGATTGGACAAAGTAAACACTGATAAATAACATATTAGAAAGTATTCAGAAAAAAGAGAACAATTTGACCAATTGATAGAGGAGAAGTTTAAGAGATCAGCTACAAGACAAGATTTGTAATATTAAGAATTGCCGCCTTATAAAAGAGGGCCCAGAAAAATGAAAGATGATGAAGAAACTGCTTAATAGAAGCCAGAAAAGGATGAAAAGCAAGATTAAATGAAGAAGGAGGACAAAAAGAAGGATGATAAAGACAAGTATTTTATATATAAAAGATTAATAGTAAAAAAGGAACCAAAAATGCCAAAGATGAAGGCAAAGGTGAATCAAAGAAAATGAATGATAAAGATTAAAAAGATAAAAAGGATATGAATCGCAAAAAATCAGTAGGGAGAAAATATTGATTTGATTTTTTTTCGATTAAGAAATATTTTTCTTATACATTTTATTTACATCCAATAAAGAATGTAAATATTATCATTATATCATATACTCAATATCCTTTTGTAGATCTCACCTCCGACAAACAATTAATCAGATTCAGTTCGTTTTAATCATCCTCCTCTTCTTCTGCGAAACGTGTTAATTAGTTAATCTAAAAGGCATTCAAATTATGCAAGTTCAAGTGGTTATTTGCAATAATTCTATAAGCAATACAGGGTCTAATTTGATATCTCATTGTCTGAATCCCAACCTTCATGATAAATTTGCAAAACATAATTTTCCAAATTTTGATTTATTTTTTATTTATGAAAATTATGCTATTTTAATATTTCTCGTTTATAAAATACTTATTAAATAGTATCCTGATATTTTAATATATTGTAAGCACTAAAACAAACTATTTGAAAGGCTTAAAACCATTTATGTGTTTGACAAAAGTAGTAAGTCAATTTAGCAATGATTTATTATATACATAAATACGATTAATCATTATTATTAGGCAAATACTTTCATAAACTGAATTCTATATTTTAAATGACCTTCAGGGTTTTTGATTTTGGAATTGAACACGTAAGGTATGTACTCCTTTTTTAGAAAATTCCAACTAAAAATTTAAATGATTAATATACCAGATCTATCTAAATTATTTCTACAATTTATTTAGTTTTTCTACTTTATGAGGTCTTGTTATTTTGATGAGATTAGCTAGATTTTAGATTTTTTTATGTCTAATAATGAATTTGAGGAACTCGTCTTGATCCGTTATCTGATTCATGACATTTTTATTCAGAATTTACTGAATAATGGCTTTGGAAACATTTTTAGGGACATTCTTCGACTTTTTTGATTCTGTTAGTCTTGGAGCAGTTTTGAAAATGGGACGTTTAGTCTAATTTTTTTTTCTTAATAAGGCCTTCCAACTGAGATTGAAGGTATCAGATTCTTTTTCCTTTGACTAAGGAACAAAGCCATGGGGCGATGTAGAAGAGTTGTCAGTCGATTAAGTTACAATAGCCATGTATTAAGTAAGAATGAATATCTATAAACAATATTTATAATTGATAGGTCATTTAATTTTTTTATCATTCTAGTGTTAAGATCTTTCCTTAAGCCATTTTGGTGCCAGAATCTACAATATATAAATGTATATTGAACCTTGCCCAAGACAAAATTATAGAAGCAAGAAGGAACCAATTTCTGAATTGCTGCCTATATTTCATGATTCCAATGGCCACTTGTATTTTACCCCATCCTCTTTATCAAACCATTAGCGCAATCGAAAGCACTAATTGTTAGAAAACTTGGTTGTCTATTTTAAGTCAAATTGGTTGAGACTTCACCTGGACTTAAAGAAAAAACTTCCAATTCTGGATATTCAGCACTTAGTGTAGATGTTAAGAATTCTCCAAATGCTTTGGTAGCACTGTATACATTGAAATATGGTGTTGGGATCTTTCCAGCTAAAGATGTTACGTTAACAATTGCGGATTTATGTTGATTTCTTTTCAAAAATCTTGGGATAAACCTCTTACAAAGGATAGTAATTGGGAAACAATTGACTGTTATTGTGTTATAAATCTCTTCATCTGAAAGCAAATGGAATCTATTAAGTACATCAACTCCAACATTGTTAATTAATACACTTACATCCCTCTCTCCAACTTAATTTAAAATTTGATCAAATATATTTTTATCTGTTGATTAGGAGAAGTCTGTCACAATGATTAGTGATTCGGTTTTTAGTTATTTGGATACTGCCTCCAACTTCTATTTGTTACGAGCTACCAGAATTATCTTGAATCCGTATTAGGAAAATTGAATTGCCAATTGCTTTCCTATTCCATCTGATGCCCCAGTTATTAAAATCCACGACCCAATTCCATACCTTGACAGATTAGAGCTTGGACGAATCAGTCTCCATATGAAGTTTAAAAGATTCAATGACTTTAGGAATACCAGTAGTCCCAAAACATATAGAAGTGATTGAAATATAGGATAGTCTTAAATTTATTCTAAAATCATTAATTATGTTTTATTTGAGGAGTAATTTGATTAGTTTTTATCGATTCGCTACTTAACCCAAGATGTACAATTGATATTCTATATTAGAGCATTCATACCCTAAGAACAATTCTTAGGAGAAATAGGTTATCTTTTGCACAAAGTTGAATAATCATTTAATAAACTGAAAGAATATGAAAATAGAATTGAAATCAGATCAGATCCTCTAAGCCTATGTGTGTCTGTGAAAAATTTAGGGGAATATAATTTTACGACTAATGTGAAAGAAAGGAGATTATATCTCTAAACACCATTTAATTTATTCTAATATTATTATGATGAGCAGGCAGATTAATGGAAAAGTGTTAAAGACCAACATAATATGATTGAAAATTTGACTAGAGAAACAGGGAAATACTTAAAAGGATACTTGGAATTTTGATGAGATGAATCTAAATTACATAAAATTATTATTTATTCATCTTAATTTTAATTGCATGCCGTTAAAATCCTTGCATTTTAATAAATACATACATATCATATTAAATGTGTATTTAATTGATTAATTCTTATCTATATATATGAATTGATATTTTCTAAATCCAATTGACTAGTATATTCTTATTTAATATTTAACACTTAAGATAGATATATTTAATTGAGCTTTGTTACTTTCTTTCCATGTTCATTAAATATGATTATTCATCAATAAAATTGAAAATTTTGTAATTAATTATTTTTGTTATAATAGTATATTATTTATAATTTATTTAAAAATGTATTATATAAGAATAAATCAGAATAAAAATAAAAATTAATTTATCATATAATGGATATAAGAAGATTTTATAATTGTAAATAAGTAAGCTTAGGATAGGTGATAAATAAGAGTTAGCCTAAAAATAACAATCCTTTTATGTTAGTTCAAAAATATCTTTATGCTATAGAGAATTCATTATAGAGGTAAGATTTGATTATGGAATTTAGCAAGATGAGAACAAAATAAGTGAAATGATAAAACCATTTTAGCGATTATTGCAGATTAATTTAATAAAATTTGTCTTAAAACAAGTGTTTTACAATTTTTAATTATTAAAATAAATATAATTAAATAAATTAGACATGAGGAATAATTTTTTTATTTTGAATATATTGGTGGTTCTATTTAATATATTTATATTAAATGCATAATGTAACAATCAGAATCCCCATCTAAATCTTCCTGGTGGATAGAAGGGACCAGCAAGGAATCTTCCTGAAGCCTAATATTCCTTGATCTAAGGAATGTTTGAGAATTCCTAGTGATGCTTTTAGAGGTTGGCAAACTTGGCCCATGATTCTGGATGGAAAGCTTTCAAAGTTTCTTCTAATTCGAAGAGTCCAAAGTCAATGTATGTAAGATTGGCTCCAGCTGCCCATGTCTTTCCATCGATGAATTTGTCTAATCTTTCAATCAACCAAGCAACTTCATTGGCGTAGACTTCCTCTTTCTTGGCTGCATATTGATCCTCAGGGAGGGTGATAAGGTGGAAGAAACCTTTCAAGGCATCTTAGATAACACCTCTCACTTAAGCCACAGCTACTTATTCGTCTGGTGTGGATCCCAAGAGATCAGGTCTATTTGCCTTGTGAGCCAAATAGACATAAAGGGCAGCACTCTCATAGACGTACTTCTCGCCATCCTTGATGTATGGGAGGTTGACAAGAACGTGAGTGTTGAATGGAGCTTAACAAAGTCCACCGAACCACTCTTCAGGCTTGAGGTATCTTTTTTCTTCATATGGTAATCCCAAGTATTCCACCAAATATCTCACTAGAAGGATGAAATGAATTCTTACATGGTTGAGCTAATCCTCTGATTCCCCAATAACCCAAAACAAGTTGATCTGCCATTTTAATTTATTCATCAATGACGAATTAAATTTGGATATAAATTACGTAAACAATCTAGAATTTTCTATATGGAATAATTATATTATGTTATTTTACACAAAATCATAATTCAGCTTTTGGATCAACAACCTTACTAGCTGCGTTATCTACAATCCATTTAATAAATCTTTCCTCTTGAATTTTGTTTGCTCTGATTACGAATTTAATTGGCTAGTTATTTTTGTATAATCTAATTTTAACGATTTCAACGGATTCTGTTAAATCACTAACTTCATTTTAGGACAAATCGATTTTATTGAAAGTCAATTGTTTATTTTATTGGAGTCTTTCAGCCACCTTCAAGAATTGCTCTTGCACTGCATTGCTAAATTATTAAAATTAATAAATTACTGTTCTTCGTTTTGAGAGTCAAAGTATAAGATTACTGAATCATTAACAGCTTTTGTATCATCATAAGTATCTCCGATGAGGGTTCTGACCAATCCTTGTTATTGTGGAGCAGCTTAGGATTTGAGATATTTGTGAGCTTTTCCAGATTGGAAGGCTTCCAAGAAATCACCAACACTTTAACCTTCAACTCTCTTGTATCTTTGATCTCCCTTAATGATGAAAACTCCCTTTTGATCTTGTGGTCTGACTTAGATTTTTCTAGCGAATTCTTCATCAACATTCTTGATGAAGAGTAATTCGTCTTGGAAGGACCATGCTTAGGCAGCAACTTAGACTTCAGATTCGTCAGTGAAGACAACAACAAAAGGCTTGCTCTTTGTCATTCTTTCTTCTAATAATTCCTTCTTCTCAGAGTATGCTTGAACTCTTTCGTTAGCAACATTTTCTACAAAGGTTTTCATGATTGGGAACGATAGCTTTCCTTAATAGTAATAAGGCTTTTGATCTCTAAATCCAACAAAGTAAGTTCCTTTTGGTACGTTGAGTGCTTCTCTGATTGTTTTGCTTGTTGTATGGGCAAAATGCTATTTCATAGTGAATGAGAATTCCTTGTATTTTCTCAATTCTCTATCCTTTTCACTTTATTCCTCTGCAAAATAGACAAATTGAACTTTATTTTGAGCGATTGCCTCATTGAGTTATTCAAGAGTCTCAATTAATTCACTCTCTGGATTAAGATTACTGTAAATCCAATTCTTAATACCATCAGCAGTTCTACCACCTTCAAAATCCTTAACAGATTATTTGGCACTGAATTTGATTGTTGGATATCCTTTGACTCCATACTTTTCAGCCAATTTCTTTTGGACTGTTGCATCGATCTTGGCCAAAACTATTCCTTCAGGTCTAAGAGCAGTAGCAGCCTCAGCATATTTAGGTGCGAGTTCTTTGCAATGTCCACACCAAGGAGCATAGAATTCAAACATCAAATAATCGAATTCATTGAAGGCTTAATCAAATGTTTCTTCTGTGAGTACCATGACATCACCATCATATTCATAATCAGCAATGGCAGCAAAAGCAAGTAAGGAGAGCAAGAGAAGCTATTTCATAATTTTAATTATTACGTGTATTTGACTAAAATTCTAGAATTTAAATAAGAATATTAATCGAATTATATTATCTTATTTGGAAATTCTTAAAACAGATTATCTTGATTCTTTTATTGAATATGGATGTTCCGCTGTTTATACAAATATTTTAAATCCCAGTATTAGCAGGGTTATTTAAGAGAATATCAGCTTTACTTCTATTAATTTACTATTGGCAAACTTTTACAATAATGAAAATATTTTATTTTTATTTTAAAATATGATTTTACTTATTTAGAGATTATTATCACATTAAGTAACATAGAAGTTGATTAATGTTTTTTATTAATGAATGTAACCCTCAGATGCGTTTAATATTTGAAAGATTTGTTTTCCAGTTCTTTGAAATTCCTTTAAATTTGATTAGCAACATCATAAAGTATTTGAATTACTCTTGAAAGCGAAAAGAGTAGAGAGTTATTTGTGATCACCTCTTTGGTTCCTTCAAAAATTAATGGAATCTTTGCTGTGATGGTTTTTCATTTTGCAGAGGACTGGACATTTCTTGTTTGATAAATTGACTTAGCATTAACCTGGAGGGAATATATGTCATTATTAAATTAATGAGTTTATGTGATCTGCTGCAGGATAATGGTGATAATTGCAATTCTTAATTTGCCATGATTCCTCCCAGTTATAGTGAAGAGCAAATGAAACAATAGTTCAGAGGTCCTGCTAAACTTGCAACCAAAGTTGACCCCCTTTAAGATGTGGCAGATTGTTCAATCAAACCACCTTCAAATATAAGTTTACAAAAAGCAACTGAATAGATTAATCCATCTTAATCTCCTCATTCAGGACTCATTTAATTTACACCTAAAACCTCCTTAATGGAGGAGAAAATACTGGGAAGCAATTCGAATAAGGAATAAATTAGAGAGCCTGCTTAAAGCAGTTATAACAATCTTCCTAAAGAGGGAGTAAATAACTTCCTTAAATTAGTGATTGCCAAAAGTCGTTATCATCATTTTATAGATCTTTTACTTTAAAGAGCCTATGTGAAAAAGCTTTCACAATTTAGCATTTATCAAAATACTATGCTCGATGATTTAAGATACGTGGATTCAAAACGTCATGCTAATAAAAATTTAGTTGAGAAGTTTTGTAAGAAATTAAGATTTGTTCCCATTTTAGATCAAAGCAGCTACTTAGTTATTGGCTGGCAATTGTTGTACATTCTCACAATTATTATAATTTTCTTTTGGACCCCCTTCAACATATCTTTCGGAATTACATTAAATTAAGTAGTATTTGGGAGTATGATTGTGAAAGATGTGGAACTCTACTTCCTCTTTTCCATCATAATCGATGGATTCATTGTGATAAATACATCGTACATCAAGAAAGGCATAATCATTAGAACTAGGGGCAAGATATTCACTAATTATCTCAACACACAAGCCATATATGATTTGGTAATCATATTTGTTATATATTGAAGTGCTCCATTGTCTCATTGCTAATTGCTCAATATACCAGTATTGGTGATTCTCAGGAACATCCTGGTTGGCAAATGCTACCTTATGCAATCTATTATTGTAGTAGAATATTCAAATTGCAGGGCAGAGTGCATAAATTGGAAGAGTAAAACTTAATTTATGAATCATAGATTTTTCAATTTCTCAGGATGGGTCCAGGATGTCATTGAGTTAATAAAACTCCTGTTTATGGTAGTCTATGTTGGCCATCTATTTGCTTGTCTTTGGCATAGTGTTGCTTTTTATCAAATTGGATACAACAAAACTTGGTTGGAGATCTATCACATAGCTGATGCAAATATATTCACTAAATACAATTATGCATTCTATTGGGCTGTTTAAACTATGATCACGGTTGGTTATGGTGATTTGACTCCATAAAACGATTACGAAAGGTTATGTGCAAATCTGAGTATGTTCTTGGCTTGTGGAGTGTTCGCCTTCTCTTTCAATAGTATAGGTCTCATGCTCAGCAATCTGAATTCAAGATAAGTACTCTATAAGAGAAGCACTAATCTACTGAATCAATATCTGACTAAGAATTAAATTAAAGTTGAACTCTAATCAAGAATTAGAAATTATTATGATTATATCTTTTAAGAAGAATAAGAAATTAATGATGAAGAAGTTTCTCAAATTACTACTAAACTATCTAGTTCTTTATAAGAGGAACTCACTTTTGAAATTAGACTAAATGTGATGAAAACAAATAAAGTCTTAACGAAATTCTCTTAAAAAACCTTAAGAGAGTTATCGTTACTTATTGAAGAAGTCAGATTCTCTCCTGAAGACTAAATTATACAATAAGGAACTCCAGATGATTGTTCACTTTATCTAATTACCAAAGGAAAGGTTTCCATTCTTTTTCAAAATGATCCTTAGGGTAGAATTACTAGAGTGCTCTCTTTTTTGGAAAAAGGGTAAACATTTGGAGAGTACTCATTTTTTACTGGTCTAAACCGTACTGCTTCTGCCAAAAGCATTGGGTTTTCGAGGGCTTACAAAATCACTAGACAAAAACTGTTAAATGTGCTCCAAACCAATGAAACTGATTTAGTAATTGTCATTATGTAATTTTTAGGAACGCTTTTGTGAAGTAAGAGATTAAATTTTGCAAAGCGAGAATTATCAGCCAGCTTAGTTATAATGCTATTCATGCAGAAAATTTGATCATCTCATCAAGGATTGCCCTATACTCCATTTTGTTCCAGACAAGGAGAAGGTGATTAAAAAGGAGTACTTCCCTATTCAATAGCAGAGAAATGTAACTTATGTTAGGTAGAGATCCGATAGAAGTTACTATGCAACCTTATTAGAAATGAAGAAGACACTTACAATTGCCAGAGAATATTAAACTAACCAACTTTACAATGAAAACCCTTCTATTGTTGAAGAGAACTCAGATGTTTCCTATGATGATAATGATGATTATCCATATGAATATTGTAAGATTTCGCATTTATTCATAGCCTATTAAAATAAAAGCTAATCCAAAATCTCCATAAAATAATCCTAAAGTCGCTAAAATACTTAGAATGAAACCAACCATAACAACACTAGAAATTTATAACCTATTTAAGAGAGTGAAGATTCTGATCATAGTGTTAGTCCTAATAAAAAGAGAAATTCTGCTGCCAAAAACACAATACAAACTGCTGGTTTTGGAGGGCAAGATTCTTTCCAAAATAAACTAAAAGTAGAAGATCATGATATCAATATCATAAATATCAACCAAGGATATCTAAGCACTAATGTCAAGGATGATAAAAGACACTCTTTAAAAAATGATAGATTGCTTAGTCCCGTAGATATACCTAATAGAATTAATAAAAAGCAAACAACAAACATTCGAAAATAGAATAGAGAAGAGTCTTATTAACCATTCTCAACTCAAACACAAGTAGATCATAATTAAGAAAAAGAAAGACCAGTTAAAAGAAAATCAAAATTTAAAGATACTTAAGGAGAAATTATTCATATGTCCTCAGTTTAGTCAGTCGATTATAAAAGAGATTCCATTGATACAAGAGAAGATAAGAATGAATTAAAGAGAAAAACTACAAAAACATAAACGAATAGAAGCAGAACGGCTAAAACACATAAAACTACGAAATTACTGTCAGAAAATCCCTCTTAAGAAATATCTATACCAATATTTGAAAAACAATCGACTTCAATGGAATTAGAAGGTTTCGAAAATATGAAAAACTATGAATGTTACTATACTTGGAATAACCCAAAGGTTGTGATATCCAAAGCAATTCGAATTTTAACAAAATATTTAGAACGCAAACGAAATATTGTTCATTCGTTTTCCTCCTATACATTCAGTGCTGTAGCAATCAATCAAATCATAAGGATAAAGAAAAAACTCAAATTATTGTAATTTAATTTATCTATTTTAGAGAGGACCCCCTTATGGATGAAAAGAGAGATAAGAAATTGATGTATACTCTTAATAAAACTGCTAGATCAAGAGTTGGAAGTAAAAGAAATTCATAGGGTTTTGGAGATGACTTCTCTTCATTATTTTAAAAGAAACCGTTATACACTGGACAAACCCAATTATCTCAAAGAATTTCTATGTCTAAGCAAGTTAGAACTGATTTGTGATATAATAGTATGACAATAAGTTCTCATCATTCATTTATATTTATCATTTTGATTTTAGCTAAAACACCCTAATCAAATTACCTTTGCAAGCCACAAAATATCTTAGATCCTCACTAATTGTAATATAATGATATATTAAGTCTAATTAAATTTTTTTTAATTAGACATTCTACCATCATCCCTTATATTTATGAATCTCAAAGTTTTTTCTTATATTCACTAGAATTTTCTTCTTTGGGCAATAATATAATGTCCTAAAAGAATCATATTTGTCGCTTATTACCATCTTTGAATCAATTTATCCATTTTATTTATTCAGAACATATGATTCAATAGCCAATTTCATGATAAATTGACCCACACGCAAGTTATAGCGTTTTGCTGTTCTGACAACCAAAATATCATCATTAATGAACTGGTGAGATTTTAAGCTCTGAATTTGTAATTTAACTTACAGGACCCAGAATTAATATTGATGTTCCTAGAGAAATTATAATTTTAGTTTCTGATTAATTAAAACATATTTATTTCATTTCTTTTTAATAAACAAATTCAAGAAGAAACCATTAGGTGACTCTCCATTCATTTTAGTAGGTCCAAAACTATAAATATTGACCTCCACTTACTATTAAACTCTCTTTTTTATTCATTACTAAGCAATTTAAGTGTGAAAATTACGGTTAAAAAATACGAGGTATCTCCTCATTCTAAAATCTACCTAAATATTTGTTATTATTTGAAGCAGTAACAGGAGTTAAAAGATATCGTTCTCCTTGTTTATAAGTTTATAGAAAAAGACGACTATTTCTAAAAGGTAATAATGCTGGCTATTACTTTCCTTAGAATTTATTACTTGAAATTGTTTTAATAGCCCCTTATTTAAAATACATGACTAGAATTTATTTTCCATTTTAATGTTATAACCCAATTTAAGAATCTAATTTATTTTAAGTTATCTAAATCATAAATACTATTGAGAAATCATGATTGAACACCACCTGATTAATATACGAAATAGACTCAAAAATACATTCTGAAATCTATTTGTAATTAATACATATTCCTCCCATATTTTAAAAATATAATTAGATCAAATCAATTAATTCATGAAATAAAGGACCCAAAAGATTTAAATATAAATTGTATCAACTATTTAATAATAATAAAAAGGAGGCTTCAAATTTAAATTCTAAGTATTCTTACTAGTATACAATGTAGACATTCAACAATTTGATTTGAATTGATTATTAAATGGATTATCAACTTAATTATAATGATAAATATATATTATTTTTTCAGTACCATATCACACTAATTATTATACATTTATATATAAAATTAGATGCAATTAGAAACAGTACATTAAATTGAGAACTCTAAATACGGTTCGTGCTGATTATTGAATTTTAATATATTAATTATGTTAGTCAGTTCATCTTTATAGTCTGATTGTGATTATAATTGTTAATATTAATAAAAATATAAATTTCAATGAAAAAATTCAAAGAGATTAAAAAAAGTGGAGATGGCACATTTGGCGTGGTGATGAAGGCCGAAAACACAGAAAGTTTTGAATTAGTAGCCATCAAAAAAATGAAATAAAAATATCATAATTTTGAAGAATGTACAAATTTGAGAGAGGTGAAAGCCTTAATGAAACTTCAAAATCATCCCAACATTGTAAAACTGAAAGAAAGTAACTTTTAATTAGATCTATCTTAGTTTTTCTTGATGCTGATACTCTTTGTTTAGTTTTTGAGTTTGTAGAAAAGAGCATATATTAAATATACGCCTAACATAGAGAATAAGTAGAATATAATCTAAACTTAATATTAGGGTAAAACAATGTCAGATGATCAAATCAAATCAATCATCTATTAGGTTGCAAATGGTTTAAGCTACATGCATAAGCATGGTTACTTTCATAGAGATCTTAAACCAGAGAATATGCTCATGACCGAAAATGGAGTTGTGAAGATTATCGATTTTGGTTTAGCAAGAGAAATAAGGTCACGACCACCATATACCGACTATGTGGCTACAAGATGGTATCGGGTAAGTAGACCCTTTATGTATTTAGGCTCCAGAAATATTATTGAAACAAATCAATTACAATAGTCCAGTTGATATTTTTGCCTTGGGCTGTATTATGGCTGAGTTATTTCTTAATAGACCCCTGTTTTAGGGTAATACTGAGTTGGAGTAATTCAATAAAATACTGTCCACTCTAGGGTATTATTCTAGTAATCTATTTTAAGTACATTTACTTAAACAGATTGGCCAGAGGGCTGTCGCTTAGTATCATAATTAGGAATGGGATTGGCACAATGTTAGCCTCTTCAGTTATAGCAATTAATTCCAAATGCAAGCATTGAAGCTCTGAACTTACTATCTCAAATGATCAAATGGGATCCGAATAAGAGAATTACTGCTTAATAAATTCTAACACACCCTTACTTTTACAATATCTAGAAGATTGCTCCAACATTAGTATTTGAGGATTAAGATAAGCTTTGGAATAAGGAGATTAAAGATACAAACATAGATAAAAAACAGAAGGTCACAACTTAAGGTGTAAAGGATGATTTATCACTTCAATTTGGGAATTAATAAAAAATTCAAAAAACAGATAGCAACGATTTGGATGATATATTAGACTTTATCACAACTGAAAACAAACCTGTGATCCCGAAATAAACAATATAGAGTGCTAAGGCTTTGGAATTTAAGGGACTTCAATCATCCTCTCAGGCTAATTTAAAATTGACTAAGAATTATTTAACATCAATCAATTCCGATGTCAATTAAAAGAAGGACAACACTTCTATCTATGATTTTAGCCATTTGTAATCATATAAGCCAAAAATGCCTAATGCCAAGCACTGATAACTTTGTCATACTAAAATGTATTTTAAGCTCTAATATTAAAATCTAAAATAAATTAATTTCATATCAAATTTATACACAGTTTTATGTCTGATTAGTTATAGTTGTTGTTCTCATTATAGAATCAATTCTTGGGATTACTAAGGAAAAAAAATGCATCTGAAATAAACTAACTTATTTTCTTAATTATGGGATTTAGAGAGAGTGAAGTTTCAGAATACATTATTATTAATATATATAATGGGTAATTATTGTTCTTTTACAACCACTGATGCGACAAAAATTGAAGAAGAAATAATTACTTCTAATAAATAAGACAGCATCATAAAATCATAGGGAGACTCACTTCAAATAGCTAACTTTGAGGAATTGATATAGGATCACAGCTAATTGTACGCATTCTAAAATGGAGATGTATTGTTATCTTCTCGCCCTAATTCTCCTCGTTCATAGCATGTGATAATCTATTTAGAACCAAAAATAGTGGCAGAAGAAGAAGTCAAATTTTAGCAGGATGGAATTAAAGGGATTATAAGTGCACGAACATATGACTAATATCCAGAATCATCTTGTAGTTCTCTTAATTAAAAAGAAAAACAATGCAAAAAGGTCTAATTCAGAGATTGAAAGTCGAAATATGTTAATAGTTAAGTAGAGCAATGATTTGTTTTATTTATTTCATAGATAAACGAAGTATAAATCTAACAATATCAGGATTTTTAAATAAAGAAATATTAAAATTAATTTATATTAAATCAAAATCTTATTTTTAGTTTGTTTATATATTTTCCTGCTAAAATGGTTTATAATCATCAATATATATTGCTTAATTACTTGCACTACTTTCCTATAGAGATTACTTTTACAAGGTTAGAATAATTTAACAAAATTCAAAGATAACAATTAAGATGAATATCTAAGTTTTCTTATGATATTTTTTATTTATTAATACTAAACTTGTTAATTAGGTAAATAAGAATAGGCTAGATTTCTTAATGAATTTATTGATATGAGTAAATCCTAATTCAAAATCTAGTCATCATATGAGAACTTTAATAAACAGATGGATGAATTGGGTTTTACTCTTAAAAAGTTAAGTATTAACCCTTAATTACAATCCTAATGATGAAAAAAAATTTAGAAATTTGATTAAATGGTTTATAGACATCAAGATCAGTTGATTCTTCCTTTGATGTATGAGGAGGCACCTTCCAACTTGGTGGCGAGGATTTATTCGACTTATCTGATGATACCGATTTCGACGGTTCTTTATTCGGTGTCTCTGGCATATTAAGTTCTCCAAGCGTCACATTCAGCTTCCTTGGCAACCTTTCCTCTGGTGGCTGAGTCGAGTTCTCTTCCAGCATCATACTTTCTCTTCTTAGCAGCAGCCAATTGGACTTAAGCTTATCCTAATTTGGTTTCGGAGTCAGCCTTTTCGGATTAGAGGGCAGCTCTTTATTCATTGATTTCAACGATTTAAGCTTCGAAGTTAAGTTAAGCTTAGACTTCTTCTTCTTAGTCATCGATGATGGATTATTCCAATGAGGCTCTCAATTCAGCGATCTTGTCTTAGACGTTTTATAATTTTTCAGCTGAGAATGTGGAGGCCAATTGGACGAGGGCGAGGATGGGATTGTTTCCACCGACTCTTTCTAATTCAGCAAGGACTGCTTCAGCATCGGCTTCTGGTTGGATAGCACTCAATTTGGCGGCGATGACGTCGAGGGCTTCAACGACCTTTGGGGTTGTGATTTATCTTTCTTCGAATGAAGCGTGGTCTTCAGCTCTCTTTTATCTGAGTTATTCTTCTTAGTTGGCTAAGATTTCTAATTATTATTCCTTGTTGGCAATATCTGTTTCCAAGAGTTCAATATCAGCGGTGTACTTGTTGATATCGATGGTGGCTTCAGTGATTTCGTTGGAAGCGAAGTCGATTCTTCTGTCATATCCATAGATTTCAGCTTCACAGTCAGCTTCTTAAGCGACGTGGACTAATTCAGCATCTTGTTATTAGAGGACTAAGTTTTCTCTCAAGTCTTAGAGCATCTTGGCAATGTCAGAAAGTGGTGACTTGTTCTTCATTTACAAGGCGATTGTGTCCAAAATTTTCTTTCCCAATGGATGGTCTTCAAGTGCTTCGAGTTAAGCGAAGACGGCAGCATGTGGTTCAGAAGCATGCTTAACGAAGACGGCTTGTGTGAAAATCACTAATCCTAAGATCAATAAAGCTTTCATTATTAATATTAATGTTTTCTCGCCTCTCTTATTTTGCTTAAATTACACAAACTATGCGTTTTTCAACTTTTTGGTTTTTATAAAATCAAATTTTTTTTATAGTCATCCTCACATTATACGTAAATTTATATCACGCATTAATATATATATCTTTAAGATAAATCAGACCCCTTCCCATTGACAATTCCAAGGCTTCCCTACTTCTTCTCAACTCAAGTACTTGTATATAAATTGTAAACCATTATCTAACCTTAATAATATTCTTCCTTGCATTCAAAGTTGCCCCCATTTTATAACTATTTATTTTTAATCATTAACGCACTGGTGATAACTCTCCTAGAGCTTATTCAATCATGTTGATTCAAAATATTATAAGATCTTAATTGAAATTAATCAAGAGACTAAAAGAGCAAATCTGCGTCTAAAATGACTGTATCATATTGTAAGTGTCTTTTGAAATACTTAAATCTTTAAGGATGATGAGCGTAGGGGTATAACAATAATTATTAGAATAAGCATTTATATAAAGTTTATTTCGATTTTTACTTTAAACTAGCCTATAGAGTACAATATAAATTGATAAGATCTTACATGTAACGTTATGGTTCTGGATTTTTATTAATCTATTTTTCAATAAAAAGAGGAAGAATGAAAAAAATTCCTTTAATTTAATAAAATTAATTCTCAATTTTAAACAAATATTATTCTCTTTTGAGACTCATCTTCTTCAACTGGTTAGTGAATTGATTAATTTGTATTTCTTTAATAAAATACTGTTTTTTTCATTATTTTTCCGTAAAACTCTAGAAATTTTAATTTGAACGAATCTGATAATTGTAATTAATTTGAATGCAAAGAAATTAAGATGAGCATAATTAAGAAAGAACAAAATTAAATATTAATGCTTTTCTGTTTAAGATATATCATTTAATCAAGTAATGATCTTTTTATTTGGTTGTAGCTAATGGATTTGTTTTCAAAAATTTAAATTTTAAAAAAAGGAATTCAAGCCAATCAAATAGAATAAATTTTTCTGGAAATTGGAGATTAGTTTTTTTTGGCTTAAATTATTTGAATTTTAATCAAGAATAAGAACAAAATAAATTTCTGAGGAATTTCCTTGGCTTAGAAACAATTAGTTTGATTATTAATAATCTCCTAGTACTTTTGTATAAAATATGGTTTAGAGAAGCAAGTCGGTATTGTTAATTACTTCTCACAGACCGCAAATTTGAGTTCTCTCACACAAAAGAAATTAAATTCTGTAATAAAATATCTTCAGATTTGTCGATAAATTTATTGGAGTTAGAGAATGAGAACCCATAATAGAATATAGGGGTTTTTATTCACAATCTTTTAATCTATAGTTATCGAAGAAGAAAACTAAAAATTTAGAATAATATAATATATCAAAAAAATATTAATTTAAGAAGATATATTAAGTTTTTTTGATTAAATTTATCTAAAATAAAATATTCCAATATATGAAGGCGATAATAGTAGTAAGAAAAGTAAAGCATATGAAATTTGCATTTATCGCCAAACATCATAATGGATAAATTAATTTCATTATGCATATTGCCTATTCTTTTACAACCAAATTATTTTATTTAAAATAAAATCTCCAATTATTTTATACTTTTTGCCTCAAACTTAAAATTATGGAGAATGATGAAACCAACTCTGTTATGTATCTACCCGTAACTTAAAGTCTGAGAAGTTGATATAAATTTATTATATATATTTAAAACTATCTCTATAATGATTAATATTTTATAAAGATTTCATATCTTTTATTAAACCATAAATGTTTTCGATTTCTTATATTTAGTTAAGTACGAGCAAAGAAAGTTTCTAGTTTGAATTTACTTCATACTTTTAAGCGTCTATGGTAACTTTATCTTTTAGTGATCAGAAGGTTGTGTTTTGATAATTCTTGATGATTTTGGAATTTATAATGTAATCTTTTTTATTTCTTGTTTTTAAGAATTTTATTAGAAATGGCTTTTACAAGTTTTAAGAGGCTCAAGTATGCGAATTTGGGTATCTTCAATAAGTTTTTCTGTAGTTCTTGCTGATGCTCTACGGAGAGAAGTAAGCATTAATTGAGAAGATGAAGTACTAATTAAAGAATCTTATTTTGAGGCAGAGAATTTGCGAAATAGTTTTTCTATGATATTGCTAGTGCAAACGTATACTTGTATTTTATGCAGTCAATAATCGATTATTTTTGAGAGATGGTTGCTTTCTTATTCTACATGGCTTGAGAATGAATGGGATATTCATATTTTTATATTGGAAGCTTGTCATTTTTCCACATTCCTGACAGTCACAACTTTTTCTTCTCATTTTTTAAGGAATCTCATGAAATTGTTTCCTAGTATTAAAGACAAATAGTTTAGGCAAACTATAGCTTCGTTGTTATTTAGATTTGGGTGTATGATAAATTGGATGGGAGAGATGTCTATGTTGATGCAATGCTTGAAATCTTAAGCACAAACTTTATTAATTCATTTTTAATTCAAACTATACTATATTGCCTTTGAAGTTATTCATGATTATCATCATTCATCATTGGCTTTAAGCATTCTTGCTAGATATAATCAGTTCTTTCTTTAACTTTTAGACTCGATATTTAGAGATGAATATTTAATAGATTTGTTTTAAATTCTTGTACTAAATAATGTCCATATATTGAAAAATGAATTTTTTATGTTTTTTTCTGTAGAGGAGAGAAGAGGTAGTAATTACTGTTGTTAAAATGAGAAAAAGTAGAATAAACAGCTTTTAGGAGTTTTTATCATTTATTTAATTTATCATATGTCATATTTTTAGAATATTTTGTGAGTCTAGAATTAAATTAAAATCATTTTGGTAACATTTAATATTAAACAACGTATTAATATACAATATATGGATAATATTCTAATACTCAATCTCATTCATCATCTTTCTTTGATTGATCTTCATCTTCTGAATCACTATCCTCGACTTTATTTTACATGGGGAATAACATCGATTGAATAAATGGAAGTGACTTATCCAATTCTTAATCTTCCTTATGGTATTCAACAGCCTGAAATATTCTAAATTTTTACTCTGCTTATTTAGCTAGCTTTTTTGGCTTTAAATTTAATTGGTATTTCAGAATCCAATCCTCTGTAACAATCAGATATGACGAATAGAACGAATTCAAATTCAACTATATCTCCAAAATACATTTTTGGTTAGAATTTGAATTCTGTTGATTGTTCTCTATTCGAACCATTCAAAAAAGCATAATAAAACACTTCGTTTTAAAATGTTATTAAAATATGCCATCCCTCCTCCTTTACATAAGTAAATCTATTGGAATGAGCAAATGGAATGTCTTCTCCTTCGGGAGTGTTCATTCTTGTTAAAGTTATTTTAATCTGCATATTAAATAATGATTACACTAAAGATATCTTCATTACATTATTCCACAATAGATTCATCATCAACTGTCACTTCAGGTTTGATATCTAATTATGGGAACATATTGATTTCCTTCATAATTTCATCTTTGAATTCCTCTGGCACCCAACTTGGTAACTAATTCATCATTTAAATTGATTACCACTCTCTAATCCACTTATTTTTGAACTAATTCTTGAAACACTGGCATCTTTCCTTTTTTAATATAATCTTTGGCTTTTGTAGCAAAAAACTCAATTTAATTAATTGGATTATCTGTTTCATATATGCCTTAGACTATGCATTGAGAGAATTGTAATATGTTATTAATGCATCTTGCACCCATAAATTTAGTTTAAAATCTTCCTCTTTGTCTCCATTGGATTACTTTGTATTTCATAGAGAATTCAAATGCCAATCTTACCATTGAGTTGACTAATTTTGGAATTATCTTAATAGTAGATCTATATAAAGATATAACACTTTAAGGAATGGGTTTACCAAATAAATGGGCATAGATTAGAATCATGGCAACAGAGATGGTCACTCTTCTTTTTTTATTCTTTTATTTTTTCGACTATTCAAGTGCTTCGGTTATTTCAAATTTTTAGATTTTTCTCAATTCAGCTTCTTCTTTCAATTCATTAACTAATTTCTCTAAGTCAATAGCTTATTATTCGGATTTCAATCTTAATCTACATAATTCATCACTGCAACTAGATAATTCTACTCCTTTCTTGATTAATAAGTTCTCTTCCAACCCTCGTTCAAATTTCTCCTGATTACTAAGCATGACTCCATTTTAATCATATTTTCCTATTGATCTCAACTCGTACAAAACAATTATTGGTACAACAACCAAAAGCAAAAGGAAAATTACAGCTAAAAAGGCAGCCCTATTTTCTTTTTTTAATAGAAATGATGGCATTGCTATACCAACAGATAAACTTTATTGTCCATCTGGATTTCCATATTTCATGCATAAGGATTTTTTGTCTTCATCTGTTAAACATTCATATGCTTTGGTGAGAAGGATAAATTTTTGATTTGCTTAAGGATCATCAGGATTTTTATCTGGATGCAATTTTAATGAAATTTTTCTATATGCTTTACGAATTTCCTATTCTGTAGCAGTTGGATCGATTTCTAAAATCTCATAAGGATCAAACCCTTTGATTTTTTCTGCATTTGGCAAAGATTAAATGGATGCATTGAGCATTAGCAATAGAGCCACAAGTATTATGATCTAAGATAAGAATCAGCTTTTTACCTTAAACACATAACCTGTTGTAAGCCATTTCAATTTCAATTCCTATTTAGCCAATTGTAGATTGAGTTGATCATTGCCGCTTTTGGGAACACGTGCTAATTTTCTTTTATTTTCACCCAACACGTATGTTGTGAACAGTGGCTTGATAACTGAGTAGACCAGAGGAAGAATAACCAAAGTAAGAATGGAAATAGCGAAATAGATGAATGCATCATCATCGAAGAGCAGATTCTCTCCATCGCCTTGTCTCGTGAAAGCTTCCTTAAATCCCATTATTTAATAATTTATCTTAATTTCAACAGCAGGTTCCTTCCTTTTTTGTAGGTTATGGATTTTTCAAACCACCAGTGGGGGTCTTTCCTCCAGGAGTTGGTTTGTCCTCGGACTTGCCAATCTTGGCCTTGATGTTATTAGCCAAAGTCATAAAGGCTTAGTCGACATTGGTGTTTGCTTTGGCTGAAGCCTCGATAAACTTGATGCCCAAACTATCAGCCAACTCTTTGCCCTCTTCGTAGGTAACTTGTCTCTTGCTCTCCAAATCAGCCTTGTTTCCAACCAATAATCTAACCACATTCTCAGAAGCATGTTTTTCAACCTCTGTTATTTTAAATATATAGTTTACCTGCTAACCAATTCTCGATGTCCTTAAAACTTTATTTGTCTGTGATATCGTAAGTCAGAATGATTCCATGAGCTCCCTTATAATAGGATGCTGTAATAGTTTTGAATCTCTCTTGACCTGCAGTGTCCCAAATTTACATCTTTACTGATTTTCCTTGCATGTCAAAAGTACGAATTTTGAAATCAACACCAATTGTAGGAAGGAAAGACTCACTAAAAATCTAATCCGAAAATCGCAACAATAGTGAGCTCTAATCAATTACATTTTAGGTGTTACCTTGCCGACGGCTGAATTACCGATCAGGAGGATCTTGAACAAGTAGTCATAGTCTTATTGGAATGCCATGTTTGATGATTTATTTAATATTTTTATTAAATCAGAATTCATTACACTCACTCAACTTTAAATCCCATAAAAATATACTATACAATTATAATTAATATGATCAAATCTGAATCACAAACCGATTGATTATTAATACTTAACATGTATTCCACAGAAATTATAAGAAAATTTACATTTTAAATTTATATAATACATACTAGTTATTATTATTCTTGTATAATTCTTTCATTTGTTCCATATAGGTGTGGACTATTGTTTGAAAAAACAAAATTTATTATTATATACACTACTACATTTATTTAATCTTTTGTTTTACAACATTATCTAAACTAATTATTCCAAAATGGCTGAAGAAAATGGAAACAAATTTAATTTATGAAAAGAAGACTATAATACAAAGAACCAATATTTATAGGATATTATCCAATAAAACCATCTTTGAAATGATTTTTAGGAATCTCTCAAAATGATATTTTTGAATTTAAAAACATAATACTTTATCATACTATTTTGTTTAAAGAAATTTTAAATCATAAAAATTTGTATTTATACCTCATGATACAAAATTTCTTTTTTTCGTTGAATTGTAAAAGCAATAGGTTCATATCTGTTTTAATAGATTCTCAATCCTTTTTGAATTGATATCATTAGTTCCAAAAAATATTTAAATCTTGTTAAGTTAATTTAGATAATTAAAAAGATCGAAAAATTAACTAATATTGCAATACACTGTTAGAGAAGCATGACTATTTTTTCATCTTCAAAGATTTAGAAATTAGCTATGATATCAGACAAAGAGTCCAAAACAAAAGTAATCATTTATCAATATATATTTTATTCAAATTCTGATAATGAACTAAATATAATAATATTATTTATATATTTAAATGTAAAATATCTCTGATAAATTATTATACTATAATTAATTTAAATTAAAATAACAATAGGTCTTAAGATAATTCAAAATTTGAATTCCAAGGTTCAGGAAGGGAATTATTAATAATCGATTTATTGTGATTAAATGATTAATCCTAACCCAACAAAAATTAATTATTATTTCAAATGTTTTCTACAGACAACTAAATCTCTTAAAATTTTCAATTTTAATAACTTTTAATTTATATGTACAATTTTTCATTTAGTACATTTCAAAACTTTTATTATGGATATAATGTAATATAATAAAATATCTTTAATATATTATTTCTTTACAATCTATAAATCTAAAATTAATCATAAATCGATAGTAATTTGATAATGAGATTTAAAACTTTTAG